TTTTTCTGTGTATGACTGGCCCCAAGTATTATGGATTTACATGAAAGATCACAGATGATTCATACCCATAGAGTACACACCTTTATTTAGAAGTTAACATTTGTTGCAAAAGTTTTTCTTGAATGTATGAAGCACATGAATTAGCACTTTAAATTCTCTTACTTTCATTTGTATGTTAATTTCTTCATTTATAAATGTAGGTTCTAGAAAGCTTCAAGATTATGGACTACAGTTTATTGGTTGCAATTCACAATGTGGAACAAGCAGAAAAAGACAAGGTAATGCGCAGCACGTTAATTGTTCGTGAAAATAGGGCTTGCAACAACTTGTACTTCAACACCTGGTGTAATCTTGACACTTGTCTTGAGATTTGATGGTTTGTGATAAACATATTTGTGATGAATTGATCACAACACCTGAAAACCAGAGTCACATTGATCCTAGGTTGACCTTGGTATCAGGGTGACATGGCCTCATTAGCCTAATTGAGGTATGGCGGGCACAATAGGAGGGCGCTATTTAATTTAGGTGAAATCTTTTGTGTTTACTCTAAACTTTACCCACTTCAAATGGTGCCCTCCTGACTGCCCCAAGCTGGACCCAGAGAGGATGCAATTGTTTCCCAGCAACAGAGGCTCCTTTGGTCAGAACTTCACTTTGCTGGTTCATAAGCTACTTTTAAATGCACGCGTCACGGTGGCATTGCTACCAGCAATATGAACACTCCCAACCAACATGGCTCTTTTCAACCAATGAGGGGGTGCTTCTTCACGAGGCGGATTGTGTCCTTCCACGCTTCAAATAGGCTTATGGCATCACTGACAAGACTACCTCACAGACAGATCTTTAGTGTGTTCCAACCTGTGTCACCCATCTATCCATTTTGTGGGATCTGGTCACACATGTTGACTGTGAATGGCCCCATGGTGAACCAGTAAATGAAAGAATATCAGTATTAAACAAAAAGACTAGATTTGTTGTGAGATATACGTGGTAACTACCGAGTATTAAAGCTTTCTACAAATTAATACGATAAATTTATCCACTTGGAGGCTATACGTTTATGCCGGTGTCATAACAAACGGTATTTGCTCTTTGCATACTGCAGCCATTGGCATGCAGAGCCTTGAACTGGCAGCTTGTAGAATTACGTCAGAATCGCGTCACCACAGCTTTTGAAATATTGTCCAATCGCGTGGCATAAGAGCTGAGGCAACAGAATGAGCTGAGGCAAATTACATGTACTAAGCAACATACATGTACATGGGATCTGACTGAACCAGCTGCCAGATCAAGGCTTTGCATGCCTATGGCTGCAGCATGCAAAACGTGAATAGTGTCATTGAGTCCCATTTCAACAGTAGCAGTGTGCTCAAATGAAACTGGTCTCGTTCCTCCAGCAAAACGAAAACAACAGTACAGACGGCAACGCCAAGTCACGGACGTCAGACACACAGCAACAACAGCAGCAACAGCAGCAGACCTCCCGGCCAGCCATGCTGAGGAGCCTGTCTGACTCGGGCTCGACGGAGGACCACCACATTAGCGGGGAGAAGACTCCACACAAGCTGGAGCGGTCCAAGTCCTATCTCAACAAGTCCAAGCGGCCGGCGTTCTCCACCACTAGGGAAGCCATCCAGGGCCACACGAAGCAGTCGCTGACGCAGGAAGATGAAGAAGAACCGTAAGAATGCAATTTCCTAAAAAACACTTTGTGCTAAGATATTGTTGGGAAAAATTTTTGTGGCCTCACCATAAGCATTTCCAAATATAAGACAATAATTCTTATTTCCAGAAGTATTTTCTGGATTTTCTCCCCAGACTTTTTTCCTAGGAGTGAAGCATGAAAATTTTGTCCGAAAATTGAGATGTTTTATCTCCCGTTATTAGCAGTGTAGGCTTCTGCACCCAACCTTGTACATACTAACTGAAGATTAAATCTCAAAGCTATCGTAACTTTTTCATGTTTAAACCTCCCAAAGATATGTGAAAAGCAATTACTAATTGTTTTTGCTGATGAAACCAAGGATTGATCAAAAGCACCCATCGCTTTGTGGTTCCCAACCCTAAAGAAACCTGTGGAGATGAGAACACTGAACACCAATCATTTTTGCAGGTGGGAGAAAACCAAAGAACCAATCATTCTGGGGAAACCCAGAGAGTCAGATTAGATAAAATCGAATCCACAGGGTTTACCGAGGTGGGTTTCGAATCCTGGCGGTAGAGGTGGAGAACGAGGAAAGTACCACTGTGCCAGCCAATACAGGCCCTGTTTGTTTCACGCAGAGCCAAATCTTGATCCGTGATCGCAACGTTGGGTTGCTCCATCCATTACGCAGGTTCTGGTGTTAGTGAACCAACATCTGAACATTGTATCACTGATCCCAATCTGGATCCATGTGAATGTAAATAAGCCCACAGTTAATAGGCGAGTAGCATTATGTGATTGGAGCTACATGTGTATCTCAGTGGCTGACCCGACTCCTTGCAAGCTCCCCGCTAGCCAGGAAGTTTTGTCACTGTCTAAAATATGACCACTACAAAGCTTATCTAGGATTAATGCACTAAAAAGCATGCGCTGTGGATTTCATGGTGTTTTCCGTGCTTAAGTGACTTGGAGGTAAGCCACTCATTTGACTGCCTCCCAACCTGAGGTGGACAGAAATGCCCCTCCTGACATGCCTCCTAAAATTTCCGACAAAATGACTCAGCAGTCACCAGAGGCACTTTTGAGTTATAGGCCTTCAATAGAATCTTGCAAAGTGTAAATCAATAGGAACCTTCAACATTTTTCACCCACATTAAAAATGTCCATTTTCATCAGGATGACAGGTGGAGTGATTCATCAAAAGGAAGTTGAGTTTCCTCAACTCTGAACAAACACTCTGGAAGAAAAGGCTTACGACTCATTTTGTGGGATCCACTCACAAATACATTCCTGTTCAGTTTGTTTTATTGCTTATGAATTAATTTTTCAAACAAATCTTTTCACATTGTCTCCTGAAATTCGAGTCGGTCAATTTTTGCATAAACATACATATTGCAGTAACAGGCCATCACAATCAATGTGATTTATGTACAGCAGCGTCATTGACATGTAGTTTGTAAATTCCCAGAATACCACTGGACAGTATTGGTATGGAGAACAGACTACCAGTACCTTTAAAAAAACACAGTTGAAAAGTAAGGTCTGGGTACCAAACCTCATTGGTTATTGCCTGCGCAGTGCAGCGGAGCTTTGACAGCCAGAAGCCAGGAAGCTTGAAGACTGTTTTACATGTGGCTGTGACTTCAACCTTAGTGAATTTTGCCTGGTACTTCTGTGTGTACTTTTTGTATATATGACACCAGGCAAAATCATCGAGTGGTTAAGAAATAGCTCTCCCCTGAACTTGTATGAATGATGCATCAGATTCCTGTGCCTTGTATATACACACATTAGTTTGGGTGATGTATATTCATGTCTTATTGTGGGCGGAGCAGTTTCATCAAAGGTGATTGGTTGAAGGAGGAGCTTACTGTCCAATCTTGGGAAGCAATGAAGCCAGCTGCTCAGATCACAGACTGGCCGAAGTATGCGTGCCTTTGCATTTGAATATACCGTTCTGACCACAGGTTGTCAGTGTCGTCAGGTGCTCTTTTGTTTTTAGGGAAGATTTAAAAAGCTCGCGAATTCCAGCAGACTTATCGCTGCACGATTGGGACCAATTAGTGGGGGCCAAAGCTGCCTATCCGCAAAAGGTGTTTGGCATTATGCCATTGGTTTTGAGCTTGAAAACTTATATTCTTCAAAAAAATTCGACATATATCAATATTATTGATTTCGGGCCACTGATAAGGCCACTGATATATCAGTATCGGCAATTATCTATAATCGACGGTGCTTATTGAAAAGGTCTGTTTACTCAAACCCATTTTGCTTAAGGTATTAATCAGTTGATGGATTATTGGTCTTATGTGTTTCCTTGATGACAGGAGCGGTGGTATTCCAGCCAAGAATTCTAAGGGAGAACGGCTAGACCTCTTTATAGGAATTATCGACATTTTGCAATGTTTCAAGTGAGTAAGCTGTCGTTATGTGTATAATTACATGAATGCATCATAATGTGATGGATTGGGCACACGGTACTGTAGCACACACAGCATTCTTTTCAAACAACAAACCCTTTGGACTTCTGAAAAACCATTTTCATTAGTTGAAAGCATATTAGGAACGCATGTACCACGTGGGTACTGACAAAACTAATTTCATTTTTATTATCGAAGTCGATATGCCTATTTACATGTAGTAACTTGGCTTTGATTCAAAGCCACACGTTTCCAAACTAGAGGGTTGCCATCGGCACTTGTGACTATGTGACTAATGGGTCTTAAATGTCTCTTCAGTTAGTCACTCAAGGCAGTAACAAACATGGGTGCAGTTATTATTCTCCTATGGTGGTAGGGAAAGGTTACCCATTACGATCTATTTGGATATTTTACTATTCAGGATATTCCAATTTCCATCAGTAGTTCCTTTGTGTGTAGACATTCATCCGTGCTCAGTCTCCAATAGACGTGAAACAATGACGGCATGCATTGTTTACATGCACATGTGCTTTCCTGTTGGGGCACAATCGACTACGTCCGACCTTACTACCATAGCAACGTGTACATGTAAACAAAGCATGACATCACCGCTCTAATAGCTCCAGACAAGTCTTTAAGCTATTGTTACGACACTAAGCAGAAATTGGACTGGAAACAAATGAGGCTTTGAGGAAAATTTGGCCCAAAGTGGACATACATGTAAAACATGTGTTGGATCAGAAGATGTGGAGAAGTGCTATGATATGAATGAATGGCTTCACACGTTCTCGTCCCTGCTTTTTGTCCGTTCTTCCAACTGCAGATTGGTAAAGAAGTTGGAGCACACGTGGAAGAGTATGGTCCACGATGGGGACACAGTATCTGTCCACAGACCCAGCTTTTATGCCTCGCGCTTTCAAGAATTCATGTCCAAATCAGTCTTCAGGAAATTGCCACGTAAGTTCCCACACCCCCGTCTTCACCCCTTCCCTTCATCCAAAGAAATCCCTGCTTTGGCACCATGTTCGCGCACAGGTGGTGAGCGTACATTGTGTACCTGTTCAACCAATAAGGTAAAACAAAACCTCAATACGTCAAACTTAGCTAAGTCGAAAGTCTACTTATCTCAGAGTGATGCTTTGTTCCCGTCAAAAGAATTGGTGTTTGTGTACATAAATACTTCCGTAAGTCGAATTACCAATGACCAAAATCCCGCTTAAGTCCAAATTGTCTCAAAAAGTGCAAAAAGGGACCAAGAAACCACACTGCCAAGCGCACATTGTCTTTTCACTCTCGATCCGCTTCCATGGCACTCACGCTGCGCGGCTCACTTCATAAACGATGCTTCACTGTAACTGCAACAAAGCCGGGCTTTCGGGCTAGCCTGATTGCCACCGCAAGACCTATGCACGGAAGGACCAGTCACTGCCTATTACATGTACAATGGTCACGGGACCACAGAAAGTGATGCCATAAGAAAACCCATTTGAAAGCAGACCCCAAATAGATTTTCCACACGGACAAGGCTTTGGTCTTTAGGAGTGACCAAAGCCCTGACTGATTTTTGCTCCGTACGTGTGTTCGTTATGTTAAAGTGCATAAACAAGCATCCAAAACATACAAAAGTTCTTTGTGCGAATGCCTGATAAGTGTGAGTGGAGATTAAAAGTGAAACAGTATAATCCTTTCCTTCTTTCTTGAAATCACTACTTTTTTTTGTTAGGAAATATATTAGTCAATATGCATGTTTGCCTACTAAAATTGCTTGGTTAATTAGAAGTGAAATTGATGTCTTTGTTTAATTTCTTTTTCTCAAAAGGAAAAGTAAATTTCAACTTGATGCCATGCTTTTTCAAATCATTTTCTCATGCCAAAATAAGGCTTCACCAAAGCAGAATAAACTACTGTTCCAGTACTCTTTGCAAAGAAATGTGTGTATACGTTGACAGTTGGTCTTTAGAGTTCACCAGGTGGAAAATGTTTTTAGTTGAAGTTTTGTTGAAGTTTCTGGCGACACACAAAGCATCACGTCATTAAACTGAGAAACACTTCACAGGTATATAAAGATGACAGCCCCCAAAAGAACAGTAAATACAGATTAATATTATACAATATTTTCAGAAGATGAGAATCCCAAAAGAAGTTCTAGAGTATTTCTGACACAGTCTGGTCTACGTCTCTTCACCTGACGTATGTCAATAACCTCAAACCACCATCCAAATATTTTTCCTCCAAGTATGGTCAAACTTCCCAAATGTTTGATTTATGGCAAGAAGAAAGTTTAATGGCAAACAGACAGAAAAAAATATATTTAATATGGGACTTAAACTGGTTTGATTGTGACACGGGTACCAACGGGACAGAGGAATTATGGTATTCTTAATGCACATAGCTACATGTACATAACAGAGTTAAATTATTACAGTTGACGTGGTTGCCAGTCAGTGGACATCTTCTAGGAAGGATGCCCGTCTCCATGCCAACCATGTTTTCGCCATGAAATGAACATAGACTGTACTATTTGGTTTAGCTGCTTTCTTGTCATTTGAGCTCCATTTCACAGTTTGTTTTGCCTGCTTTCTTTTTTAATTTTGTTTTTACCTTGGACGCGACTGACCTGTTTTGATTGCATGAATGCCGAGTGAACCCCGTAACAATTCTGTTAGAAATGGTAAAAATCTCCTTGCAAATGATCCTTTTTGTTCTCACCCTAATTTTTAAATTTAGCTTTTGGTGTCATCCGGGGTTCTGTTTTACCCATGAATGGTTAACTTTCATAATAAGCAGGTGTCGATTATTTTCATAAGTCTGCACCCAAAGTGATTTGTTTGTGTACTTTATATGGCTGTTCTTTTCACGTGAATGAGCTGCATAGTGCACACTGCCTTGGGTATCCTGGGTATTTTCCGAAGGAATTCCTTGAGAACGTGTGAACAGTTTTCACAATGAAATTTGTGAAGCGTTCCTTAGGATACTCATTTTTTCATTGAAGAATAACTATTTGTAACTTTTCCCTTGAATACACTGCTCTTTTGAATTTACAAAAAAGATGAAAATTTCCCGCCTTGCATGATTACACTTTTTGTTTTAAATTTTATGTTTACGGTGAAATTTACTGCACCACAGTGCATGTCTCTTATTTGCATACAAAATGTATGCCACGCCTTGTGCAAAATGAGCACATCACTGTTGTGACATTGTAATAAAATCCCCCTAAAATTGTCAACTCAGAGTAAGACAAGGACAACTTTCTTTCCCTCCCCGGTATTGATTGCAGAAGAGTAGTAGTGAAGGTATGATTTGGTAGTTTCAGTAGTCCAATGTTGATGTTGGGCTGAATATATTTATATGTACATGTACCATGTATACAGTTTCAAAAGGAAGTGATGTTTCTTGGGATAGTTTCTTTTTATAGTTGTCTGCATTGCACAGCCTACAGAGTGTAGTTATGCATGTCTGAAGCATACCTGTCTGAATATTAGACTCTTTAAAAGTTTTCTGTCGAAATGATAATGCAGTAGCCATACAATATGTGTATTTTATACATTACCACATTTACCATCAGGCATGCAGCCTTTCCTCAGATCAGCTGATTTCCTCGTTTTTTACTTCACATTGATGCTGTTGAAAATGGAAATAATCCTTCGGGGGCATACGCTGAGTATGTAGTGTTAAAATACACGTCGGGCAGGGCAAAAATCCAAAATTAATTTACGTTTCCCCGGCGCAAATCCATCCATGAAATAACTGTTCAAAGTCCTGTAAAGATTGAAATTTCCTCGTTTTTTGACGATGTCCAAGTTACCTGCCTGTACCATGCAATATGTGCATTTAAGTATTACCATGTACATCGTACAGCTGCAGGTATTATTAGAAATGGAAAAAGGTATTCCAAAGGCCATTTCAGTTTCCCCTTGAGTTGAAACCATTCCCAATTAACCCTGCTTTGTATGCATGCATTTGCAATATTTTTACCGTCTCTTAGAAGGGAAAAAAAGGGTTACACGTGTGTTTCAAATGGCTTGGGAAAACTGAAGTCCCGGACACAAAGCCAAAAAAAACTGCATGAAGCTTGACATGATTTTGGTTGCTTCCCACCTCGTTCCCATGGATGTGATCTTGCTGCACCATGTTGGTTCCCACCATGTCTTGCTCAATCTTAACCCCTGGTATTGTACCATTTAAAAATCCCACTGTTTAGATTTAAATTAGGACTGTAGTCAATGTGTTTATGCCAGCTGGAAAGTTACGAGTTTGTAACCTGCAGGAGAATAGCTGGGTGCGAGGGTGTTGCTTTTGAAATACTCGTGCGATTTATGTGACATTTATGTATATTCTTCCTGAGGAGCCAGTCAGCATCATTTGCCTATTCTACACGACCAGGGGCTAGAGAAGAAATGCGCACATAGCCCATGGAGTCTAGGTTGCGTTGGTTCTTAACTTAGTGGATTGACCTTCATTCATAAATGCACTACACTCATGTTGGTTGGAGGGAGTTGAAACACACAATGGATGGCTCTGTGGCTGCATTCTTTGTATGCCAAGCTGTGTCCTACAACCCAGAGTAGTTGGGTAAACTGTCCTACCCTCCTAACAACTCAGCCCTGAAGCAAATCCTCACAATAATGCGTTCACTTTTTAAAATCATATTTTAATCATATTTCACTAATGCACACATGTGACCCTTTGTAATTGTGTGTTGACACCATTCCATTTTTATTGTCTGTTAACAAAACTGGTAAAACCTAAAGGAAATGAGAGAACATGTTCATGTTAACATGACGGGCGGGCAATTTAATGAAGTTTTTCATATGCCAAAAAAATAACTAATGCCACACTTCATTTGGCCCCCTCCATTTTGATTTCACATTTGTTTTTTATTTTAATTTTGTTTCTAATTTTTGACTTAAATTTACTTTTCAATTTGTTCCACTTTTGTTCTGTTTGTCATGCTTGTTATTTTTATTTTCATTTTACTTTATATTTTTTTAAGTAAAACTTCCCCAAAGAAACAAAACAACTACAGTAGCAAGAAATCAATTTAAACATTCGTAAAAAGTATTAAATTTCATTGTGTGACGCCTTGTATGAGGAGCCCGCTTTACACACTGTCCACTAAAACTCCATCAAGGAAAAAGAACTAAAATATATGAAATTGTCTGAACACAGGAAAAGCCAGGAGTGCCAAGAGGAATGAAATAATTTTCCCCTGAATTTTTCTGTTCTGCCCACAGCTTCGAAACATTCTCCCTCTAAACGAAGAGGTTTTAATTACACTCCATCAGTAGGGGGCAGCAGACCTAGAGCGCGCACAGTCCCGGCCGAACTGAGTGACCAGCAGCGATTACACTCATCGCATGGGGGTAGCATGTCGGCTACGCTGGAAGCAGGCATTTCACCAGGAGGACAGGGTGAGTGTAGGCAGAGAGGAGTGGCATGCTTTGTACAGGATCAGCATTGTGGAAGATTGAGCGCAGTCAGTACGACACCATTCAATTGTGAAACCACGCCCAGTTGCCACTGAATATTTCATGGATCATGCGGCGATCTGATGTATGGAGTACCGTTATGTGTGTAAAACAATGTAAAAGGCATTAGAAACAGATTGAACCATATCCAATTTGTTTGCACAACACTTCCTGGTTCAAAATGTTGTCACTTCCTGGTATTCCTTACACCTTTCTTTTGCAATGTCTCCGTCGCAGTTGTTGCCTACCTGTGATTGGGCAAATTGCAGCTTGGCATCATTACACACTTAAGAGAATAATTCTGAAAGCATTAAAAGATCACATGCAGCTAGTAAAAGCCACAAAAAATCCTGTTCGTCCTCACTGAATGCAGACACCTCCCCTTTTAATATTACATGGGTAAACCTGTGCATTTTGAGGTACCTGTATGTTACCAATGGAGGTTGAGCTTTCTGCAGACTTGGGTAGCTCATATGGAGGAAGGCCCGTAGGAATAGTCTTTGAGGAAGTTCAACTGATTCTGAAAAGGATCAGTTTCCACTCTGAAATGCAAATTATTCCTGACTTTTTGAGGAATCAATTCCCTGTCGTAGCCAGTTCCAGTTTCCCAAATGTTCAATTCCAGGCCATCTTAATCATGTTAATAGTTACTTGTTAGATGGTTGGATGGTCTGTTAATGACCTAATAGAGACTCAGAAATTGTTTTAAGTTGGATATAAGTTGAAGTTGGAATCCATTTTGATTGAATCATCTTACTGTTTTTTCCTACGAAATCAGCTTTATTGGGATAAATCTGTTTGGCTTTTCTAATAACTTCTCCAAATGTGAAAGGGGGCATACACTGAGTATACAGTGTTAAAATACACGTCGGGCAGGGAAAAAAACCCTAAATTAATTTACATCTCCCCTCCACCCCGGCATCTTTGAAATAAGTGTGGATAAGAAATTAATAATTCTGATATTCTTTGCCAATTTCTGAAAAGGCGGTGCCAAGCCCAAGGTGGCCAGGCCAGACCTCGTCCCTAGCACGCCGCCCCACTATGGCGAGGCCCTGCAGATGAGCAGTGGCAGCTCGCCCAGGAAGCTGAGCTCGGCCAGCAGTGGCGGCAGCAAGCGGCTAGACGCTAGCGTCAAGTTTGAGAGTCCCGCACGGAGTCCCGAGGAGGAGGAGGGCCGTGCCCCCGTGGACGTCGAGGACATCACGATACGAACCGAGTCCAGGGAGGAGCCGTTTGCCACAGAAGAGCTGCAGCAGAAACTGAGGGAAATGGATGGGGAACTAGACTACAGCCAAAGGTAAGACGGAAAAGGCCTCGGCGTCTGATTGGTCACTCGGCGCGAAAATTGTGACTAGCTCAAGCAAGTCGTAGTGGATACAGTGTGCTTTGGGCACCAGTGTTCTCATTGTGAAAATGCGTCTGTTAGACACGGATGTGTGATTTGGTAAATTGCACAGAGAATTTCAAGCCTAAGCTTACATGTACATGTAGAAAGCAGCTGAAAGCCTAAATGTATACTCGATGTGGTTCTGAATATGCACAAATTATGTATGAACACACAGCATCCCCTTGGAAGAGATAAAATCAAGGATACTGTTGCTGTTATTTCAATTGGGCTGCACTGACGTGCCTTCCCAGGGGTTTTGAACTCTGATGAAAATCAGGCCCGATTTCATAGAGCTGCCAAGCCAAAATACTTCTCAGCAAATGTATGGGCTAGAGGATAGCTGGTAAGCCACTTTTGCCAAGGAGATGTTTGCTCTGCTCAGTAAATTTCTTTCAAATTGGCTCCCGGTTATGTGTAATCCACGTGCCACAAAGCAGGGTACATGAACACTGTGTCTTCCAGACAGTGTTTCTTGTTGAAGTCTGTGCAAATCCAACTCCAGTGTAGGCACAAACTCCTTCATCTGTATCTCTACTCCTGACAGAGTTGGGAACTTTGCTGAATGTAGTTTACAGGGGTCTTTGCAGCTTGTTCTCTGACCTAGTCAAAAGAACTCATAGTCTCATGACCTTTGACATGGGACGAGACTACTCTTGTGTCTTCTTGACCCCCAAACGATTGAGAAGGTAGAAACGGTGCCACACTGGCACTCACTTTTCTAAACATTCAAACGTCATTGTTTCAGGATTTTTTTCTCAATGAAAAGTTCACACTTTGGAACACTGATTTACCGTGAATGTAATGTGTTCAGCGTGAGAATCCCCACAGACAATCTTGAGCTGATTACATCTACATCCGTCACTTAGCATGTTCTTTTCGTCATACATGCACCGGTATTTACTCCTTCATGGGCCCTAAGTTGTTTATCCCCCATTCCCACCACACCATGATGCCACTAATATTTGGGTTATTCCATGAAGTTTGGGCACAGTTTGTGACGGCGTCCCTTGTTACGTTAACTTTTATTGCCCGTTATTTTCACATTTCAACAGATTAAGTCATTATTATTTGGCAAAGATTAACCACACCACTACAAGAACCTAGCAAGATTTAGAACAATGTCAATTTAGAATCCACATGCAGGGAAAAAAGATGTTTATTTTCATGATGTAACAAGGGACGCCGTCACAAACTGGGCCCGAACTTCGTGGAATGACCCATTTGCAATCGCCCACATTTTCTTACATGTGCACCCTTTCACCAGAGCACAATTTTATGACTTGTGATCAGTCTGATAAATGGTCACAAATTCAGAGTGCACATGCACCCAGAGTATACATTTAAAAATTTCGATCTCCTGAAGCATTGCCAGTGCACGGCACAACACTTCTGGCTCAATTTTGTGACTGTTGGTCCGTCCACCCATCTATTTGTTGCCTGGCCTAACGCTCTTCACGCCCTACACCACAGTGACGCTCAGAAAGCAACGATAACGTCTCTGCTCGTTATGGTAGTACAATGCTGTGCTTCGTTAGTGCTTCAAGTACCTGTATGCAGTTGGATCTTACAGTGAAGGCTTCAGTGAATAAAGAGATTGCTGAAGCTGTACACGGTCTGGCGCATTGTTACTGTGGACGTGTATGTGTTGTATATTAACATAGTGCCCATTACTTTAGGGGTTACCTGTTTGTGTATGCACACCTGCTAGTGACTTGGCTGCAAATTGTAATGATAATGCCGTCAGGATGCCTGGCATATGAGTCCTGGAAGTAAAATTGACTGCTTGAACATTCAGTAGATTCTGTTGTACTGCAGATGCACAGGTAGATTACATTATGTCTATTTCTATTGGCAGTGGATTTTTAGAGCGCGGTTGCTGGCAGTGCCGCAGACTTTGTATTTGTGACCGGAATAGGATGTGTTTGAGACGTGCATGTGTAGTAGTGTCAAAGCCAGCCAAACTCAACTGTGCAGATACTGTAGTTGAACTGCCGCAAATCAACTCAAACTTCCCTCCCTGCCGTAGGACCATCATTTGCTGCCTCCACTAACACTTATTCCTCCTCACTGCAAGCGTTACTGTATTTGTAGGGTGCCATAGGTTGACTGCCAGACCAGAGGAGGGCGCCGTTTGCAAAGACCCGGGATAAGTTTTTGAACAAGCTACTTAACTTCCTGATTGAGTGTGTAAAGTTTAGTTCCTTGTTTGCAAGACCATATAGCTTAAATAAAAACTTGGCCCCCAAGAGTGTATCATGGCAAGTGACCATGTATGTACAGTTGTATATGTGTATATAATTAACCACTTCCTGCCGGGGATTCCGGATCCGGACAGGTATGCTTTATATGCGTGGCCGGGGTCTCCGAACTCAGACAAAGGGACCAGGGCCTTGTAACAAAAGACCGTACTCGGAACAAAAAACACCAGGCTGCTGGGCATTACCGACATTTTTTCACTCTCAAAAGTGGAGATAATCCAGCCTTGTTTTGAAACAGTATACCAGGGTTTGGGGCATTTAAAGCGAGCAGATTACCACCGGGGACAAAAGCGCTCCACCACCGCAGCGATGAGCCACACAGTACTGCTGCACGCTAATCTGGCCCCTATTGAAAAGAGGTCAGCAGTGCACTATGCCAGGTTCGTGAACAAAAGAAAGTTATATAACACCGCACAATCTGGGCTCTTTTTTTCAAGGCTGCTGGCCTGGCTGAAATACCCAGGCGTCAATAGATTTGTCTGTCTGACTAGAGTGGCCACCAGACAGTCCTTCACGTGTTTGTAAGTGTCCAGTAAATAAAGATTTAAAGAATTTTTAAAGAATTTTGAAAACAGAAAAAAATGATAAATATCCCAGCCCAGCATCATCAACATTGATAACTGCCCCGGCAGGAAGTGGTTAATGGCCTTCAGGAAAAGTGCCCTCTTTTGTTCAGGATGCAGCTTGTCTCTCTGTTTTGAAACATCTGGCAAGCCTGCTAGAGTTGTGGAATCTGTAGGAAGGTCGCAGGTCAAAATATGTCTTTTCAAAAAACACCGAATTTTTGGCTGTTCATGCAGTGGCAAAGAGCCACATAGAATTTTGCCATCATTACTTCAAAAAAGCGGGAAATGGCAAGATTTTCTGAACTTATTATTTCATTCTTGTACCATGCTTCGATTGGCTTGCCAAACGTTCAACATGTCATGTTTGAATCATGCCCATGTTTTTTTGTTTTTTTTCTAAATGACCAGCCAGAGCAAAGAACGCAAAGCTCCATGTTGCTGGTCTGTGTCAAATTCCCTCCGAGTTGAAATTTACCTGTGGGTGTAACTGACAATAAAGTACATCTGCAGTTGAACACGGCATGCTTGATGCCACAATATTAAAAAGTAAGATATGAACAGCAGGATGTTTATAGCGCAAGTGACAGTATTTGGAGTGCTTGTACTGTGCTGTATGTCTGAGGTGTTTGGAATGAGAGATAAGGCCATTTTGGGCCAAACAGAGCTCCGATAAAAACCTGGTAAGCTTACAGAGTAGCTGAAGAGTCAAATACAGACACTGTAATTTAAATATGGCGTAGAATAGATACGGTATAGCTTTGGCAATTTCTGACTCATTTGTAGGATTTATTTGGGTGCAGATCTTGAGGAATTCACACACAGACCAGAAACTGGGGCTTCAACTAACCGACCACTCAAAGCATTCATACTAACGCTCCTTGCTCGCTGCTTACCTCTCACCCCACCCCTCCCATCCCATCCCTGCCTCTCTCTCTCTCTGTCTCTCTCTTGTTCGCACACCACAGGCCCACACTGACCACCATGCTACCTACCACCCCAACCACCACCCCGACCACGTCCCCAACAATGACTCCCCCTTCCCTCTCCACCCCTCGCACCTACAGCGGCAGCAGCACCATTGACACGCAGAGCGAGTCCTCGCCCCGCAAGATGGCCGCCGAGCTGTCGGCAGACTCGGCCGAGAGACTGCAGGAGCTGCCCAGTCCCGCCCGAGAAGGTGAGGTCCACCTGAGGGTACTCAACAAGGAGAAGGCAGAGGAGGACAGAGAACCGGAGTTTGAGGTGGGCGATCACCAGGAGGATGTAGCCGATGGGGAGGAGCAGTGCTGGTTGTGAGAGGAGAGCTTACCACGCTTATTACACTCTAACCGCTTTGATTACGTCAGTAAACATATCTCAAAAAGGCCTTCTTAGACTGTGTTTTTAGTTGTGTCCAAGAGGTTGGATCATTCAACTCATGCCTAACCTTGAGACATTTGCCAGCTGGCACAGTGACCAGACTATTAAAGTATCAAATGTATATTTCACAAGTTACTTGAAGATGGTGCTTTGTAACTGGCAAGCCATTAACCAGGGGTACTTCTGAATTTGTGCAGGTTCGTAAAGACATAATGACATGAATACCAGTGTGAGAAGGCCTGAAATGAGTCAGATGATGCCAAAGCCTGATTTCTGTTTATTGCCCAGTTGCAAAAGCTCTAGGGCAAAATATTTTGAAATGGGGATATTGGAGGTACCAGGGCACTAAGGGCCAGGTCATTGTTTAACCAGCCATGTACAAAATATCACCGTTGATAGTCTCAAGTCTCTGATCAATCCAAGCACAATCACTTAACCCTAAAAGAGCTGGCTGACATTTTTCCAATACCACAACTGGGCATTTTTTCTCTGGAGCTGAGCCTTTATTTTAGAGTAACCTTTTGCAATCACTTTGACACCTGTGTTGTGAGATTCGAACATAGCGTTTTTGTGCAACTCGCATTTTTCTCGAGATGGGTCAGCCAAGAAATGTATACTTTTACCACTGCGGTGCTCAATGTGCATGGGCTGGTATGCATGCAGACATGAACTTCAAATGACCGCAGAACTGCATGTCCAATTGAATTCAAACTTCGCATTTATAATTTAAGGAGCGTCTTTGTATGCATGCCAAGTTTCAAAAAAATTGAGCGTGGCACAGCCAAGTTCTTTGTGATGGAATCCACCCCCACCAATCTTTGAGATGGGCCAAAATAACCCGGCTCTTTGAGGGTTAAAACTCACGAGACACCACCACCCCATGAGTGTTATGGCAAAACACTGCTCACAGACAGTCAGACAACTCTACCTGTCTACCGTTGGCCAATTTGACTCGGGACAACTCGACAGTTGAGACAACTCGACCGGTGGGACAACTCAACCGTTTACCAAGTCGTCTGTTGAAACAACTTGACTGTTTAATGTGCACATGTAAATGATGTGCACATGTGACTCGACTCACCAGGCGTGGCATGCATAGGGACCTGATGATGTAGCATGCACTAGACTTGTAAACAGCATGTCGGCAGCATGGTGCGTGGCCACAACGGCAATGCGGCATGCACAGGTGGCATGGCACACAGTCTGTGGTGCATGCATGTAGCTACCTTGGCTGCAATGATGATCAGTCACTAGTCTGCCGGTTTGGAAGATGGTAAATCTGACGCCCAGTCCTTTCTCTTTTTTAATTTGAAGAAAAGGTGTGGGCGATGTGACTGTAAAAGCTCAAGCACATTCATTATGAGTCAACTTGTCTCAATTAAGGATTTGTCTCCACGGTTGAGTTATCTGTCCATTGGAGGCACAGAAGGTCTAGTTGTCCCAGCAGTCGAGTTGTCTCAAAGGTCGTGTTGTTCCGACTCGTGTTGGCAAATGGTTGACTTGTCTGAGCCCTATGCTCACTGTTGTTTGGTATTTGCTAGCTCAATGAAGCCAAAAAGTTGAGATGTCTCTTATGTGCTGAAGATGTATGAGCTGGAAAACTACCTTTGCTTTCCGTTATCAGCAGTTGTTCCGAAACTACAGTATATTGCAGTTCAAAGTTAACCGTGGAATGGGAAAAATGTTCTCCTCACACTTTTTCTCTTCCCAGGGAATTTATTTTCCTTGCCTGTGAAAATGTGACAAATTATTCCCTAACGGAGAAGAAGATTTTCACACCTATTTACACAATTGGGAAAACATTTTGACATCTTTTTACTGGAATTGGAAAACATTTTCACATCTTGTGAAATGAGAATGCGAATGTGAACGGGAATTCTTTCCATAAAATTTCCCATTCACAGTCAAATTTCAGCAGCAACATACTGAGACCTAGTTATTTTTCCAGCAAAACCACAAATACTAACCCTGGTTTACTAAAACATGGACATTGTGCGTAAAATGTAAAAACCAAAAAATCCTTTAAATGCTTGCCTTGTGCATGGCTTGAAGTGGTTTTGCTTTCATTTTAATCCCAAATGCCCTGAATTGTTCAATCTCGGTATACATGTAGTTTTTTCACATACCCAAGGAGTCCTGATGGGTGCAATTATGGCTGCTTTGGTAGTGGTACATGTATGTGGTTGTATTTATAGCCTGCCGGTCTAATAGGCCCACACAAGAAATTAATTGGGCATTGAGAGCTCTTGGTTTTTGTTTTGTCTTTTCCAACCTACCTCTGTGCTTCATAAATAGACTGGCGTCCCCAATTTCAGTCGTATTCCTGAACGTACAATATAAATTTGAAACCCTTAATGGGATGGTACCAGGTGATTTTGGGGGTTGGAATGAAATTGTAGAATATAGTCTGGTTCTTTGAATTTAACGTTTTCAAATAAATACCCTACATTGGGGAATGTGACTGAAATTGGGTCCCCACGAATAGGGCCTATTGTGTACGTCCCAGTCATTCTGCCAAATGTTTTAATTGGGCTTGTAATTCCAGCTTGGCCAGCAGAAACCAAAGACAGTTTTGTGTTGGAACTATAGCTGGCAAGTTAACTTGAGTGTACTGAGTCGTGGGTGTTGTTGGATGAGGTGCATTCTCAATATTAGACTTTTCCTTTAACCCTAACAGTCCTCCATCCTCCAATTTCAACATGATTTGACACACCCTTAGGGGCTAGGGTTAAAGCAGCTCTGTCAATGTTAAGCAGCTGTGTAACATTATGGCCCATATGCTAAGCTTCAAAGTCTGCTTGATGCTAATGAGTGTCTGGCCAGCCACCAATTTCCACTTTTGTGGACCTTTTTACGTTCACTTTCTTTTGGAACCATTTGTTGTTAATGCCGCATTTTCTGGCAGAGGGGAGTTGTTTTATGCTTCTCTTGATTCAGTGTAACACTGGCAGATCTGATTCCAGAAATTTGTTGGAAATCCAACTGCAGTTAGATCATATTGGACAGTGACAAAACAAACCATTGTGGAAGGTGGCACTCTGTTCTCGTATGTTTGCATTCAATGTCTCTAGTCTCGTTATTGTCCGTTTCCTGTATCTAGAGATGTGAATATTGTATTTGTTTACGGGGAAAAAGGTATATACACACGCCACTTTTACCTTATATGTGCGTGTCATTAAGGTTAATACTTTGATGAATGTTTTAATGAATGTTTTTGTTTGGAATTATGCACAAATGTGATCAATGTGGAGATTGTGTTTTGCATGATTAAAAAGCAGTTGCCATTTAATATAAGAAACTGAACAGTGAGACGAAACGATAGTTATATGGCACCATGGTTAAATTTTCTTTTTTTACTATGAAAATTTGTGACCCGTTCTGTAAAAGTGAGTCACAAGTCACTGGAGCCACTTTTGAGTTTTACTTTGTATAAGATTGAGGAATTTGAGCTCATTGTTTTGATGCGTCACTCAGTTTGGTATGATGAAAGTGGAGGTTGTGAAGATTTTAAATAGTTGAGGATTCCTATTGCTTAAACTCTGCAAGATTCTTTCAAAGGCCTTTGACTCAAAAGTGGCTCTGGCCTTATTTGACTCTTTTTTGGCCAAGCGGGTCACAATTTGCCGTTATACTTGAAGTCAACTGTGTGGCACATGACTACGTGTATGTGGACATGCAACCAATACTGTCTCAGACGCTTGTTAATAGAATTATGTCACAGGTTTCCCACATTTGAACCAAAAAGTGCTTCAAAAGCAAGAGTGCTGTTGTACCAAGTACTTGTACTTGTAAAATATCCGCGTAATGCTCAAGAACAGTAGAAAGCTGTGTTCTTGACTGGGAGTTAGCTTGTGTTTGAGTAATGATATGTGACCTGTTCACACAAACACTGAACAGAGTAGCACAGAACAAAAAACTTTTATCATTAAATTTTAATAGATTGGGCAACGACAGGGCTTTGATTCCTTCTCTTGGGATTACATAAGGAAGGGGTGAACGCTACCATTTCTGTATTATCGGATAGCTTCAATGAATCAACTGGAGAACTTGTTTTTAATTTCTGTGTCCGTATTTCGTTGGAACACATCCAAAATGGGATTTGGTTTTATTTCGTTTAGTGTTTGAAATGTTTCCCTTGATTTAAGTTATCAGTGTTTATGCAGCTGTGAATTTCATGATTGTATTTGATTGCATTACTCAGAGTCTTGGGGGAATAGATCCTTTTCTCATGTTGACCCACATCTGTGGAACAAACTCCCTTCAGATATTCACACCATCTCCTCCGTCACTGGCGTCAAACTTTCTCTTAAAACCCACTTGTTTAAGAAGTGTTATATTATTTCTGGTTCATTTTACTTGGTTGAAATTTGTATCGAGCCATGAGTGTCAAATTTGGCAGATGCTGGCTTGTTGTAAATTTTCTGTGTTATTAACACAAGTACACTCGTGAGTGTACAAACAGTAGGAGTTATCGAGTAAGCCAAGTGTGCCCTCAACCGGACCGGAAATACACTTTTGAATCCGTTGGTCATTTCAAGATTCCAGAAAGGGGGCACATTGACCATTCATTGGATGTGATCCAAGAGTAATGTGCATTCCAGATTTCCTGCCGCACCACCTTGAGAGCACCATGCTCAACTGTAACCCAGCCGACTCGCAGAAGAGAATCATTTGACTGTGAACATCACAGGTTCGAGCCCAAGTCCCCGCCCACACTTTTTTTACACATGAGAACCTTTTTTCAAAGGTTTTTTGAGACTGTTTTGAACTTTTTTTTCCCATTAAAAGCGAAGCAAAAACAGTTTGCATTGAAACATTTCCGAAATGTATTTGAATCTAAGCCAAGCCAGTTTCAGTAACTTTCAGGTATTTGTGATTTTGTTTTTCACAATCAACACAAAAATCTAACCTGTTTATCTAGGTTTCTTTTCTGATTGAATGTGAGAAAGAAAAAAAAAGACACAAGCCAGTGAAAGATGAGTGTTCCAATAGTATGGTTTCGTGTACATGTACAAATACTTCCTCACTGGTTACAGCGAGAGAGGCTGAGCCCACACAGGATCAACGTAGTGAAAGATCAAGGAATGACCGGTTGTACATCTGTAGACAAGTTTGGCCGTGAACTATAGTTCAACCAGTAGTCCGTCACTTTTTAACAATCACACTCAAATGACCCTTATTGGCCTCTTTTTTAAAATCTCATTGTTTCTCAAATTGCACCATTGGCTTTGATTCTGACAGCGAAAACATGGTCATTGAATTCTTGTACAATTTCCTTTTTTTTGTGAAAAGTTCCCTTAATAATAAATGAAATCGGTCATTGATAACCAGTGGTGGGACTATACCTCATGGCCTGGTGACTGATCCCAAATGGTCAACTTGATAGTCCAAACCATCCATCGTTCGTTGTTAGTTGAACTATAATTGTCAATAGTTGTCGCTCAAATTAAGATTTTTACCTGTTACCAAGGATATTTTGTGCTCAGGTTACCAGGGAAAATCAACCAGTGATCCACAGATGGTCATCCCATGTGAAGAACTGGTTCATGTGTGTCTGTTCGGTTCATGGGTACTCTCTGCGCCACATGTTGAAGCTACATGTAGTGAGCTTTGCTTTGTAACTCGTGGGACCCTGTAATGGAGGTTGTGAAGATGTCGCATAGGCCTGCTAATGGCCAATAGTCCGGCGTTGTAGTCGAGTCCATCACAAGTCCCTGTAAGTCCACCACAAATTGTCGAGTCTTGAGCCAAGCCACAAGCAATTCAAGTGAACTGTGAGAAAAGCATTCCTGTGTCATTATTCACCCATTATATATAACATGTCTTGTGACTGACTGGACTTGCGAAGGGACATGATAACAGGACTTTTGATGGACTGAACTATGACACTGATGCTACGTGCCCTTTTAATACTCTGCGGAAAGACAGTTTCAGAAGCATTTTTGGGTCAGAGTTTACCGCCCCAAAATGAACAGGACGAGTCCAGGAAATCATCAATAAGGAGTGTTCTCACAGTAGGAGAAAAATGAGTGTTTTCCAATCAAAGGAATGACCATGTATGGTGTGCGGAACCAGCAGGAGTGCACATGTTGTCTACCAGCCCCGAGGAATCCTGTTGCTGTATAAAAAGAAGTGTCCCCTCTCCTTTGCACATGTGGTCTGTGGGTAATACGGGCGATTCACAATAGTGCGCCACCATGAGTTTGCAATACATTGGCCAATCATAACGCGCAAGATTTATCGATCCTTTCCAAACGCGCATTGGGTCAACAAATTTTGCGCATTGTGATAGGTCAACGCGTTGCAAACTCTTGATGGCGCACTATTGTAAAATGGCCGTATTAGTATCCTTGAGTTTTGTCTTAAGTCCTGACTACTACTGCAGTAACCAAAAAGGATGTTAAGCAAATTCCATGCTAGAAAGTGAAAGTATTCTCATTGAGTTCTCAATAAATTCCTCATGGAGAAGTTGGAGATGTATTTATGGTCAAAATGATACCCTGTATTCTTGTGCTTTTTGAGGGGGGAAGTGTTGTCTAAAAGTGATGTATGTAATTGATTTTTTTACAATTGATTTTATTCATATTTTGTTTAGTGATTGTATGTCTGCAGGTTATGACTCTGTTATTTATACTTCAGTAGCCATGTTTTGGCATCAATTTCTTCTGTAAATTATTAACAAAGAAAAACGTATTAAAGCTGGTGTAAAATTCTTCTCACTTGCATGTGTAACTGCTTTTTGTATCTAACACCATTACTGGTTAAAAAAATTGAAGAAGCATTATGGAACCATGTGCTTATTAATATGCGTGCTGTAAGATGTTAAGAGTATAAAAAAAACAACAAATAAAGTTGTAAATAATATTTATCATATGTTGGCTCGTTCCGAAAGGACAAAATGGACCATTTCTGGTATGAGGTTGTTTCATTCAATAAAACAAGAAGGGAAAAAAAAAAGAAAACAATTGCACAAAACATCCTAGAGATTTTGTATCTTTTATTCTGTTTGTTTTGGTGATGATGAGATTTCTTTTGTTCCTCTTTGATTTTTCTCCTGTTTGTTTTCGTGCAGTGGTAGGGATATAGGGCTAGAGCTCCCTGAGTCATCCTAAGAAGAGCCAATCAGCTTTCGGAGACACTGTTGGACAGCAAGAGCCAGCCAATCGCAATGCAGACTCAGTCAAAGCTTGTCTCACTATCTGTCAATCAAAGCAGGGTATGCCATACTCGATACTCGGAGTGTGGAGCACACAGGCCCTTCTGCAGCAGGGTGATATCTGCTTAAAGCTGTAAGATACGCTCAGCTGGATGAGTGGATCGTGCAGTGACCTTCCAAAGGTCATGAGAGTATTTAACGGACGTATGCATAGGCTTCGGTGTGAAGTCATTTTTGACTGTTGTATTTTTGTAAGTGCCCAGCAGTTGGTAGTGTCAGGTATTCCAAAGCACATCCAAAGATTTGCATGTACAGCATGTCGCTGCTCATATTTAAGTTGTTCAAAGCTTTTAAGATGACCAACGAAGACACTCAACAGATACGCGTCATACCAAGATTTGAAAGCCTTGGAGTAGTTGGTTCTTATTTGTCACTAATTACACTACTTTGTTATCATAGTAAAGATTAACTGGGGCCTATTACTTTCCATTGTCTCCTGTTGACCATCTTTTGTTACATTTTCGGCTACTAACAATGAGGAGAAAGCTATTTGTCAAGATCGACTCTGAACCCTAGATTGTCATAAATTTTGTACAGCTATTTTTTAAATAGAGGTCATCCACAAAGGAAAAGTGTTTGATTTCAGCCATCTTTCATGTATAGTGTTGTATTCGAGTCCATGATAAGTCCGTAACAAGTCATTCAGTCTTAAGCCAATTCACAAGCTAATTTAAATGAGCTGTGACAAAAGCATTCTTTTGTCATTGTTCACCCTTTACGTATGACTGGCCTTGTGAAGGGACTTGTGATGGACATGGCTGATTTTGGTTTCACCACTCTCCAATTCTATAATCTCCACTCTAAAATCATGTTGGTACCAGAAAGAAAAGAAAACCCAAATTAAAAAAACAAAACAAAACAAAAAAATAGAAGGGATACCATTCCTCTTTTGGTGTAGAGTATCTGGAGGTTTTCACTTGATGCCCGCACAAAATGAGGACTTATTGTTTGTTTTCAATCCGTCTTTTTAAACAGTAGTGTACAGTTCTTTACGTGCAAATGGTGTAAACCGTCAGAATGAAAAACAAATGACTATTTTCAAAAATTTCCTGTTAAAAACCCTCTGTAATTATCTGTAAATAAAGCAGGGATTAACATTATTTATGTAAGTGCTATGTGTAATACTAGAGCTTGGATGTATTACCAGGTTTTGGTGATGCTATAGGGGAAAAAGGTCAGATTTAAGAGTTTGGTGCCAAGTTTTATATCATGAAATGTGATTGTAGATATATTTGGGGAGGTTTATGTTACTTTTTAACTTTTGCGTTATCTGGCTTCATTTCTTAATACCCAGAACAGACATTTTAATACACTCAGGAGACCAGCATACTGAGTTGCATATAGCTTAATAAGGGCTAGAATGCTGGTACGGCATTGGGAGGGTAGAGGGTTTGAATCTCAGAGCAGGCTGGTTTTCTTGTGTTAAACTGTTTACAGTTTGAGATTGAATTTCTGAAAAATGCATTATGCCAAATGGTAGTGGAAGTAACAAATGATTAGATTTATTTTAAAAAGATAACTGATGAATGCAGACATTAACGTCTTTTAAAAGGGGGGGGGGCAGAAATTCAAGTACTCCTGTGATCAGACTTAAAACCACCATGATTTTTATGTTTAGGGACTCATTATCATTTCCTGTATCAGAAAACCTTGCAACAAGTCAAAACTTTGGAGAGATATTTCTTAAAGCATGACAAACAAGAATTACGTTCGATGGCTTTGAGAGGATACAAGAACTTATTGCATGAGCTGTAATTATATTGCACAAGTTGTAATTATATTGCACGATTTGTAATTATATTGCACAAGTTGTAATTATATTGCACGAGTTGTAATTATATTGCACAGGTTGAAGATGGGTGCAATCTTGTTGAAATATGTGCAGTATATTCTTGTATCCCCCAAAAAACCATCAAATATTTTTATTAATACTGTGCTGATGATTTTATTCAAGCAAACTTGATTTGGATCAGCCAATCAGTTTTTTTCTGGCTCAGCATTCAAACTTTGCTCAAAGTTCAGAGGAGTTTCAACTCTTGTGGCGATGCGTGTGTGAGATGGCATGCCGACACAATATCAGGTGAACGCATTACTGGCATGCATTAATTAACTGGTTAACATCTGGGAGTTGACATGATAGGGAACCAGCCCAATTAATTCAAGAGAACAATGGTGTAACTTTGTGGAATAGATTTGTAATAAATGTGGCATAAATTTAGAAGCTGGTACAACTGTATTTTTGTAAATCAAATTTTCCCCAAAGATTTGAAGATGGTGCTGTTCATTTCTCAATTAAAGATCCCTCTAAAAGAATGTTGGAGATTTAGGTATATCATTTTGATATTTCACTTTCCATTTTGCCATTTTGTCTTTTTTGGTTTAGTGTCATGTACATATTTCACAATGCTTTGATGTTGGGCATTATCAGGGTACACAGCTAGACGTATTTCTTTCTTTGTATAGACTTTTATGTTCTTTTTAATGGACAAATTCTCTCCTTGGCCAGTAGAAAACACGACCAGATTTTACCACAAAGCACCAATTCAGTACAGAGGTAAGACTGGATTCTTCTAGTTTTTAGATTTCTTGCAACGGTCAACATTGAATGTTTTTGTTACATGTTATAGTTTTCACATATCACTGTAATGCCCATTATTGCTTCATTTGACTGCTAGGCCGGACCATAAATTTGTCACCCTGGGAACGATACTTTCGTTATCTCCTTCAGTTTGCAGGTCGATAAACTTGTAAACCACTCAAACAGAGCATTGTGTGAAGAGAGAAGCCTTAAGCACAACTCATCATCGAAGGGGGAGGGGTCATTCCCCTCATACATGACATGTGGGTATGGATATACATGTACATCAAATGTAAATTCATTCGTAAATACCTCAACAATATTCAACAATGTGCAACTTGACTGTGTATTAACCTTTGATGTACTTGCCGAGAAGTGATAATGCCTGCTGCATAAATCATATGCTGGCACATGGATGCAAGACATAATCGATTCTGATTGGTCAAGAGTCTGTGTGCATACGGCTTGCCAAGCACATACCAAGTCCATATGAGGAGATTCTTTTGGAAAACTTGCACAAGGAATATACCATAAAATGGACGGAGGTGTTTGGGTAAATGAAAGTAAAATTCTAGAAGAAAATCACTGGAAATCCATCATATATTGACTTCTTTTGACTTTCTTCCTAGAAAGGTATTTATGCATGGGAATAAATATGTGCTGGCAGGTCTTAAGCTAACATTTAAGACTGGCTGAGGAGACTGAACACTGATAATTGTTGCTGCTCGGGCATTACTCACATCCATACTCCTGAGCCAGTCTTAAACGCATGTTTAAGGCTGGCCAAGCACATATTTATTCCCTTAATATAATGTTCACTGGAGAAATATGGGCCTGTTTGATTTACATGGATCTGGATCATGATCAGTGATCCAACGTTGGTTCACTGACACCAGAACCTGCTTAATGGATGGAGTGAACGAGCATTGGGATCAATGGAGTTCATTTCTTATGACCACAGTGTCTGTATAAAATTTCATTCTTGTCCGCAGGAAAAAAAAAATTCTTTTTGTTTTCCACAATGCAGGATTTGCAAACCTGGTTGCCAAAGGTGATTTCTAAAGTACGAATTACTTTGGAAAAAATGTAAGGGGGAATTGTGTTGAAGATGAGAGTGTCTACAAACCCTGCATGCTAAAGTGGTCACACTTTAACCCAGAAGTCATAAAGTAGTCATATACTGACAAGCAGCTCATCGAGGACTGATCTGTTGAAAAAGCATCAAGGTACATGTATTTACAAATACATTTGTACTGTACAAGATTCCAAAGTTTTTTATGACGATGTTCCCCATATGCTGTAGCCATCTACCCCCAAAATCCACCTACCCATCAGAATGACATAGCAGTTCTTGGATGCTAACGCTCCTCAATATTCCAAATGTAATATGATTTTACATACATTATGTAACAGTACATGTATTGGTACATTTACATGGTGGTTTGGCATCTCAGGGCTCCAGCCACTATTTTTGTGGTTGGCGTAAATTGTGGAAAAATCACGGTGTGGTTCCCTAAATAAAGCAGTTGCTTTCATTGCAAACTTCCTATTAATCGAGTCAGTGAGCAAAGTGCAAGTGTTGGAATGACCCTTTGTAGATCAGTACTGTATGCAACTCAAAATGAAATGGCCAACTCATCGATTTCATTTCTTGATACATAATCAGATTTATTCAATAAATTTCCACTGTCTACAGTCCCAGAATACAAAACTGCAGTGAATGGAATGAATTCATACGAGGGAAAAAAGCTCGCATGAACAAATATCCGTGAGCTCCTCTTGGATTTCTGTCAAATGAAACATAATGGGAGAACGATCCATGAAGTGGAGTCCCTTGTAACTCTATCTCAACTCCGCCAGTCTCAAGTCAACTCACAAAGCTGTGACAAAAACATTACTCTGTCACTGTCCAATGCTCACCGTGCTTAACTTGTGACTTAACTGGTGATGAACACAAAAGTGCTGTGAAAATGGATCAGTCTGTGACAGTTTTATGGATACAATTTGCCTGCTGTGCTGACCTCACATTTCATGAAATAACAAGTACAGTTGACAGTAGGTAGAAGGTAACGTAATGTCTGTGACTACATAGAGTCACCAAGGCCCTAATTTTGCCACCTATCGAGGGGTCTGTTTGTTTTTTCACAAGATATGGCAAAATTAGAGACCGGTCCACCATACAGACATCAGCCATCTGTGTGATTCTAGAACAGCTGATGTCTCAGAGAATTTGTGCTACAATTCACTCATTTTTTGTCCTGATCATTCTTTGAAATGCAATTTCACTTTTTACACAATTGAAAAACAATTAAATAGAACACTGAAGTATAAAATTACAAGAGATTTTTCTTCGCAGCCAGATCCTACACTAATTACAATATGTTATATATACATTTATCTACAATAATCATCATTAGTTTCCAAATTACATGTACATGAACTTTTTAAAGCAAACCCTATTACACAATTTGGTTCGTGCATTACCTTTTCTAATCATGAATTTCAGAGACAGTAGGGGTAAGAGAAAAAAACTTGCAATTTCCTTTATAAACTAAAAGCTAGGAAAAGTTATGTCAACAAAACTGGTGACATCTGCATACTTCAAAAATATCGGACATTCTGTCAAACGTCTGCAGATTTTTTTTTTGTCTGCAAATCTCTGAGAATACATTTTCAATTAAGAAAGATAATAGCATAGCATATTGGGATAAGGAAGGTCACTTGTCATAGTGTATGTGTACTATGTGTATACAAGGTGAACAAATGAAGTTTGGCATCCTGTTTCACATCCTTAATATCTTTTCAACGGGTCCAATGGAAGGACAGATACAATGTTCACAGAAGCAGCCATTCACCTGATATTTTTATGCAGTCTGAAAGCACCCCTTGGCTTTGCTGAAATGTTTTTCAGCAATTCAGTGAATATCCTCTCATGCATGGAAAACTCTAAAGGATTGTATATCTCAGTTGTACATCTCACGATTATATCAATGGTACTTCTTTGTTGGAGGGATTTTCTCCTTAAACCTTACTCTCGTACTTTATTTGGCCCTTGTAAAGAAACGGAATGGAAGAAACAAACCATCATTAGCCATGACGGACCACTTTTCTTTTAATACAGATGTTCAGAGTTAATACAAGGATACACGAGAACCAAAACCAGTTGATATCTAAATTCACACCCTACAATGACCTGAACACAATCTACCAGTCCAAGTTGATATGTACAATGGCATTTTTAATTCAGATGGATCAAAATTTCATATCGGAAGACAAAGAACCACTGAGCAAAACTAGATTTTCCAGTACACAACAGTTTGAGAATAAGCAGCACTAAGATACACAGAACTGAACGTTTTCATTTTTCAAGAACTGGAAGGTGGAATGAAAGGTAAAAATTCTGCAAAAGTATCTTCAATTTTTTTTTTATTTTACAACTTGATTGGTCTTTCACTTCAAGTGTAGCATATTATCACCACAGCTTAATGTTTGAAATCTAAAATGGTTTCTACAATCTACATGTCTCGGATCTCAATGCCACTACAAGGCTGTACTGGATATAACATAGACACTTATGGAAGCAGCTCAGCGGCTAGCAACTACAGCAACTTCCAGTTCATTTCAGCCACAGCTAGTTCATTTGTCAAAGCCACATAATAATGGCTTTGGCTAACTTGCTGTCAATTGAACTTTTTTTTTTAACCCAAACTAGCATCTGTAAAGTAATCTATTCACGTGACTTTGCAGACCACAATTACTGTGAGATGTGGGGGGAAAAGAAATATTGCTCTGATCCATGTCTGAAACGAGCTTCCAAAGCCCCGCCCATGTCTTGTCAGTGTGTCCTTCCATAATTGCAATGACCAAGACCTACCTTTTGATAAAAAGTACAGCAACAACTACAACTGTCAGTGGAAATGACAGATGAGAATACCAACAGTGAACTGTGCTGATATAAACCAATATGCATCACTATCAACAAGGAACATTCACAAATTACAGTGCAGTGTTTTGAACAACCCAAAAAAATCGTTATTTATGTGGCCACTCAGGGCCCTTTAAAATCAGCCCATACCCGTGACCCTTGTGTAGTTATATGTATGTGCTGGTAATGTTTCCCTCCCCCCTGGCTCCCCTCCTGACAATCCAGTCAGGGTGGCTTTTGTAAAAAAAGTCCAACATCTTCAAATTTTCACCCTTCCCCCCTCATCTGACCCCTCCAGCATGCACCCCTTTCCGCTTGCCACTCTTTCGGCCTTCAAAGTTCTTCTCCAGGTTCATAGAGACCTCCCGCTGGAGGTTGGGCAGGCTGTCCTTGACGGTTCCCCCGCCGCTGACCACCCAGGGGTGGGCCAGCACCTGCTTGGCCGTGTAGCGCTTCCTCTTGCTAACCACTATCAGGTGATCGATCAGGTCTTTGGCATCTGTTTCAGTGGAAGACAAAAGAGAAGGAGGGGCCAGAGTTTGAAAACCATGTACTGAAATTCAGACTCGTGATTGGCTCTTTTGCCAAGGCATACATTGTACAATCATCTAGAAAGCTTGTGTTGCGCTCACTGGTAAATCATATTTGGGGCTGTCCTCAAAGAACATACAGAGGGGAAAAGGGGGGAGTACATCTTGCATAGGGGAGTCCAAGGCAATATGTACATAAGCAAAGCATTAAAATTGCTTTTTTTGTATAACAAAAACCATCTTTTAGCCCCACCATGTGATTTTTACCATGACCAGCATCATCAAGTCTAATTTCTGATAAGGGTAATATGGAAGGAGCTAGGGGTTGTAGGCACTTTAATGGCGGTGCCCTAAAATGGTGTCTCAACATGGGTCATGATTTGAGCTTTAAGCATCAGTTTCTCAAATGGATAGCAATGCTTCACATGGTACCAACAGACGATATGACAGAAAAATGCAAAACTCATTTAACGGTTAAAATGAAATTCGTGTTGTGCCCCTTACCCAAACTGGCTTTTGCATGAGGCAAAATTAAACCAACTAATGAAGATTACAGGCAGAAACAAAGAGAACTTACAGACTGGATTTCCACTTTGGGGCCTTTGTAAGCAGTGAAAACAACAGTTTATAGGAAACCCACGGAAATGTGTTCAGATCGGAGCACCCAAGGTCACGCTGCTCTCTTGGTGGGATTCAAACCCAGGTACTACAGAGGTGAGAGGCTAGTGTAGAACCAATGGGCTAACAAACAAAGAAAAAACAAGCCACTCAGTTCCCTACCATCTGTGATATTGTCCCAGTAAGGTGAGAGGTAGACAAACTCCCCAGCCTGGATGAGTTCAAAGAGCTCTTCTTGGTCCCGATCCAAACTGCGAAACGGTGGGAAACCACACAGCAAGATGTAACAGATGACGCCCATGGCCCACATGTCAACTTCAAGCCCATAGCCTGGAAGAAAAAGACAGGCATTTAAGGGCTGCGCTGATAATTCAAATAGTCAGCTATTTGACCGATTATCAGATATTCAAGTATTTATATTCAAAACCAAATAGTTGGAGGTAAAAATCAAGATAATAGAAAAGGGGAAAATACTGACAATCCAATAATTGGTTACAAAATTGCATTCCAATGCATCACTACAAAATGAGCTGGAATTGTTGGAATTTTCCAAAATTGAGACCTTTCCAGTGGCACATGAAAAAGCACTTGGAGAAAAAAATAGGAGGACACTGTGACATTAATACCAGCGGCTTTGTATGTTTGTTTTTGACAATTGTTTCAACATTTCTGACCAGGCACAAATAATTGTCATTTTTTCACATGGTCACCTACATGTATTTCAACGTGTTTTGGTTAACTCCACTGCCCAAGAAGACAAGAAAGTTGCCTTTCTTTCTTTTTTTATAATATTATTTACATTTGGTTTCCGCTGTTGTGAGAATGTGACACAGTCAAATATTTGAATATTTATTAGAATGAGTTCAATAACTGAATATTCAAATATTCATTTATTTGAATTGGCCCAGCCTTTGAAGACATTCATAACTGTGTTGATTTCAATTAAGCTCATAAAATATCTCATTTTGCTGTTCCACTGGAGTAAAATGAACTGTCAAATCTGTTCCCAGTTCCACACTCCTGAAAAACAAAATTATTGGATAATCTCTTTACCGGTTTCTGCTAGTATTTCTGGAGCGACGTAAGTGGGCGTCCCACAGACTGTGTAGATGGGTGCTTTGACCTCCATGGCCAGGCCAAAATCGGCCAACTTCAGTGTGATGTCGCCAGAGGAAGACTTGCTGACCTGATGGTAGAAAGGAAGAAAAATATGCTGTTTTACAGATTTAGAGTTATCAATAGTTTCTGTGACATATTTGAAGTTGATAGAGGGCCTGATACTGCAAAGGATCCAAGTCTGTACTGAAAAACAGCACGCTGGGTAGTCCTGTTTTTAGAACAGCAAACAGGTAAATGTTCAGTGCTCCCTAATATTATTGTATATGCAATTTAAGTGCCAGAAACACACTAAGCACATGCACACATACTTTTCTGCAGTTGTGGGGACAACACACACGTTGAAACATAGAAGTGGGAACCCAAACATTACAGGAACAAATTTTGGTCCATATAACTCAGTCTCAACAATCCAAACAAATAAAATGCTCCCCTGGACACAGTGGCAACCAGGGCACACATGTATGGCGTGAAGTATACCAAATGCAGCACTTGAGTGTCCTTTTTTTTATATCTTGTCAATGCTGACATTGATCTTGTTCAAATCCAACCATGTACCGGAATGACAGGAATCCAACCTATGTACTTCAACGTGTATCTCCCCTGAAAGTCCCATGTACATGTACTAATTTGCAGCCCATAAATGTACATGTGCACTGACAATTTCAATAACTGAACAGTGTAATATTAGCACTCAAACTGACAAACACATCAAGCTCCATCTTTATAAAAGTGCATACATGTACATGTATGCACATTTAGGTTTGTGTCTCACACGTGCATAAAATACCACATATACTTCTAGCACACTGTGCAATCACTTACATGTACATGTACATGTACACGTACGTACATGTACATTGTACATGTAGTTTTTTCCATATCCAAAATGTTCCATATGCAGGACATAAAATGACTGTTTATACAGCTGTGCAGGTTTGTGGGATGTAACCATGGTAACTGTGGGTTGTAATTGAAGGCTCAGGTTAGAATAATTTGAATCCAGGTACTGGCCATGAGCCCAGAGTTAAGCCTACATTGTACAGTACATGTACATGATAAGTATAATGTTCTGCCAAGCCAACATTCCTCTCGCTACCTACAGACAAGTATAAGTGACGACCATTTGTCAACCATGGGTTGATTTTGATTTGACTGGGGTAGGGGGGCCACAAATTCCCCCGGATGAATGGATATTAAACAAGGCTAACAAATGTTTGCCCCCCAAAAACTACACCACTGAAAGCTGGTGCAACCAATAAGATGCTGGCAAGTAATGTTTCATACACACCGATACGGGGATAAAGACTGACCTGATGGACCATATCTGTATAATGGTCTTATGGACAGATATTTTCTTAATACCGGCATTTTAACAATAGTACGCAACCAAGAGTTTGCAACGTCTTGGCCAATCACAATGTGTAAAATGTGTCGACCCTTTCCAAACACACATTGCAAGTCGACACGTCCGGCCATGTCGATCAACCCATTTAAACACGAACCGCGTACAGTGGCCACCGCTTTCCTAACTCTTGGTGGTGCACTGTTGTGGAACACCTGTATTATAAAAGCAATTTATTGACAAGCACTGTTCACTGTTCAGTGGATTATCAATCCAAACCCAAAGCAGCCCAAACAAGCCCACCACCATGCAATAATCTAAAAGCATAAACTTCCAACCTTGCAAAGCAACAACATGTGGGGCATGCATAAGAGTCTTGATTGAATAATATAAAAACGTAATCCTACAGCAACTGCCCAAACATTCCCAAACCATACTCAGAATCAAACTCTACATGTACATGTATATGATCACAAACGATACATGTACATGTAGTCTACAACGTCTTTCTACAGCTAGAGACCATTGCCAAGAGCTACAAACTTTCAGTGTACAAAACTTACAGTGCACGTTATTTTGCTGCTTACAGAAAAAAAAGGCGTGCAAGTTTGTTAAGAAGCAAAGCAAACAGGCTTTTTTTAAAACTTACCGGACGTTTCACAAACTAGCCAGCGGAAAGAGAGATGTGATAGAATTGAGGGCACGTACAACAAGAGCAATGGAAATGCGCAGTCACTTACGTACAGTGCAGTAACCATAGTAATAGCTCAAACAAAAATTAACAGAAAAGCATGAACAAAATGAATGGCCTTTTCATGATTTAGCACTTTAGACTTCTAGATCCAAATAAAAAAAAATGGGCAAAAAGAGCTTGAGGTTTTAGACACATATAACACAGCAGACCAAAACCAGGCATATCTACACGTAGGAAAAAACGAAAATGTTTCCAAAAAGTGTAGACTCTGGACTGTACAAAGCCACTTACTTTCATGAACATATTTTTGTGGGAGAAGTGAGAAGTCGATTCAGAAGGGAAACATGATTCTTAGATAGAATCAAAATCAGACACAAAAAACATTCAAATTGGTTAAACATACATGTACTGTTTACATTATACCAAACAATTTAGGTTGTTGTGCTTTTATGGAAACTTTCAAAATGGATTGATTTTCACCCTGAACTCACCAAGAGGTTTTCCGGTTTGAGGTCCCGATGGACTATATTCAGACTGTGGAGGTAGGCCAGAGCACTGGCCATGTCACTGATAATGACTGCTGCGTCGGCCTCCGTGAACTTGACACTCTCTGTGATAGCGTCAAAAAGGTCCCCTCCTTGGACGTATTCCATCACGAGGTAGATGTTCTCCTTAGTCTCATGCTCCTCAAAGAGCTTGACGATGTTTGGATGGTTGACGTTCTTCATGATGCCAATCTCATTTTCAATCATGTGCTCCTTGCCCTTCAGCTTGGACTTGTCCACTATCTTCATGGCAAACACCTGCTCCGTGTTCTTTAGCGTAGCCTCGTGGACGTCTGCAAAGTTACCATCTCCAATCTTGGAGCCAATGGTGTACCTCTTTAGAATGGAATCCTTCTCCACAATCTCTCGGGGATCAGACGTGAAGTCCAGTTTCTTTTCCTGTTTACCCTGCACATCACCCTCGCCATCTGGGGAATGAAGTTCATGATTACTGTAAATGTCTTCGTTTAGACCAAAGTCTTGTGCATCAAAGCTGTTGATGTAATCTTCTGGAGTCTGGGACACATTCTCTAATTCTGCCAACTGTTGTTGCTCTTCTTCGTCTTCCAACCGCTTCCTCTCTGCCTCTTCCTCCCTCCTCCTTTGCTCTTCCTCTTCCTTACGCCGCAGTTCTTCCTCTTTTGCTTTCAGCTCTGCCTCTTTCTTGGCAATAGCCTCTAGCCGCTCCTGCTCAGATTTCTTTGCCTTGTCCTGTAGCTGTTTCTTCAGCTGCTCCTCCCTCTTTCTGAGTTCCTCCTCCTTCAATCTTAACTCTTCTTCTTTCTTCCTGTTCGCTTCTTCCCTTTCTGCCTCTTCTTTCTCTTTCCTCAGTTTCTCATCCGTCTGTCTCATCTTGCTCTCCATCTGTGCATCCTCTTTTACTATCTCCTCTTTCTTCTCTCTTCCCAGATCTCCATCCTCTAGGGAAGCCTTCTCTGCATCCTTTGATTTCTTACCAGCTTTCTTGGGCTTGGTCATGGAGAGGATTTCTCCCCCATCATCATCCTCCAAGCCACTATCACTCTTGCTGTCCCTCCCTTTCATCCGTCTCCTGTTGCTTTTTGTGTAGGGATTGTTTGAAAATTCCTCTGCATAGATTTCTGCAATTTCTTCCTTGCTCAGGCTGTGTTTTGAAGCTGATGCGATGAAGGCATCGTCAGAGTTCCTAAAGAAGTCTGCCACCCCCTTCACCTCCTTTCCGTGGATGGTGAACAACTTCCGAATCCTATGGTTCTTGTATTTTGGAAGACCGAATGCATCCGAGATGTCCTGAATGAGCATCTCGAAGGACTGGACACTCCGCTTGTTCAGTAAGAGAGAGACACTCTGCCGTGGCCTGGATCCTGCCTTGACGATCTTACAGAGCTTGGGCTTGGCGGGGCTGAGGTCAGGATGGAGCGACCCTGTTGACTTGGACACGGGATCTTTTTCTCGATGAGACACAGGCGGCCTTTTGACCCCTGGAAAAGATAAGGAGACCGGTCCACTGCCTCCTTTCTTGAGTGACTCTGGACCTCCGGCAGGACTCCTCGCATAGGCAGCTGCATATTTGCCAGTGCTGGGGTAGGAGTAACTGAAGCGACCATACAGATCACTCTGAAGCTGACTGTGTTTGCCTGCAGAAGACCAAAGAAATCAGATATTGCAGTAAAACTAGTATTTGAGTTTCAAAATGCTCTTGACTTTTCCCTTTGTGTAAACCAGAGGTTTGAATCCAAACCAAGGTATTAAGCATTATTGGTATTATTGCCAATTCAAGAAAATATCAATTTGAAAACTGCTGTGATTGGGGTAAAAAACATACATGTTGATCGAGAGTCTTTTTTGAAGACCTCTCTAGGTAAACAACCCTTAGATGGATGCATGAGCTTGTAATCCCAGTGAAATGTACAGATAACTTCACTATAGTTGTTTCAAAATGTTCAACAGAACATGCAGATTCCCGGTTAACCCTCGGACTGGTTGAGACAGAGTGATTGCAAACTTTTTCCTTGTTGAAAGACCAGTGTCCTGACGCGCAACTCACAAATCTCATTAGCTAAAAGTTAGCTGCACAGAATTTGCGTAATTTGACCATTCACACAATTACCCCCGATATGGCCAGCTGTGAAAAGAGCGGCAAATACAAAAGCAGAAGTTTGGTGACCTGCTGTCTGGTTGTTAAGATGTGAAAGTGAAAGAAACTGGCAGCTATACACTGGGAAAATGCTAAGAGCTTTCGCTGAGTATAAAACCCTGCAAAGGTAACAGGAATTGATCTTGCTTGTGAGAAATTTAATGCTTTCCATCATAAAGTAATAGGTCAAACAAAATAATTATTAATGTGTATATATACGCTTACATACAAATACAAGCACAATGGCCTATAGCACAGTATAATAACCTGCAATTACTCCTAAAGAAATTATAAACTCTTCCAGGCTAAAAATAGAAGACTGGCACTATGACCACTGCATGGTAACTATGACAACAACTGCCGACACATATACCGTGTACGTAATCAATCTTACAAAAAGTTTAATTCATCCTTCAAACAAAACTACTCCATAATGGCATTTACTGTTTTTCAATACAATATTGGTTGCTGTGGTTACATCATGCACCAGTGCACAGACTGGCCATTTTCTTTTGAAAGTACATGTACATGTACATAGTACATGTACTATGTACTATGTACATGTACATGTACTATGTACTGGTAAATGAGATTCAAATTTATTTTCATGTACAATTTTACCCCCATGAGCTATCTACATGTACAGTACAAGATTTAGATTAGAAGACAAAATTCCATCACAATGAAAATTTTCTTCATATGATGTACATGTACACATCTAGTAGGCTCATGTAAAGTGTGCATGATGTCACACTTTGCTTGTATGTATGCTCTCTCTGGGCAGTCAGGTAGAGTCAAATGATGCTGAACCCCATAGGAAATTTAAGCCTTCATATAAATGTAAATAGCAAGAAATCATTAGGACACACACTGTACCGAGTACAATTTTCATGGCTGTCATGATTTTGTGGGTTTTGTACATGTATGTGTATGCATGTAAAAATTGTACAGCTTTGAGCAAATTCAACTAACAAATTACCTACATGTGCATGCCATGCCAGGCATTCACAATATGGCCAGCAGGCCCATAACAATACGGTACCTTGTACCAGGGTCAGGCAAGATTCATCAAAAGTGGTAAGACATAAATACAGTAAAAGATGCACTTGTAGCACTACCTGGGCACTGACAGCAGCATCTCTGGGGCCTCCCCCAAACAAACTTCCTGAAATATATTGGTCCAGCCACCTCTTCCTCGCTGGAGCTGGCCAAGTCTTCCTTCATCGTGAAGACCACACCAAAGTCTCTGAAAATGAATAGTGCTTCAGGAAGATGCTCAGAGAATTCTGCTCTCCCAAGGGTTTCCACATGCAAACAGCTTAACTCTCCAAGATAAAAACTATCTGCTGTACAAGTGAAATCCTCTTACAATCTGACAATGCCCAGGACCTGAGACTGAAGAGGAAGCCAATGCAACGTTTCCACCTTACCAACTGCTAATCAATTTTCTAAGGAAATTCCAAAAAGCCGATGTTTTGACCGGTATGGTATCTGCTGCCAAAAAACTGAATTCAATGAATAAAGACAGGACCTTGATAAAGACGGCATGTGTATGGAACAACAGTATTGGGTTGGAAAACACAAGTAAAATTCGGAAACACCTCAGCATAACAGGTAAAAATTCCTTGGACCAAGTTCACTGCAGCACACTAATGTCCATCACCACCGGCATGACCAGAGCTTCCTGCATTCAGCAATCAAGATGAGTGCTGCAATTACAGTTGTACTGCACAGAGCTTCAGTTTCATTCCTCATCAAAGAAGACAAAATTGTCTAAATTAAGTGTGAACAATTGTCTGGCGAGGCCTCTTCAAACACAAGACAGCCAATTTCCGGCCAGCCATTTCCTGCAATAGCCTAGAGCTTCTTCTTTTAGATTGGTAAATGTACATGTACAGACAGCATCCACACATGGACCGTCCAGGCATTACCAAACAGTAAATAAGTACATGTGCATGTAAATGTCGGCAATGTCGAATCAGCACGTGTAGACATCAAGCTGATTTTTGATTGGTTTAAAAATTCAATAAGCTGCACAGCTTAACAATAAGAATCTTGCTGGTGAAATGTACATGTAAGCCTTGTTGAAATATCTGCTAAGTACCGGTCCATGCACCGTATATCAAATGGCATATTACAGTAACCACTGATGGTGGTAGCACTGGGGGAGGGGATGCCCCCGTCCAGCTTTTGCACATCCTACATGTATAATGGGGTGGGGCTTAACTAATCAGCCTCTTATTGGCCGCTGCTTCATGCTTTCATAATTGTCCCCCTCCTCCCACTTTGAAAATTGTTCCCCTACCATTACTGGTAACCGTAACCAACTGTTGCTTAGCAAACGGTTGCTCCACTCCCTAATTTTTGTTCTTTGGCAGATGCCTGAATTGTCTCCCAGGTCTAATGTCACTGGAGTTGCTATGCAGAGAATAATGTTTGCCAAGTGAGCCAGAACCAGGCCACCAAAAAAGCAAACACACTTCACATGATATACAGAGGGGCTGGTGGCAAGCCGACTTTGTTTTGGGAAAAGCTTGTCTGGCTGCATGGGGAAAGCTGGTTTGGGTGCAGCAGGATATAATGTTAATGTCAGCTTCATAGAATACAGTAAATATACATGTATGTACACATGTACGCAACACAGAACCTGACTTTATCTGTTCAGGTTTATGTGGGCCTACATGGTGTATGGGCAATGCACACTACACGGTAATCCAATCATTTGATGGTGCCTAGCTTGACTAACTCCAGCTCTAATGCTTATGAATGAAGATTGGGAATTTTTCCCGTCAGCAGTATTGGATCATAAGGACTTGAGTTACAGGGTGTACATACAGGCAAATCCAGCCAATCTTCCTCGATGTGTCCTAGACACTTTTCAGAACATTTTCCACACTATTATAATAATTGGGAACAAACTCATGAGCTGGTTGCCACATGTGTCCACAGCACCAACGACACAAGTTTTGCTTGCTATGAACAAAACAATGAACTTTCAAATATCAATTAACGCTAACACTATAACCATGCACACGCACGGCAAAAAAGAAACTTGCTCACCATGCTTTTGAGAAGTTCTCGGTGACACTCCGAGTTTTCCATTTCTGTTCATGTTAAGTACTCACCATGGGAACCAGTTTGCAATTGGTACATGTATACTGACCAATGATGCAGTCGCAACTACGGTTGCCAACAAATACAAAAATTCAACGATGGCATGATCTGTGACAACTCTGCCGGACACAGAACAAAAGAATCCTACAATTGTTTTAACTGATAAGGTTAGCTGACATCAGTGACTGGAGCACTGCTGACGAAACCCGATTCCGCAATTTCAACACCAGAAAAATTCTTTGAAAGTCGGATTTGATTGCTGGGACAAGGGCCCCTGAGCCCCTGACCTTAGCACACAAACAGCTTGAAAATCCAAGCAAACATCTCAAATCAACAGTCAACACTGCCTAACTGGCGGTATGCTTTTACAAATGTACATGGTGCAGTTGAAACCCAGCATCTTTACGTTGTCATGGCGTTGTGTGAATGATAGCTTTTTAATTATTTGAATAACTGGAAAAGCCTTCATTTATCACATCCTTCCAACATTTTTTGTGTGAGTGTGCCGGTTGCCATGACAGATCCTGAGTCTCCATGGCAACATGATGCATTCTTAATGACTAAATCACTACATGTGTACTTGCTTCTAATATTTCTTGCTCAAAATGTTTTTTCCCTCAACAAAATACCCAGTAATAGACTCAAAATGTAAAAAACATTGTTTAAATGTACACTGAAGAGTACATGTCCTTGGGAACCTGATTTTAGCCAGAGGACAAGTTTAGGAAGTTACAGTAATGTGGTCAGTCGATCTACCAAACTTGAGCGGAATATGTACTGATTCCTATAGTTTTGTTGCAGGTTTTGTCCAATCCCAATCTAAAGCCGCCTATGTAAATGTATCCTTTTATGAATACAATATGAATGGGGAGTCAGGTTGGTGTAATGGCTCTTCCCTTGCCTTCCATCTCTGCGACCCGGGTTCAAATCCCACCTACATGTAGGCCAGCATGTGGATTGGGTTTTTAGTTCCTTCCTAATTCCACCTGGGTTTTCCCTAGAATATCCTGAGGTTTCCTCCCACCTCTAAAACTGAACATTTCTCTGTTGTCTTCTCAACTGTCACTTCATCCTGTCATTGGAGCTACTGATAAATGCGCTGTAGGATGAACATACGTTGTACCTTAGTAGCAATAATCTCTTCCATCATTATTTTCTGACCTTAATAATCACCAAAACTTTCATTATTCATACAGGGGTTTGTAAAACTGTACAGGTCAAGGTACATATGTACATGTACATGTAAGAGGTCAATATTCATGTTTCAACTAACATATATCTGTGCGATTGATCTTTCTTTTTTTTACTTTAGTTTAGGGCCTACTACAGTATATATGCAAAATCATCTCAACTCATATTTACATGTATACTCATTTCACATCATGCATTCCTCAATTCTTTTGGTCAGGATGACGTCACTGAGTCTTGATTCTTCTCTCTGATTGCTCAACTGGTATTCCATATTTCACACTCAAAGAGGCAAAAATAGCATTGCGGTCTATGAGGAAAATCTGAATTATTGACTAAACTCTTAACCTTTATATCAATGTGCCTAAAATTTCATTGTTTATGCACTATGAATCTATCCCACATTGTATAGAAAAAGTTTTAGTTATTTTTATCACATTGCAGCAAAAATGGTGAAAAACATGTCAACGTACATTGTACATGTACATGGGTCTCCTTGTTGAAAGTACAGAAATCACACAATGAATGGAAAGAGCAAAATTAATTGCAAAAAGTATTAAGGTACTATTCATGTCAGAAAAACAGCTGTGAAAAGTTAAGGCAAAAACGGAAAAAAAGTTTTGCTTCCGATGACATTCTCAAAAATAGGGTCGGTAGGTTGGAAAATATTAGGGGGGTCAATTTTTTGTGCTGATTGAATGGCTTGAATGGAGACAAAAGCTACCCAAAATTGCCACAAAAAGTGATAAAAACTGGTCTTTATGTAATACTGTCTACAGTCAACAATTCTCAAGAATTATGGACAATTTACACCACAACTGCACAGCAGTATTGTGCGCCAAACAGCAGTCAAGTCGTCCCACAATTTCAAATTAACATGCTGCTGTGATGTTACTGCTCAGGCAGATTAGGCTAAGGTCCTTTGAAAAGTTTACACTGATTGACAACGTGTTTGCACACCAAGCAGTGAATAAGCTCCCCTGCCATACATGTACATGGAGGCATTAAGGATTTGTTTGGTGTGGGGATACAAATCAAATTGGTTGTTGCCACTGCAAGCTCTTAGCTCCTAGGCAACCAAGGCTTTAGCAAAAGGACAGTTGATACAAGTACATACATGTACATACAACGTTTGGGACATCTTCATTTTAGACACTAAATGTACAGTGTATTAGAAGTTTTTTAAAAAAGGGTAAATGTGAAGGGTGTTTAGCATTCCTACATGGGCTAGTACATTTTCTTTCAAATACGTCAACATCTGTAGCAATGTACATGTAAATGCACATGAACACTGCGTGTAGAGATTGAAAAGATGATTAACCCTAACCCTCCTGAATCCTTCACCTGTTGGAGGATTGAGGAGGGTTAGGGTTAAAATTCAATCAGGATTCTTTACAGATGTCACTGTTTCAAGCAAGTTCACTCAACTCCAAGTTTCGAGGGCATTCCACTGAAAGAAAAGTGGATGATTTAGGAAGTGAAATTCAGAATTGACAGTTCAGTTACATTTACAGTAAGCAAGTGGAAATAAATGACAACTTCAAAGACATGAGAACAAGTGCATGTAATAGTCTGCTCACAGGTGTCCATAAAGTCCCTCTTACTACACCCTGCAAGTTGACAAAGTTGAGGTGCTCGAACCCAAAAATTTATATTTGTAATGAGATAAATTTTGACAATTTAACAACTAAGTTAATCCTATCACTCCTAATGCACTGGATGTCTTTGTGTGTGCTTAACACTTCCCACAGTAATGTCAAGTGTAAAAATACTGTCTCCAGATTACTGACCTGAAGCAACATTTAAAATACATAGTTGGCAGTGAAAGCAAATAACTCAACTGGACACCAATGGGTGACATATCCATGCACAGTCTATACGTACATGTACTGTACATGTAGATACATGTACATGTACATGTACCATACACGTGTAAATCTCATTCATCTTTCCATTCTTAAAACTATTAAACTACATGTACATGTAACACTTACATGTACAGAAAGTCAAACTGGCACCGTACATGTACGCTTTCTGCATTCCAAGGGATACAGCGTAAATTGCAATTTCAGTTAAATACCCTTTCCTTTTTCATTTACATGTACTATGCACACCAACTGAGAGGCCTGTGACCAAGAAGGTTTGAAATTGAAATACATGTACCAGTACCAGAAAATCGATCCCCCTTTTTTTTTGAGAACAAGTACACTGCGCAAAGCAGTGCAAGTTACGAGGCTAAACCATTTTGTCAAAAGGCCAGAGACTAACAGCTTCAGAAAATGCTTCAATGAAAATTCAACTTTTTTTTTATTTATGCCAATGGGAGGTTGGGAGGTCTCCATTCTTAGGAAAAAACACACTATGGGCTGAACAGGGTTACCTACATGTACACAATGGGACTTGAGAAGAAAGCGACATGAAACTTTGTGGTCCTGAGTAGTTTGGTATCAGTGATATGACTATTGCCTATACCCTGTTGACTAGATAGATGTGGATACAGAACAGAGATAGGAGTATATTCATTTCGACTGACACAAGAATATACAAACTTTTGTGTTGTTTACTCTGTAAACTGACCCCTTGTGGTGCTGTCTGCAGAAATTTACAAACTGCATTGGTTACATTTCTCCCTGGCAGTCTCAGAGTGTAGCATGTCTGTCTGTTACTCACATAAGCTCAACCAATAACTTGCTTGACTGTGCAGCAACAGCCAGAATAGCAGTTTGGGAAATCCAGCATGTCACTGAGACATTAGTACTACCGAAAAAGGTACACGTACATGTACTTCTGACCAAGGGAATTGGCCGGTGAAGCATACATGTAGCTCTACAGTTGATAGACACACATTGATGTACTTCCGTTTGAGGTACTGTACTCGTACATGTTTGCCTATAAAGGCCAACTCTTACTCGGTGCACAGCCTGCACCTACATGCCAATTCCAACAGGTCAATCTGACCCTCAGAGGCTCATATAGCACAAGACATTGTGACATCTGCACTCGCACGTTGGAAGCTATGAGGTTCAAGTCCCACGAGGGCACATGTGGATTTCGTCTTAATATGAAACAAATTCCACGGAGGAAGGAAGCACCAAACCATGGAAATTTTTAACTGTCTTTGAATTTTCGTTACAGTTTTACAATGTGTAATCACACACATTTCGTTTATTATACAACATGGAATCAAGGTCATGGCTTGCATACTTACTTGCTGGTCCCGTGCTCCAATCAGGCGTGCTATGGTTGGCTCCATATGGCAGTTTCTTAAACTTCTCAAACGACGCGCAGACGTAGGACTCGCCGTCCATCAAGTTCTCAATATCTGTTATGGACTTGCCGGACTCTGGGTGATAGATCTTCCGCACTCCGTAAGGGAGGGACATGTGCTTGGTCAACTCACTCAGGAGGCTGTCAAAAGTCTGGAAGCGGTTCGGAGTAATCCGGAGCCTCTTCCCCCGGAAGTAGCGGTCGCCGTTGCGATAGAAGAGGAGCTGCCGCGGCCGGCGCAGGTCCTTATATTTCTCCTCCGTGATGTCCCTGTGCTGCTGCGAGACGGTCGGGGTCGTGTCTGCGGTGTGGCTGGCTGCCTGGAGGAGCATGGCATCGTGGTGTTTGCGGCGGGGCCGCAACGCTGCAGCAGCCGAGTTGTTGAAGGGGTAGGCAAGAAGTGTGTCATTGACGTTTGCATTCATGTGTCCTGCTGAGCTCTTACGTAGGCATCCCATTACATATTACAACCTCATCATGTCTTGCTGAGGTTGTCACATTCTGTTTTCTGCAAAAAAAAAAAAAAATGAATGTGAGAGTTCATACAGCCAACTAATACCAACACATAGTCATCTCAATGACCCGTACCAAGCTGAGTTTTATCAGTTACCAACATTATACGTGTAATAACAACATAATGAAGTCCAAATATGCCCAGTTGCTGGCTGCATTCTGTGCGTATACAGTGCATGTATGTGTGTCGGCAGATTATCATTAAAACGCAATACAAAACTAATGAGAATCAAGATAAATTCCCAACAAACCTACATGCAATGATCTTTGAGTTCGAATGTTTAACTTGGTAAAATGCTACATGTTTTTTTTTTTGGGGGGGAGCGAAACCTTATCACAAGGCTCAAGGTCAACTTAAGGACTCCCACCCAAAAAGTTTGGGCTTACGACATTTCTGGGGCACATGAGGAGAGTTTTGGGCCTTGGATGCATTACTGTTTGTTTGTTTGTTTGTTTGTTTTTTGTAACAGAGTATACCTTTGCACAATCAGTCAATCTTGGTGAATGATCTGTCGATAATTCCATCATCGGCCAATAGCCTTTTCTAATTCACGGTTGTTGAGAGATTGTTTCAAAAAGGGAAGTACAGTTGGAGCTTTCATGCGGCATTTACTGATCGCACAGAGTGTTTGGGGGATGGTGCAGATTGGCCAATCATGCCCATCGATGTGAAGTTAGTTCCTCACCCCTCATTGGACGTTTGACATTCAATGTTGAACAAGTAACTGATATTCCAACGTTGAATTTATAAGTAACCGTTTGACATTTAGTGTGCACACCCCAGGAAATGATGGAGTGCAAAAGGGACAAAAAGAACCAAACTGCACCACCACGCACATCCATTCACATGTATCTTATTTACATCGTGCATGTACATGCCATTCCACAATAATATACACACACAACTCTCTCCCACAGACATGACAGAGGCAACAATCACCATGGGGTTTTGGGGGGTCAAACAAGCCCTAAAATGTAGGCAACAGGTTTTTACGACGATTTAATTATTAAAAAAAAATGGTTATTTTTATATACTTGCTGTTTTCATCGAACTATTTCAGCCAATCAAAAAAATACAGATCAATCCAATGCCATGGGTCTAAACTTACTTTTTCAAAGTGTTTCGTATACATATGTTAGCGACCCTGTTGCCCCCATTTCAACCAGGGCAACTCAGTTTTCCACAGTCAAAATGGCTTTGACTTAAGTCTTGTTGGTGGAGATCTTCGCTTACAAACCAGAGATCAAAGTGACTGCATCACATCACAATTTTCTGAAATCGAAATAAAATACCCAAACCCCATGCCCCGCATGGAGACTGCATTGAATCTAATGTCATTGTTCTCCTCAATCAGCGACGATGAGCGGTCACCAAATGTCAACGCTGAATATCAAACACTTACTCGTTCAACATTGAATTTTGAACCTCAAAAAGGAATAAGAAACTAATTTCACACTGCCATCATGCCCAACAGTAACACAAAATTAACGGCAACATGCTTATGATGCACTGCAGGACCCCTCAGAGTTCGACGAGCATGATGGGAAACTGCACATGCACATAATCAGCTGTAAGTTAGTGTAAGCATGGCGTAAGTAAAGTTTGACGCTAAGTACATGTAACTCCACGTCAGTCCTTGTACCAGTGTCTCAGACATTTTTGCGGCTGTCTTTGTGAGTGAAATCTGGTGTTTTGTTGGGCCGTTATCCATCATGTCCATAACTTTATCTGATCAGTAAAGCCGGCACTGGAAATATTGCCAAATCATGTCCTGATGTTTTAAACATGTTAAACGGGCGATAAGAAGGGTTTACATTGTTTGGACAATGTAGAAAAGTTCGGAATAACGTAAGTGTGACCGTGCTGAAAACTACAGTCGACGACTCGCTCGTCAGCAAGATCAAGTCAGGCCATGCAGACTGATGAGCGCGAGTAACGTTCACAGATCACTGTAACGGTAGGCCTGACTTGCAATCACTTGTAGGCCTACATCCTTTGAAATCCATCAAGAACTTTACATTAACACAAAAAAGCTATTCTAAATTACCTCATACTCTATGATGAAACCTTGTCCACGGCTAGAACTCAAGGTGGTTTAATGCACAATTCTCCTGCCATTTTGCCATTCTTAGAAATCAGAATTTCGTTAGGCGCCGTACCTTTGCTTAACACTATCAACCTGGTACCCCTGACTTACCTATACATTACACGGTTCACTGCCTTGGATCCAGACTACTTTTTACCTGTCAATCAATTAATGACGTCATTTATCCGGGTAGCAGCTTCACCTGTTACCTGGAGACACCTACGCTGCAACAAACAATGATCATACTACAACGGGAGAACTGTACAATAATCAAGCGCGTATAAGCGGCCTGGTCGAAGAACTTTTTTAAGGATTAAGAAATGTCATTGTCCAGTTTTCTTGTTTCATCAAGACGTTTTCCTGTAATAAACTGTGTTATGATGTACACAAAAATCTAAAAAGTCGGAACCTTAAACGTCAAATGCATTAGAATCTGCATCAGATGCCGTTGCAAGGCACCGATCACGAAACATCAAACAAACTTGGTTAACTGTAGTAGTGGTAACATGACCACAAGTCCAGATTCGGTGTCCCCCCCCCAAAAAAAGATGAAAAGTAGCTAAATGCAACTAAATGCCAATCTCACAAAATTCCAAGGGTGACACTTTCATTGAGGTACAGCGTATCGGTAATTGCATTCTAATTCGCCTTACTATGCTTATTATGGTAAATATGTCTCGACACTGGTCGCCACACTAGACAAAATGTACTGTGAATTATGCTGCAAAGTTGAATCAAACTGCACCGTGAATGAAATCTATTTATGGCTTCAAGTTCCTGAAATAAAAATTAGGAATTCCGTTTGGCAGCAGCCTTAGGCTGTCATACCTAACGAAGCAATTAAACTTACAGCGCTACATGCACTGCTTGGAACATGCCGAGGAGCCCTTTTCCTGAAAAGTAGCACTAAATTTAATGATGGGAGTTAATTGTGTTTACTGGGGCTTTTCTCTGTGTCCTAAAAGCAAATACCATGAAATAAAAAGCCCCGTGAACTTCAAGATAAGTGTCATCTTCACCAGTAAAATTGATACATTTGACAGCTAATGATCATTAAAAATGACAGTACGTACGTACGTAATTGCTTGCACTCCAAACGTCAGTCATACAAGGCCGATTCGGTTTAAATTCACTCTTTATTTTTCACGATCGTTCAGGTCAATCAGTTACATAGAATAAAAGGTTAATATATTAAACAGTCAAAATTGGTATGTTATCCTTTCAAAGATTTTGTGACATAAAACTCTGTTTGGCATACAGGGTAATCACTGCGTAAGCGTTCCAATAATTCTCGCATAGTGTTCGCCCTTTCACTACAACTGAAATGTAATTGGTAACAATGGTAATTTTTAGCAATCCTCCCGTTACAAAAATTACTACCAAAAAAAACCAACTTTTAACAGGAGTGTTAGTCGGCTCTGACTTTTTGCCTGAAATGTTATGGCATCATAATGGTGCCAATTGGTTGACTAAAATTTGGAGAAAACCTAGATCTTTTGCAGGACTGGCAGCCCTGCTGTTTAGGACATTTGGTACAAAGATATTTTGTACATGACTTGAATAAACATCACTAACAAAAGTATTTATACTAATACTAAGACGTTTCACCCTTAATAAGTAACACTGTATTATAAGACTAAGACTCCATCAAATTCTGCCTCAAATCCCTATGAATGAAAGGGCGCCGTGTTCAATATGGCCTCAACTTTCACAAGGCATGCTGCTGGTAGACACACACGTATCACTATCCACGTATTCAGCAAAATAAAGGATTACAGTCAACCTAGACCCGATATGAAACACTAAGTTGTAACTAAAGGATCCGACAGTTTTTCATGAAATGATTCAAAATCCATTATGATTTAAAATCCAGGCATAGTACAGTTTTCATTAGGCCAAACAAAAAATAGCTGCGTTTCTGGTTACCAGATCCAACCTAGAAAATCACGCAGAACCTATATCTTTTTATTCGACAAATCAATAAAATATAAAAACAGATGGTGCCTTACCCCGAGCCTAATTTTGTGTACATCGTCCTGTACATTGTATTGTTTTTTTTTTTTAAATGAGATGGACAGCTCTTGTGTGTTTGTATTTCAACAACCAGCTGCTTTACCACTCAATCACAGTGCTGATATGTAATAGTGACATGCACATGTACAGTACATGTATTAATCTGACACTGACTTAGTACCTGTTACAAATATATGTGCCCCCCCCCCAAAAAAATACAGACCATCATCCGACCCTTTTTGGGGGGGCCATACAAATTTTGAGTAAAAAAATTTTTATCCAAGCAACTACCCTAATTATATTTTCAGTGTAACAGGAAACACAACTAATTTTTTGTTTGACCTTAGAGGAAAAGCAAAATTGTATTTGGAACAGAACATTACATTTGTTACAAAATAACAAATTTTGATTTTTAAAAGTCAATTCAGATGTATACTCCTGCAGCCCAAGAATGCATTTTTAGAAATACAGGTATACAAATATACCCTTGTCTTATCAATATATTTCAAAAATGCCTATGTTATTTCAAAATAAATCAAAGATTTGAAAAAGAAAGATTCTTAAGGAAAACGTATGTCAGAGGAGTTAGTGATGGAAATTGTAATGGATAATTTTGCCTTTCACTTTTGACATTACTCTATAAAAGGACAACTACGAACAGTAAACCTCTAACCAGAGCTGTGATAAATTGATCAATAGCGTATACTTGACAAAAATGGTTATATTTTTAAATGTTGTCACCTAGAAATCAGTCTCTGATTCCTCGAAAACCCATCAGGACAAACAGTAGCTTTAACCAGCAACCCCCGCCCCAGTCTTGGTGGTTTCAATATTAAAGACTTGTGCACAAAAAATAGCGAAAGCTAGATTATGGCCTCAAGTTCTACTAGAATGCTTTGTCTTTAAAGGGCTTCATCACTGGCAACACCTCACTGCTATGAAGTAAAGCCAAACTATCTAGACAAACCAGAACCGATGCATTTGTATTATAATCAGATTTGTTAGTAATACTTCAGCACACCAATGCGGGTGGACTGTATTGCATTGATTTGGGCTTTATAAAAAAAAAATGACCACTTTGGCAAGACACAGCTTATACCCTTTACAACCATACTTTAGATGTAGATTACTCTGTTTTGACGCTGAGTGATATTGAACTTTAAACCAAAAATGAAGTAAATGCACATTTCTATAGTTTTGAGCAAGACATGGCAAATATAAAAACCCTCCTGTGTAAAAAGTAAGTAATAAATTCCTTCATTACAAATTGGTCCATTTAATTTGTTAAAGCTAATAATAACTGCATGTAAGAGGCAACAAATGAAATAAACTTACACATTTCAGTGGTAATAACTACATATTTTCTAATGCACTTTATCGACAAATATTGCAAAGTTTTACTGTAATGCTTGTTTTTTTTTCCCTCATGCTTTTGCAGTTTGCTTATAATATATTTGTCCCCTTTTGGGGACCATTATGGGTAATATATCTCAGCCAGGGCTGATCTCATTGCATAAATTCTGCCAGCTTCTCTAAGGCAGTCCTAGTGGCCTGTATGTTGGGGTGATCTGGCTCCAGGAACAGCTCAGATATGCGTAGGGCCTCGTCAAACTGGTACTTGGCACGTTGGTACATGTTGGATGCCATGAAATACAACCCAAGGTTGTATCTGAAATATAGTGATAAAAGTAGTGTTTTGTATGCTTATCAAAACTGGCGTACCTGGAAATTCTGTCACATAATTAGCTGTTTGGTTGACCAAATGCACAGTCACAACATAAAGTGGCCAACAACTGATCATTTGTAAATAACATCCAACTGCTTTATGCCACTTTAGTATTCATAGGAAATTTACAAATATTTTATTGGAAAATTTTGACAATAAGTGTAAACTGTTTTTTAATTTAAGTGTTTACTTTTAAATTCAGCAATTTGGACTGATGTAATATTTAGAGAATTTGTTTTACAATATTTCAATATGGACCTGCAATAAAAAAGGTACTTCTTTGCATTGTACTCAAACTAATCCTGTCAGTTTGAGTTTGAAGATCTTGCTGTTGGTATATCTTATAATAATGGTTGTAAACCAGAACAGCCACATTGGCCTAGAAGAGATCACTGCATTACCAGAGATGGTGTTCTCTGTACATCCAGCATTAACTACACCAACATGGAAGTGGCTTTCAATATGCCCTGTGTACTTAACTGGGTCAAAGGCAGTCCATTGCAATCACACTGTTTTTGTTATGCAGATGAAAGGGCTGGTTTTAATCCCTCACAAACCATTGTTATTTTTATATGCTTTCTGAAAGTTGCTTGGAATTTCACTCGCCCTATTTCTGGTGGGACTCCTAACATCTGCAAAGGGTTCACTTTGATCTTACCTGATGGTGGCCACATCCACATGATCCTTCCCGTAAGCCCCCACCAGGATCCCCAGCACGGACTGGAACACCTCACCGGCCAGCTTGTCGTTCATGTCGTCTAGCACCAGGCCGCAGTTGTTGAGGATGGCCGCCACACGGGGGTGGTTCAGCCCCACGTCGCTCTGGGTCAGCTTCAGGTCCCAGAGATGGAGCAGCATGGCGTTGTCCAGCTTGCTCTGGCTGTAATACAGCTGGCCAATCTGGAGAAGGGTAAACCGGTCAGAGGTCATCCTGCGGCATGTTCAAGACAGATTTTCAACAGCAGAAAGCACTCTTTGGAGCAGGAAGGAAATAATACAACAAGCAACAAAAGACTTGTAAATATTAAATTCTACATGATCTGTATAAGCCTCGAGCAGAAGCACCCCCTCATTGGTTGAAAAGAGCCATGCTGGTCAGGAGTACTCATTTTGTTGGTAGTGATGCGACCATAATACTTGCAACGCTTGCACTTCATAGTCGTTTGCGAAGAACAGTTCCTACCAAAGGATCAGTCTCCATTGCTTGGAAAATTGCACCCTTTCATGGTCCAGCTCGGGGCTCATAGCTCTAGGGCAGATATGACATTTGGTTTGGGGAATGATCAACATTCTTGCCTAAAATGATTACCCCCAAATTGGAAATTTGGTTAATGTTCCATACTCTACATGACCCCCTTTGCTAGCACTGTCTAACTTTATATCAGTCAATCATTTGAGGCTTCCTCCATCAGTGAGGTTATCCTACCCCATCTCACACCTATTGATATTCATGGATGGAAAGAGGAGTTCATGTAAGGTGCCTTGCTCAAGAGCTAATATTCAGGTGTGGCTGGATTAAAACCCCTGGCCCTTGAGAATTGATGGCTAGAGAGACATGTATCTCAAGCATCTATATGCACATCCATCTTTGTTTACGGATTTCTCAGGAGCACTGAAGTCTAGAATGACACTGATCTATTTTGAAATGAATTGAGAAGAGTGAATGATCTTATATTGATGGTACCTGTCCGTTAATGGCAGCGACATAATGGTGCTTGGGTCCGAGGACATCAGTAGCCACCTCCTCAGCTCGCCTCAGGAAGCGAATAGCCTCGTCAGCTTTCCCCTTCAAGCTTAGCACTGACCTGTAAAAATGCAATATGGTGGTTATCATAGGTTCTGGTTGTGGAGTACAAAATAACAATTCGAGCACAGCCCTTAGCGTTCTTTTCATCAATTCTGTACAAGTGATAGACTCTTACAAGGAAAGCCATTTGTAAACGTAATCATTGTTACATGAAAAGCAAGTACACATCGTAAAGCCGTGACAACAAGTTCCATTCTGAGAGTGACATCATCTCAGAGCAAACTTTCTGATAGTGTTTTCCAGCTCATCACAAGTTTCAGCATTTTGAATAAAAAACCCTGAAAGGTGTACAAGAACTTATTTTCTAAAGTCAAACAAATCTTTGTAACAAAGCTGATATCTGCTTGGCAACAGACGGAGTCAGCTCATGAAAGACAGCAAACAGGTGCATTAGAAGGGCTCTGTTTGCATGCTGCACAGTAGAATTTTTGTCCTGTTTACGGTAAACTAATAAATTGGATTTGAAGACACATTTCAGATCTAGTGGATACTTTTTAACACACCTTTCCACACTTTTATCGCCACCCTGGTTTGCGTTTATGATTTATTTTCACCATTCACATTTTGCATCCACAATCTATTTACCCATCTCATAAAATATTTGCTTCCATCTCCACTTTGATTTTCTCCTCTTGAATTCTCAAGACTTTGGCATTCTGCCACCATACTCTTCACCCCTTGGACTACATTACTGACAGCAGTAACCATGTTGCTGAAGTGGTACGGATAAAAACGTGGCCCCTCCTCACCCCATGCCCAGAAGCGCCTTGACCAGCTGAAGCTTCTGCTTGGGCGTCGTGATCTTATTCTGCCTCTGCAGGGCCTCGTGGAAATGCCTGCTGGCTCCCTCTAGGTCTCCCAGCTTGATGGAAACGGTTCCCAGTGAGATCAACACCTAAGAGGAAAAAGATAACAACATTTGAACCTTGAATCATTGGGAAAACGTAACCCATTGTGGAGATTCAGAAAATGTCAGCCCATCAATGAATATATCAGAACAGCTGTGCATCAAAAGAGCTTGGCTCAAAAAGTGGTTGCATTTCCTGAAGAGATTTGAAGACTAAAAAAGATTACTGAATGATACTGCTTGATCGATAAGCTCAATCTCAGCAAAATCAATCTGGACCTAGATTGCTGTTCTGAGAATAAAGATTCGGCACTTTACGTTTGGCAGTAACGCAATCCCTGAACGAGTTGATGAATGCAACAGTATTTAATTAGGCATTAGGCAGTCATCGATGGGCAAGGGGGTTTTGGTACCATGTCTTAATTATAAGCAACTGTTCCAATAAGAACCTAACATTGTTACAATATAATTTCTATGACTATCCTTGTTCCACTGCATGAACTTTTACATCAAACAGCCCTGTGCAAAGAAACAATCACTGGAAATTATTGTGGGCTAAATTTGCACAAGCTTTTTACCTCCAAGACATCTGGGTGAATGCACTTGGTCTTGTACTCGTACTTGGCATGATGGTAAACGATGGTAGCATGGCTGCCAATGTACCGGGCTTCCAGCTCTGACAACAGCCGCTCATTGAGTTGCCTGCATTCAAACAAAGAACAGACATTTGAATGCAGATCCCGCCAGTGCACCTCCATACAGTAACCCTCCACCCCTGGTAAAAATTGTCTGTCAGCGGGCCTCAGTGACGGCAGGCCAAGAAAAGCCAAACACCGCTTAGTGTACAGCATGCTCACTGGAATCAAATTCATCTTTTCGGTGAACTGGGCACTTTGCAGGCCTTGATTCTGAAGGACCATTTGGAGAGTTTGTCACGGCATCTATCTCTGTTTTTCTTCTCCATATCTGTGGTGCAACCAAGGGGAGGGGACGGCAGATCAGTACACACAAAACCTACAGTATGCCGGTACAGACTTTCAGTGCCCCCCTCGAACAAATGTCTGCATCCCAAGGAGCCCCCTCAGACATTTCACCTTCTACATTATGCTGGCTTCAAATTCTGAGTCAGGGTATATCTCCCCCCCCATCTTGCATGACTATTCTCGCATATACGTTTCTAAGGAGAGAGTCATATACCTAGCTCCACTGAGCAGCCCTAGCTGATTGAAGAATCCAGCCATGGCTCGGATCAGGCCATCTCTCTGCCTTGACTTCTCCCACTCTTCGGAGCGAGCCAAGACACCAAGGTACAACTCTTCCACCTCCTCATATCCACCCAGCTACGTACAAAATGCAACAAAGAGTACATTGAAGAGTGAAATGATAACAAAACATACATGTACCAAGTTGTGCCACATGCATGTTATGGTGTGCCGCAGCACTTAACTGACAGCAGGCAACGTACTGCGATGTTGCAACTATATGGGATGGCAAGACACATCATAGTATCCATACAATGGACTGAATTTGATCAGACCAGATAGGCTGAAACACCAATTATTCGGTAACTAATTCAGTGATGAGTACCCAGTTTCCACCCTGGATCAGAGAGAGGCAATGAAGGTAAAATACCCTGCTTGGGGACACAGCCAGAAAGTCACACATAAAATGTTAACGCTTACCAGCTGCCAGGACTTGATGAGCTCAAATTTGCCTTCCTCCGTGCTCATGAGGCGCTCAAAGACGGCGATGTTCAGGATGGTGGCTCGCAGACGCTTGAACTCCTTGGCATGGGCCAGACAGTGGGGCACCTCTTCAACCTGTGATAGGAAACAAACATGGATGCCTGGAGACAAATATAGTTTCCATTGAATTGCAAAGATTGGCTACATCCACAAGACAACCCAGCTCCAGGTGAAAATCTAAACTTGTTGAAACCACTAGATCTTTTAACTGCATCCACTCTTCTCAGCTAAGTGGGATATTACAAACACTGACTCTTGACAGTACAAGATTTGTGTGACACCTCCAACTATCAGTTATGGGTGCGCATGATAAGCAACTTTTTTTTAGTGACAAGACAAATCTTTTCACGACTAATGCGGCACTGTGTATGTTTGGAGGGCTGAATATATGTCATTCAATATGAATGTCAATGTGATTAAATTAGTCATTAAAAACATAGCATGGTGGCAAAATCAACCAGAATTGAAATGTGTGCGCAACCTTTTGAAATTCACAGCATAAATGCTTGCTGACACATTACAAATTTTGCATTTGCTTCACTGATAAGTTTGAACCAGCCTGGATTGGGGATAGGCTTTATCAACTCACATATCTCTCGTCAATGTCCTGGGTGTTGAACCAATTGGCCAGTTTCAGGAAGGCTTCACACTTCAGCTCCGGCGTGGACAGGTACTTGCGCTCCACAGCCTGGCGGAGATGGTCATGGAAGAAGTTGAGGATGCCGTTGCGATTGACAAGATTCTCCTCCAGCGACAGGTAAAAGGGGGACCATACTTTGCCAGGTACCTGAGTAGACAGTCAGGAAGCAGCAATGTTCATTAATTATTGATGCATTCATTATTTTTACCAATGTTAACACTTCAACAGGATTAGAAGGATTAAGAGAATAGTGACAATAATACTGAAGTTGCCCTGAAAAGCATACATTAGCCCTAACCCCCTAGGGTGTATGTAAAATCGTGTTGAAATTGGAGGATTTGGGAGTGTTAGGGTTAAATTGAACTTTGCCCCCAAAACAAAACAGATCTGACAGAATGGCAACATAAATCTGTTATATATCAGCAAAGAAAATAAAGTGCAACAGTAGAAGGTCAGGATACAACTCATTACGACAATTACTCATCGTTTGAATATTGATGAAGTCTGTGTGGAGTTAGGCTACAGTTAACAGAATACTCCTGTGCCTGGATACTTTACCTTCAAAAATTGCAGGAGCTCCTGTTCACTCAAACCACGGTGTGAACACCAGAGGGCGGTAGTGGCATCTCGGACCAGGCCCAGTCTGCACCGTGACAAAACAAGCCATAACAACTTTTACATGGTATCAATTAGAGTACTTCAGTTTCACACAGGCATTATGGTTGGCCATTAATTTTTAAGCACTCCTCCAACAGTGACAAAAAATTGAAGAAAGACCACAGAATGGCAGGTTTTCATAGTGTTCTTTATTAAAGCAGCTTTGTTTGAAACTCTTTTGTCATTAAATAAAATGCAACTGTATGTACACAAAATGGTTGAAAATTATTGAAACAATTTACCTTAAGGAGCAATACTGCAGGCTAAGCAAAACAAAATTTAACACTGTAAAAACAAAAAAGTGTTTTAAATCGGGTTTAGTGGTGCAAAATTCTGACCAACCTCTCGACAATACTTTGCTCGAAATCATTCTCCATTCGGTCCAGGATTTTCACAAAGAGTTCTCCTGGATTGCCGGCTGCCAAATACCCCTTGATGGCAGTGGTCAGTTGGAAGAAATTCCCATACATACGCACCTAGTGCAAAACAGGTCAAGAAACAGGAGACAAGACCTCTCAATCACAAAGTTGCACACGTATCTTTCCTCCCTCAACTTAGTTTTGCTTATTGTTCAGGGTCGTACACTGGAATGCCAGTGAGCTTTTGTGATGGAAACGAGACATCTGATGGAATTATTTTGTTAATCAATAATCTTATCTTATGCAGTAGCCTTTTTCGAGCAGTGAAAATTCGTTTATTCCCTCTCTTTGTTTGAAAAAAATCATGATATTCTTGCAACCGGGGTTAATTTCACAGGAATGTGAAACCCCAAAATATGAAGCCTGCATTGAACTAAATGCCATCCTGATGGTCATTAGCTTGCAAAAGTGTTTAAAGCCAGATTCACGAACCTGGTTCCCTGTGATTTTATTCTCTCATAACGATTTATTGCATTACCAAAAGTTCAGTTGATATTCGAAGAGTGTAGAATTTTGTAGGATTTAATGGTGTCAATAAAAATCAAATTATGATGTGTTGAGGATCGACACTGGCCCTTCTAATGACGATGTTGCATAAAATAGCTCAATATAACTGCTAAATAAACTTTTGCACTTTTGGCTTTATCATGTGTGTCATCGTTAATGTCTGTTACAAATATTTATGTGGGGTATATCTTCAAGAAAACCCGTACAAGGAATATTTTCTACGGTTTATGTTGCACGCTATGTTGGCAAGCACAAGTATTGAACACTGGCTGTGGCTCTTCATCGCTGCCCCTTTTGATCAAAAATTGAAGCCGTAGATGCAAGAGACCGGGCTGGATTATGGCTACCCCTGTCACGTGCTGCCCCATACAATCCCGTGTATTAACCACATTGATACACCGGCAGTGCTGGGTGAACATATGCGTGCAAACTACATCTGAACTCTAAACAAGAGAGAACGGATTCCCAGCTGAAAACCAATCCAGGTCTGGTTCTAAATTGGACCGTTTGATGAATTGCATGAAGGAGAGGGTGAAGCAAGAAGGAAACTATGTGCAAAAATGTTCTGTGTAAACCTGATTGCAAGAGGGTACAGATATTGAGACAGAGCAAATGGTGATATCTTCAGTGTGGTTCAGATGATGGTGGTGGTGGTCGTGGTGGTGATCTACCGGTAACCATGACGATCACCATTATGTCATAAAGGAAGAGATGACACTGGTGACTGTCATGGTCACGGTGCTGAGGAAGGTGAGAATGGTGCAAATTGGTGTAATGGTGTCTGGGTGAAAGGTGAACATTGCAATGGTGATACCACTTTCTGAAGTCTTGCTGGAAAAAATGTCACAAACTTGGTTGGGTGGGTCTTGCACCCACTTGCTTACGTGCTAGTGGGGACGTCTCAAACACTTCGCTACCAAGCTTGTCAGGGTATGCTGCTGGATAAAATCCAACAAAGCGATATCAAAAATATTACAAATGTGGCATAGCACCGTTTGTGGAGAATACTGACAATAGCAGTCATGTTAAAAAGCGTGATTAGTGGAATATTTTGGGTTATCGTCTCTAATAAAAAAGCTGTTTGGTAATAAAAACCTTAGGTGAACTCTTAATTTTTTTTGGAATTAAACTTCTTTTCAAACCTGAAGGAAAAGGCTACAATAACAAAGGCATACCTCGTCCAGCAGAGCTTTCAGGTAGAGAGGATTGTCTGTTTGCTTGGCATCGATGATCATCGACCGTTGCTCCTTGTTCAGCGTCTTGCCGTACAGTTTCATGTAGCCGGTCACAATCTCTAATTTCTCGTCAACATTGAGAGGATGGACACGCATTGTGGGCCAGCCGGCACCAGTGACTGCGTCCATGGCCTTGACAGAAGGACAAGAAATGACAGTCAGTCTTAACCCTAGAAGAGCCGGGGGCGGAATCCGCCGATGGGCCTCTGAGAGTTTTTATAATAGAGTAACTATTTGATATCATTTGGACACCAATTTTGTGAAAAAATCGAATGTATTGTTGTTCTTGCACAGAGCCCATTTTGCTGAGACAGTTCGGCCCAAAATGCGTAACTGTTCCATTGCCATCCGCAATGAACGCAGGCTGGAGTACATGTAGCCTTGAACTTGAAATGACCATGACAAAAAAACATATGTCTGAATGAGTTCAAACCTCATATTTGCAATGATAAGGAGTATCTTTAGATGCATGCCGAGTTTTGAAAAATTGAATGTGGTACAGCCGAGTTATTGCGGGGAGGGGGGGGCAGAATGTCCCCGGGCTGTGAGATGGGCTAAAATAATGCGGCTTTTTAAAGGTTACAGAGTAGGTCGGCTTGGAATTCCAATCAAATCTATGCACAATAAACTGTCTCTCCCAACACATGCCAGTGAGTCAATTATCCGGACCAACTAAGTGCCGGAATGCTATGACCGAATCTGAAATCAGTCATACCCTTCCTGGAAGTGTCGACAGGACCATGGAGACATTTCCTGGCAGCTCCTTGGGAATCCACTTCAAGTCCTGTTCATCCCCTGGAAAAAACAAATGGATGAAAATTGTGACATCAACTCTCCAGTTTGAAACATCATCCACCAACACATGTTCCCAAAGTGATAGCACCATCTTGACTGCATGATCCTGACTCAGCTTACAGGAGCGAATGCTTTGCAATTCAGGCTTGAAGGAGCCATATAGTAATACTGACGCCGAAGACATGGAAGTTAGGAACACTTTGCCAATTCAAGTTGTGCTGTAAGTTATATCTCTTGGGGTTAGGTTACGATTAAACGACCACTTGAACTGACAAATCTACAGCACAAGGCCATCAGAAGGTCGTAATGACCTCAGATCTCCCAATCAGATGCAATTTGGGACCCGCAATTAGTAGGGTGAACCTTACAGCACTGGCTTCTTGCTTTAAGTCAGCCATGAAATCAATTTGGAAATATCTGCTCAGAGTTGAAGTGCACCTCACCAGCACAGAAAGGACAGGCTGGTGGGAAGTCTTTCAGTCAGGCTTGTGCCCGTGAAACGCATCTTTGATCAATGGCATGTTTACAACTTGCCAGACCATACATGCAACTAAAAGCATTGAGAAGACTCATGAGATTCATGTGAGTGATAGTGCCACATACTGAAGTAAGGAAGTCAGGGTGCCATCTCAGACTTTTCTCAGTTTGTATTCCCTTCAAATTTTATTGATTCTGTTTTTGAGATTTCAGGTCATTCTTCCATACATGCATCTTGGGTCAGTTCTCTATGTGCATCAGTTTACAGCACTCATTATAAAATGAACTCCCATACAATTTCAATGAACACTCTCCACAGCTTACACATATGGACGACGACTCCCACTGAAAATGTGTCTCTATGGTGCCATGAATGAATCCTGAAAGAGAAGGACCTCCATTTCCTTGTGTGTTTAAAGGGATGTCGAAACCTGAAACCTACCTGGTCCTGTGCCAGTATCCAGCTGGTTCAAAGCATCCAGGACCAGCACCACCCTGGCCTGCTTGGCGGCCATCTGAAGCCAGGTGGACAGCTCCAAGATAAGATTACGATGGGATGTGGGAACCGTCATCTCAAAGCCAAAGAACTGCTTCATCTCTTCGTACAGCCTGATTATTAAGATTGAGTAATGAAAATTTACAGACACAACAATCCACTTGGAAGTCATACTTCATTCCTTAATTCAATTTGAACTCGAATCAACAAAAGTAATTATTACAGAAAAAGTGAAGGCTTTACTTGACTGTATCTTTCAAGCCAAAGACAAAAATATAAATTAGTCAACTGAATTGTTATGAGATATCTTGGAATTCATAACTTGAAATCCTTTTGATAAACTTCAACTATGTGGTTGAAGCTTACAAAAAGAAAGCCAAAAACTTTAAAAAAAGAAAACAAACAACATTAACGAGATTTGGGCAATTATGTTTGACCTACCGACGTAGCAGGTTGAGATGAGAGGCACTCTCAGATGAGCTCCCAATGAAATGCAGGAACAAAAAGGCATCAGGGTGGGCCTCCTGGAACTGATGGGTCCAGTTGGCCACCAGAGCCGACTTGCCTGACCCAGACTCCCCGAGGATGACCAGGGGCATGTTGGTAGTGGATTCGGTGGCCTCCCCGTCCGCTGCTTGGCTGGCCGCCCGCTGGACGAACGCGTCAATCTGCTTGATGTAGTCCAGGCCGCCGATGTAGATGCGACGGCGGGGCTCGGCAAAGGCCTGGTGGGCCTCATGTTCTCGCTGGAGGGCACTCAGCTCGGTGCCGGGAGGGAAATCTTGGTCTATGCACCACATCAGGTCCTGGAGAAAAGTTGACAAATGGATGAAAATATTCTTATCAAATCAAAAACCAGTTTGCAGTAACATAGAATATCCTTCATGGCGTTTGTATTAACTCCTGCACTGAAAATCTTGCCAGCCAGCCATCCAAATGACTTACTTGTCTTTTACTTCCCAAACAGAACGCTGAAGCTAGGCATCTCAAAGGTGCAGGCTACACACTATGTGGAACAGAGAAACTATGTCACGGTGATAAGAGGGGTATCTGTGGCTAACCAACTGATAATATAGTTGTAAGATGGGGTAAAGTGAAATGATTGGTTCATGGTACCACAAGCTTTATCGCCCAAGTCTTACAATAACAACCATCATGGCTCTCCTACCCACCTGCTGAATGAGCTCACATCCCTCCTCAGCCGTGGAGTACTGATGGACAGGCATCCCGGATGTCTCCACGGTCTTCCTGAGTTTATGCTGGCGGTCAAAATGCCATTGGGTCTCTCCAAAATTCTTTACTTTCTTCTCCTCCTTGGCACTCTTGTCTTTTTGGCCCTGCAGGAATACCAAAAAAATATCTCTTGATGGTAAACTAATTTGCATCTCCCTTAGAGACCAAAAGATGATTTCATGGGGTTTTCTTTCATTAAATTTTGGTAGTTTGGAATATGTGTTAAGGTACCAAACATGCCCTGAACAACTCTCAGTCTAGATCTGACTCATTTAACCACTTGCCACAGGTGTGCCTGGTACCGGAGACACCGTGCAGTGTTTCGTGCCCGAAATCGGAACTTTCTTTAACAAAAGACCGAGCTGCTGGGACTTGCCAATCAAGGTTCATATGCTGTCAGCGTAGAGTGCTGGCATTAGCAGAGGTAATCCATCGTTGTTTTGAAAAGTACCGCTGTTCGCGCTGCCAGCGCAAGCAGATTATCAGCGGGGACAAATGTGCTCCAGGACCCCAGCGATGAGCTATACAATACGACTGCGCGCTCGTGGAATCTGGCAGCATTAGTACAGACAATACCGCTGTGCAGCATTCATTATGCCGGTGTGCCCGATGAATGGCCTGGTTCACCCTTACGGCCTATGGGCTGCTTGACCATCAATTGCTCCGTGTAGCAACACCGCCGTCCAGCATAGCAAAGAGGAAATTACGTGACACTGCACAATGGGGGCTCTTTACTGGGCGGCAGGCATGGCTGCAATACTCACACATCAATGGAGGTTGCCTGTCAGATTAGAGTCGCCACCAGACAGTCATTCGTTTGGGTGTATGTGTCCAACAAATGAAAATGTGAATTTTTGAAGAATTTTGAAAACGGAAATCAATGAAGCGCCCAGCAGCAGATGATGCGTGCATGCATGCGCGGAGCCACTCGGCAAGTCCGTAACCCTGTGCCAATCTTATAACCTGGGCTGGTGACTTACAGCATCCGTTTTGCCATCTTTTTTCCCTGCCTCCTCCACCTCGTCTTCGTCAGGTTCCAGATCCTCCCGCTTGATGCGAGGCTGCCGCAGGTAGAAGAAGGTGCGCCCTTGGTTGAGCGACCTGTCATTCAAGGCGGCATGTAGGATCTCCAGCTGGTTTAGGGGGAGACCGAAAGACTAACTTGCCAAATGCTGATAAATCATCAGAAAGGTCAACGAGAGTATTCAAGAGGAACTGTATGCTTTTCGCTTTTATGTCAACAATAAGTAATAATTTTTTTAAGCCTAAAGTTTAATTCAACATTCATGTCCAGGTTCTGTGCTAGCTCTGTACTAAAATGTTGAGACACAATTCAATTTTATCAATGAATGTGCTCTTTCAGGGTAGTTGTTAAATCTTGTGCTAGATATCCAGAGATTAAATAAAGGATTCAAGCTTCAACACGTAAACAGCAAGTACAAAAAAAGCAAATAATAGACAGTTTCAAGTATTTTCATGGGGCATAATTAAAGAAGAATTAAAGAAGTAACAAAGATCTTTAAAAATTCTCACACTGCAAATGTAAGGTCAGTAATTTTAGAGACAAATCAGAGAGTCCACTATTGAAATCTGCTGACACTTGGTATCATACAAACAAAAGATGATTTTTATGCCTTCCTAAACAAATTTTGGTAGACACTCTGACCACCCCATGAACATCATAAAAGCAATTCTTTTGAGAAGCCAACTGCTATTAATTGTAGCAAAATACAGAGTGATACAAAGTCCTTATCTCTGACTGTTCTGCACTGACAGAGCTTTTATCACACCTGAAAAAGTAATTTTGTGCGGGACCCCAAATCACTGACATTGCCTGCATGAGTTGGTTTTGTGGTTGTAGGGTCACACAGCTTCGCCTACCTTGGTGACGCTTGTTTCGTAACGGTGCTTGTCAATCCACTCCAGCTGCTTAAAGTTCTCAATGGCGTAGTCAAAGCTCTTGGTAAGCAGCTTGTCTGGACGCTTCTTTCTTTGGCTCCAGCCAAAGCGATCGCCCATCAGGCAGATAAAGTAAGGCCGGCACTTCTCAATCTGGCAAAATCGACCAATGGAAAGAAGGGATATTCCTCCTGGGAGATGGGCTAATCAATCTTCCCTTCAACTTAACGAGATCAATGTGCAGCTTTTATTCAGTGCAGCACGAAATGTAACAATTTCTAGGTGTGAGCACCGTCACGAGCCACTTTTTGATATCTCACTGCTGGACATTTTTTCTTGCATGAATATGGACAAGTGGGACATAGCAGACCATCAACAGAATATTCTCTACTTTTTCAATATCCACCAGCAAAAGTCTTGAGAATTTATTTTTGTTACAAATGCATTGCATGAAGGCATAGCTTGCATTTTCCAAGATCAGTTCAGGGCATACGAAAGACACAAATACGCAGTTCCATTTTTATAGCGAATCCATGGTTACAGGAATATCAAACTCATCTCTTAAGGACAAAACCTGGTAGTAGGTTAGTGATTAGTATGAATGTTAAGACATTCATTCTAATCTAAACCATTAAAATTTCAGCTTTTTCAAAAAATCTTCCTTGATTTTTACAATTCTTTCTTCTGCAGCAAACTAAAATAAGTCCCCTAATAGTCCATACCTCTCTCAGGCAAATAGAGATTGTTTCTCCATCGTTGGTCTGCCCCTCGGTGATACCCCAGCGCAGATCCACGTAAGTGAAGAACACGCCGCGGTCCAGACAAATCCTGTTCAGCTCACGAAATGCTTTCTTAATCAGAACCTGCCCCACCATAATTACAAAAACAAACTCTGTAATTAAAACTACATGAGGGAAACTATTATTCAACAACATAATTATCCAATTCTATGTCTAGCCTGGATACATAGTTCCATCCATAGATATTGAAGGCAGTGCTTGCTATTTTATTGGATTTCAACTATCCAACAGATGGATACGAACCCAGCAGCCAAAAGAGCAAGTTCACACTTGCCACGGGAGTGAATATGAAAACAGTTTGTTGGCATCAGTTCAAATATTCGCATTACAGCGAATCTGTAAAAGTTGAACACATTTCAACTGAAACCAAATTTGCTGCCAATGAATGTCTCCTGGGAAAGTGTTCAGGAAAATAAGGGAAGCCTATGACGTAATTCGTTCGAGCATCATCCCACCTCTTCAACTTAAATTTCTCAAAAAAATCTACAGCCATCACACCTCCCTCTCCTCGGTGAAATCCCGGAAGGTGCTGGAGACAAAGACTCGGATCTCCCGTTTCTTGCGCTTGATTCGCTGATGAGTGGGCCTGGTACGTGGTTTGGCCTGGCTGGGAGCATTGGAAGCATCCAGCTGATCTCCCTGTTGGACCTCCGTCTCATCTGGTCAGTAGCGAGAAGATGAGAATAGGAAATCACAGAAAAAGTCCTGCATAGAATTATTTGTTACTTTTCAAGGTGTTCACCCCAAGCAAACATGACAATTGAAAGGCAGCTAGAAATCTGTGTTTTGAGGTTAAATATATGAATGAAAAACAAAAAAAGAGGTGTTTTCTCTTCAGCCTTGATAACCATCAAAGATGGCAACCGATGCTGAGATGTAAAAACAAATGTTTCATTGTCTCATATCCACTCTTGAGTAAAGGTGGTGTGTCCTCATCAGCAAAGCCAGAAAACACAGATTGGCAAGCATTGACCATTACCATCAGGCAGTCAATGCACATGCAGAGACTGCACATTCCAATAGAAATGGGTCCTATAAGCTCAGCACAGCAAGCACCAAAGGTGCATGAACCTGCAGGCAGATGTATCCGATGAATTCCTGCCACATGATCAGAAGCAGAATTTGAGCCCATTACCACATCTAATTATGTCCAAGCGAAACAGACATGACCAAGCCCCTGGCTGTAGGTTGCACTTTGCCAAGGACACTGAAATTCAAGGTTGACCAGAAAGGAAACTCACCCAGCGTGTTCTGCATCTCGGCCAGCTCCTCTGCGTGCCTGGCGTACAGGCCACGCACCATGGCGTCTAGCTCCTTGGTAAAGCTGGCCCCTGCGGTCAGCTGGATGTCGCTGTAGGTGTCTCCTGCCGCTGCAGTCACCTCGCTCTTGACGCGGATGCAGGCTGCCGCAACGTAGGGTCCAAAGTGCCCAGCCCACATCTTCATATCTTTGCCTATGGATAGATACCAATTTAAGAATGTTATGACAGGCTATGTATTTTGATTGCGATCGCTGCATCCACTTTGCACAATAATGGGTGACAGTCAGAAAAAAGACAAACAATGAATCACCAAATGATTTTGTACTCTTACAAACCCGAATTGTTTTGGATTAAATCTCTGAACTTTAATTAATTTTTCAACTTGTAAATGAGCGGCATGTTCTGCACGTGCATCGGTCTGATTGCAGTATTTTTCCCTGTGTGGATGTTCCATACACACTAGTGTAATGCCATAACCTACAGTGTGGCAGTTATCTCTTTTGGCAAGTGTTCCAGAATTTCTGCCAAGTGGGCAATAGAAAGTGGCTTTGAAATCGGCAAAAACAAATAAACCAGCCGCTTGAAATCTACAGAGCTGAGCACATGCCAAAAGTCATCAGAACAATGAATGTCATGGTAGCCATTTTCAGACTTTTAGTCCATGTGAATTGTGACGTTGGCTGTGATCAGACTCCAGAGGACATGGCCTCATGCCAACTCTGACTTAACTCTGTTGAATGGGTTGCACAGTGTTCACAATCCCTGTTACTTTGTATCTTGCAACAATGCAAATAGAACATCAGTTCAAACCCTTTGCCAATTATGGCCTCACCAACTGTTTCGATGCCCACGCTGCGAACCCCAGGACCGTAGTCTGTGAAGGTGAAACACTCTCGTATCCAGCCCTGGGCCCTGGTGTTGATGGTGTTTTGCATGTCCGTTGTCTTCTTCTGAATCACCGTGCCATCTTTACTCAGCAAGGTTGCAGTTAGCCAGTAGAATCCACCTTGATCGCACCCTTCCCGATAGGACTCCGACACCTGGGAAAGGGAAATTTCCAATAGAAGGCCAACGAATACTTGGCACAAAGGCAAAACATAAAGTGAATTTAAACATCGGGATAAATATTCGCACTTTATTTACTTTATTTTCCCAATTGGGGTGGCTTGGGTTTCGGATACAATGTGACAAACTGTGGGGTTGTCCCCTGGGGACAAGTTCTAACGTTTTCAAGGAATTGAACACGCCAACACTTTAGAGACACTATTACTTCCATAGGAGGGGGAGGGTCCATTTCAGGATGGAAAAACACTGGATGATGGTTTTTACAAAAATTCCATTATGCCCTTGCCTCCAACTCATAACCAGGATTTGCCACTAGGGTTTGCTGAGTATGCATTGATAAAGATCTAAACCAATATCAAGACCAAAAATTTGGGACATATCATCCAGCACATCAAAATCTCAAACAAGAGCATTTTGCGCCAAGTTTTGGATATAACCAGGATGTATGAGGGAAATCCAAAGAGGACCCAGAATTAAACACAGACCTGAATTTCCGGACTAGAGTCTAGGTGCTTCTCTGAGAAATGCTGCATCAGATCTACCTCTTGATACTTGACACACCGCATGTAAGATGCTATGAACACTAGACAAAAAGAAGAAAACAGAGTGAACAGCTGAGCAAATATTTCAGGGCAAAGTGAAAACTGGCATAAAGATTTGATTTGAAGTGGATATCTAGGATGTTGAATACATCATGTAGTAAATAACTTCCTGTGGTTGGTATATCAAGCCTGATCAAAATGAAAGTTTTCTATGATTGAGAGTTTGAAAAAACATTCATTCAGAGACTGACTTTTTGATTTTCACCTTTAAACCGATTTGGTGATTGGAAAGTTGATGTGAAGTTTTATGCATTTGCCTCCCCTTTATTTTTCTAACATCACGGCTGCAAGTTTTTAATTTTTATGCTAAGCCTTAGTAAAATATTTGTCTAATGTTCTGCACGTTTGATTTGACATCGATTAGGAAAAAAAGATTTTGGATTCTCTTGATATGCTACGTTTTTCAAGTGGGGAGCCATGACATGTTCAGTTCTTCATGAACTATGCACAGGAAAAAGTATACTTCCATACCCAGTGGTGTGAAATTTTAATGATCATAATTTACAGACCACTTTGTTCAACTGCATTAAAACTGTACAGAATTACAGAAACTTAGAAAAATCAGACGGTGTTAAATGCAGACAGATCTCACTGTATGTCACCGCCTATCCAAGATCTGACAGAGGGCTTAGAATTCCCCTCTAGTGATATGAAGTTAAGTTCACTTAACACTTTGACCTCTGAATACAGTTTAAAGGATCACTTACTTGTCTCTGTTTGATCACCGCCTGCTGTAATCTTCCAGTCACCAGAGAAGTTCCAATGGCTCATATCTCCACTCTCCAAAGAAAAAAAAAAAGAATGCAGGTCCAAATAACTTTGAACAGATCAAGAGCCAACAGTGAAATCAACAGATCTCAAGAACATTTCTTTAAGACGCCTGTGATTGACAAAAAGGCTGCAAAGGATAATCGCATAGCTACATGTATTTAACCAAAAAGTGACTTGTGTAATTTCAAATCCAGGGCAAGTGTGTAGGACACTCTTGTTATTTATGCAGTGTTTATCAATAAACAAATGGAAATCAATATCAAGGATGGCTGAGACATGCAAGCTGGATCCCTCCATCTTGAATTTTTTATTTGCATGTTGTGAGAGGACCCTCTAACACCATTTTACATTAAATATGACCTACTGTAGGTAACTGAGGAATGATCCCCAAATCCTTGTTTTGAGTGATTGGCGACTGAAGTTGGATATATGTTAAAAAAATCATGTCAAAATTAATTTCTGGTTTTTAGATTTTCGGTAGGTTAGGTGTCAAAGCTTTCCTCTAGCTGTGCCATTTGTGCAAGAAAATCAAGCAAAGGCGATAAAAAGGAGGATTTCTGGAGTGAGTTTGCTTCAATCTTTTCTAAAATTTATAGTGTTTACCTTTTAAATGACGAAATTTTGTCCATATTCCCTGCGCATTTTTGGGCAGTTCGACTGTTGCCCTTGTGTAAAGTTTGGTATTGTTGGAAAGAGATTTCCCTACAGAGCTTATTTATAGCGGTAATATCATTGGCTGGATGACCTCTAGCCTGTTCAAGACCTCAAAAGGAGATATCTCCTCTGTTACATTGAGAAGCTGCATCTCGTTCATGAGCTATGCCTACCTAAGCAAAAGGAAGCGACATGATCGGATCCCCACACAACTACAGTTACTTGGATACACGAAGAAAACTGCGTAGGCAAAATCAAGCAGTTTGATTGGTCTCCTGGTATTCAAATATTTGGCGCGGTCAGTATTGTTTACTTGGATACGTGTCAAGCACTTCATTCGTCCAATCAGCATGCATTTCACAGCACTACACGAGCTTTGATGTACATGGATGTGTGCGTATACGAGTCGGTCGATTACAACATGGCATGTACACTGAATACTGTTACGATCACTAACTTGAGCTGAATACTTGCGATTTTTGACCTCCCAAAAGGGACAACCGTGCCTGACCTTTATGCCAAATTCAGCTGGAGTAATATGTATCTTATCACTGTAGTGCACCCTTGTCATCCGCTAAAGACACTGCTTGTCGGCTTGTGAGACACCAGCACATGCATGTACATTGAAAACTTTGAAAGTATGGAAGGCAAGATCCGATTACTGTCGGCTGGACGACAGCTTTCTGAAGAGCCAGAACTTCGGTTAGCAAAGAATACGAGTCTTACTTGTCAATTTAGAAAGGGTGCTTTTTACTAAATAAGCTTATATTAAATTTTACTTATCTTAAGAGGTACTTGCAAATTTTGGTATCAAGAGGGAATCTTCAGAAATCTAGAAACAAAGGGCGGGGGGCAGAGTCAACATCGGCCCGTCCGATGTCAATAAAAATTCATGATCACGTAACTCCCCTGCCATGGATTTCTCCTTTTCCCAAAAAATAACAATAAAACTTCTGGGAAACAATATCGGTAAACATTTTTTCAGTTAACTTTGGTATTTCATGGTAATAACTTCCCATAAATATCATGTTGCTGTAGTCATGTAGACCGAGAATGATTATGGAGCTTACACAACATGCACACGGCTAACATTTGCACCACTAGCTGGTGCGTGCTCTTTTTCAAAGCCATTTTTCTCAAAAAGTAATTTTGACAACAGCGATGTGTTCTGTCGTCTTTCTCAAGACATATTTTTGGAGCGGAGTGGGGTAGGCGTATAAATTTGGTAATACTGGAAAGCCCAATCCTTTCTCTTTATTCTCATATGCATATCTCAAAAATCATAAATGGGGATCATTCCTCAATATGCCATGGCAGGTCACATTTTGCAGTTACTGCAGAGCTGGATGGAGTTCGCCCTCTATGATCTTTTGCTGATCACTCTCTAAGAAACCAGCACAAACACCGCTTAGCAGATCGCCGAGTGTGTAATGAGTACAGAGTATAATCATCTCACTTCTCCTGATGGGTTGGACAGCAGGTTGGATGACCAACCAGCAATCTTCATCTGCTTCATGCTGAAAGTCCGGTCCAGCGCCACAAGAGTGTCTGCCAACTTGAAGAACAGTAAAAAAAATGTATACAAAATGAGGACGAGGCTGGACTGCTTTAACCTTGCCTTGATTCCTCAAGGAAGCAACTCACAAGATGTTGTAGCCTGCCCAAAACTACTCTGACCGTTTCCCTGCAAGGGTTTTCCCAGGGGTTGGTCATCCACGTTGTAGTCATCAACACACCCACAGAAGTTAGATTTTCAATATTTAAAGATGATATTTCAGAAAAAGGGACACTTTCCAGGAATCTCCATCAGACACTGAACAGCCTTAAGGGATGGTGTGGGGGGCAGTTTGAGCCCCTTACCAACCCCCAATACCCTCCTCAAAGGATGGCTATTTATTGGTCTGAATTGATGTATCCAGCATTGCGTCTTACCATCTGTTTGGCTTCCCTGTCTTGTTCCTTCTCCTTCTGGCTTTGCACAGGCTCCTTGTATGTGTCGTCATGAATCATAAAGGCCGACAGTAAGCACTTTTCATTATCTGTACAGAGATTATTACTGAAACGTTACTCTGACAGCAGGGTTGATGTTACAAGTGCAAAGCTTTGAGAATTGAGGGGGATTTCTGAAACCCTGTGAATTTTGAAACGAGTCGAGGCAAAAAAACATTGTTTTTGTCTCGAACCTGCTGTCAGTTTTACAGGTTATTTCAGGAAAGAAATAAGCTGAGCTACTTCAACAACTTTACTAAAACGCCTTCCCTAAATATTGAAAGTTGGAGTAAAAACCAAAACATTGGTGGGTTAAGCTTATATGTTCTTTTCACTTTAAAGAGAAATGCAGCCAGTGTTTACGGGTACCTCAATATATATGTCTCATGTACCTCCATCCTAGTCACACCTTGCAGACAAACACAAATAGAAAAGATGCGCAGCTAACAATTTAGGAACTGGCTGTTCATTAGCAAAAGCAATTACATTACTTTTGTAAACAATGCACAACCATAAAGCGTGCAGACCGTGAAGCAGGTAAAAGTTCTTTCAACTTTAAAATGCTGTCCTTGAGCAAGGTCGTTTACAGAGTGCACCCAAATCTTGAGTCCCCCTATTTTCTTGAGAGATTTTTAGTACTCACAGTTGTCAAAAGTGAGATTAACTTTATTTCTGGAGCAGTTGAACGGGATGGACACCACCTTTGCTGTGTACCCAGGGACCACTTCAGGTATCTCAGATAACTGTCGATTCACCTTGAGATGAGCAATTTAATAACAGCATTAATTCCGAGAAATGATTTGCAAGTATCTGCAACTGTCTTCTCTAGAGCACACCCAGTATTTCTGTATTCTGGTCATCACGCCTCAATCAATAACTGATGAATTTATATCAATAGACAAATGGATGCAAGATTACTGATAACTAATATATGGTAACTAATAAAAATAAAATGATAACTAATGTACTGACTTTTTTGGGGGAGATATGATAAATCACTGCTTGACTACCTGATATCTTAATTGATCTCTTTAATAGAGCGATTAATCAAAGCGGTGACTGTTTGGTTCAGAATTACCTCAATGCTTATTTGCCGTATTTTACTTTGCAAATCCAGCAAATGAGATCATTGACATATTTTTCCTGCCAACAAAGTCAAATACCGGTTACTTGTTTCTGGTCAAAATGACTAACCTCTTCAGAGATTTCTTCTTTGTTGACCTCAATGCTGTGGTTTTTCAGGTAGTCACTCACACTGTGCAGCTGAAGAGTCAACTTTCCTGCTTTCTTGATGGTCATCTGCAAGAGGAAGACACAGCATTTAACTGGCGAGTGAAAGTGAGAAAATTATGGCTCTACTGTTAAAAGCAAGTGCATTACATGGCATGATGCAATTGGAAACTGTAGTCTTGGTTTCCCTTAGCAAAACCCTAACAATGCCCTGCAATGATAAAATGGTCCCTGAATGATGCGTGGACAACATTAAGCCAGGTAATGGCACTCTTTGCAAACCTTTGAAGTCTTCCTGAAGTCCAATCTTGCCAAAATAAATTTTTCAACCAAAAATTGGTGAAAAGTGAGCACAAGCTATAGGCCGGCACCCCTTTCCCCAAATAGAAATAGTTCCACATTCCAAGGCAGTTTCATACAGTAACATATAGCTCATCAATCTCTGCGCATGAGTTGCTCTGTGTTCATCTTATGTCTTTCTACTCAAGTTGGAACTCTGAACATGGGCCTGTTAGCCTTCCCAAGAGATGCCACTTCAGTTTTTCAAAGTCCGTTCAACTGACTCGCCTTGTACACCATCCTGTCGGCAAACTCTGGATGGGTTTCGTTGCATGTGCCATAGAGAAATCCGTCATAGGTGTTGGTCATCATACTGTACAGATTGTCTTCAGACCTTATGAGAGAGTCAAACTTTCTCAGGCACTGAATGCCTGTTGATACAAAAAAAAAGCAACCATTGATTGAATGGAATATAACTAAAAATGTGTCTCAACAAACAACACACCGGGTACTAGCCCACTTCAAAGCTGAGACGTTTGTTTAGATTAATGAATCTGGAGATGTTCACTTGAATTTGTTTAATAGACACTTATTTACTTGATAAAACAATAAGGGACTAACTCAGCAAATAAACTGCCATGACTAACATTCAGTGCAACTTCGGCCCCAATACCCAAGTGCGTCTTCTACCATGCCATTAGACATCGTGGACTGCAGCATGTTGAATGGAAAGCAGGGTTTTAATATTAATGGTGCAGCCCTGGCCCATTGGCGCCAGAGGACAAGTATGATTGATTTCAAGTCTAATTGTGCAGGTGCCTCAAGCTTATGCATCCACGCATACATGTATGTGAGCGTGGTGCTACCGAAAAATTGGCATGAGCTCGGCTTAGTCTCTCGTTTTCCCAATTAGATTTCTCCTTGTGATGTTTTATTTCATAGGTTCATTTCCTAATCTCTTTCTTTACCCCCTCATCTTGGGCTTAAATGTTACACTGAACGTCATGACTATGGAAAGCATTCTCAATAACTTACAGTGTTGCCACGAAAGTTAAGACACATTTGACCCACTTTAAGTTTTTTGACATTATTTCTCCAAACTGTTGTCAAATGTTACCATATGTTTACCCTTGGTAGCTTCGGATGTTTACCTGTGGGAGCTTCTGATGAAGTTACCCCTTGTAAGTCAATTAAGCGGGCTTTCGGCCTCAACTTACCATCTTCTTTGTCTGTCACCTTGAACGTTTTCTCAGTCTCATAGAAGACCACTTTGTTGAGGGCTTCGTACATGGATCCTCCCAGATTGACAGCACACAGGACCCCAGGTGGTTGGTTCACAATGCGATGGGGTGAACCATCCAGTTCCACGCTGACTGGTTCATTATCTACACCAGAAATTCATTTTACAGTACAGATTCAAAACTTCAGTTGAAGTCTTTCAGAAAATTCAGTGTGAAGTTGAAACGTTAGGCAAATTCATACTGATGTCACAGGTGGAGGCAAAATGCTTAATATCCAGATATCCTTCATAACCAGTAGAGGTAAATAAAAAATTAAGAAAGCATATTGTGGTGTCCATTTGGAATACACAGAGAGTAGTTGTTAAAGGATAATTTAGTGACCAGTACATTAAAAACTTAATGCTGATATTATTCAGTTCAGACACCAATTTAGAGACCTTCTTACATGCCATTTCCACATATGTAAAAATAGTTCAATCCAATCAGACAAAATCTCAAAAAAAACCCACAAGGCCTTAACAATGCGTATAACTTAGAGTGATGCAGAGTCATACCTTTGATTTGCCAAAAATCAAACAATCACTCAGGATTTCTACCTGTTAAAATGTTCAAAATTCTGTTATCAAATGAAGTTGCTTCATTAGTGATTCTCTTGTATTTGATAAGCAGTTCTACACAATTAGACCTGGGTGATCACTTACTGATGTCAGTGGTCACTCCAAATACCTGCAGCAGCTTCAGGCCTGGGCTGTTCTCATCCTCACTCAACTCCCTCTGGAATCCCAGTCTACCATCAGGCTGTTCCAAGAGCTGACCCACTTCCACCAGCTCGATTGTGTGGCCGTTGATCATGATCCTGACCTGTGACATTCTGGACACCCACCCGGTGATGCTTGTGCCCTTGAGGTGCACTGCTCCCCGGTACTTGGTCTCCAGGCCGGTGGCCAAGCAGGAATCTTGGGCGCACCTCTCTTGTGGGCTGGAAGCATCTTCTGGAATAGTCGACAAGAAGCTGTAGCGGCAAGGGGCATCGGGACCAACAATGACCAGCTTGTTGCTCTCAGCTGACACGGTCCATTCATTACCATTACCAGACAAGCCAGAACTTCCAGAGATGAATGAGCTGTTGATCCCCCAGTTTTGGATGGTCACCAGATACAGGGCAGATGAGGTCATGTTGTAATCTCCCATGCTACAAGAGCACATGACAAGTAGTGTATGATCTGCATATATGGAGATATCCTCCACAAGAGTTGTAGGGGTTGTCCCACGGAAAGCCTGGGTATGGATAACTTTTGCCAGATTTTTAAGATCGTCACTGCCATCCGAGCACAAGATGCAGTATCGACTCTCAGACGGTCCAGTAATCTCAAGCTCTCCAACGGGTTGACCAAATGTACTCTCCTCTTGCTTCTCCTCATCATCTGAAGAGCTACACGTGAACTCAAACTCATCTCCTTCACCAGAAGAAGCTAACTTGGTATCGGATTCTGAGCTGGAGCAGCCAAACTTCCACAGATCATCGCAAACCTCACCAGCAATGGAATGCACGACCATTTCATTGGGTTTGTACCCAAAAGCAACAAAGTAGGCATTGCAGGGACGTGAACCCTTCTGCCCAGCAGCACTACAAAGAACCAACCAAGCTTTGCCATACTTGTCTTGACTGACTGAAGAGATGCCAGGTTTGAAGGTTGCTGTACTGGTGCCGCCTTCCGCTTTGGGACCTTTGAAGACTGCCCCACTCCCACAGTGCCCCATCTGTGCAATGTTTGAGACAACCGTTGCCCTAGAGAACCCAAATCGTACACAGGGTGTCAAGTGGCCTTCTGAATCCGTGTGCATGCGGATGTACCTGTATATCGAGTGGCTGCCTCCCTTGGCCAGGGAGGTGTAGCCATAATGGTTGCCGTCAAAACCGCAGCGGATCAGACAGAGCTCCGAAGTGAAAGTCAAGTAGTTGAGGTCATACAGACTCGTGATCAGTACCAGTGCTGTACCGCCGCCGTGCTTGGCATTGATGCTAAAATCGGTCTTAATGAAAGCTGGGATGGGGAACTTGCAGGAGGCTGTGCCCGAAAGGGATGGAAAATCAGCTGTAGGAAGGAACAATATTATGAATCCCATCACCTCAGCATTTCTACACGGTTAGTTGCATTCTCTATAATTATGGACTGGACTGCATACAACAAAATGGCTTATAAAAACTTCATTCCACATGATCTTTAATGAAGCAAACTTTGACTCAGGCACAAAATTCAAAAGCAAGATAAACTTCAAAACAGATTAGTAGGGTACAAATTATGATTTGATTTTTAACTCGAAACAGCTGCAGCATTTTGGACAGTGTTATAAACTGAGAATGCAGCAGGAAATTAAGATGGCATTACCTATTGATTTGACTTCCTTTGGGGGCGGTAACTGTAGATCCACTTTCTTCAGTTCTTCTGGCATGTCTACAAAATAAAGACAAGACAATTCAAATGAAACCATTCACTTCCAGCTGTACATTTGAAGTCCCTGAAGACTGCCACTCTGAGCAGGAAAGGGAACCCGCAGTGAAGCAAGTTTGACGTTGAAGAAAAAGGACATGGCAACTTAAAAAAGAGAGAAAAAGAATCTTTTTTATTAACTGGCTGAAGTGAAAGTCACTTCCTTCAAGGAATTGATACTTTTCCACTTCACGGGATCTTCATTTGCATAAAGCTGATGACACTGTCAGACAAACATAAGGCAGAAATCTAATTTTTCAAACCACGCTATGCAACAATTCTTTTGATTCAAATTTCACAGCCAAGTATTCAAACAGCACTCTTATTTTCTTGCTCTGTGGTTCAAACAACACTCTTATATGGTAGGCCCATGGAGGTAGATTCTACCCCCATGGCAGGCCTGGGTGTAGGCATGTGGAGCTTAAGTTATACACTGTAGGCCTAACTGTTAAAAGAATTCGGAGAACACTAATTTTCCTGGCCTTCAAATGTTATAACATTAGACAGTGAAAGTGCTAAAAAGTGAAATGTAGAAGGAAAAAATCCCGAACATTTTATTTTATCACACGATCGTGGCTGTTATATGTGCGTGCGTGAACTGCCGAAAATGGGAAGCACCGTACCCCCACTGGCCGCAGAGAACTGTGTGGGCCCGTCCGAGACGGCCCCGCTCCCAAGCGTCCCCACAGTTCTAGTTCTGGGGGTAGGAAGCACCGCACCTGTACCTGCATTCGTAAGTAACGCATGTGCAGCGAGCAATGGTGAGCTGAGTACCCCCCCTTTCCCCCAAGATTTCCCCTTTTTACAGCTCCATGATTTCGCGAACTTCCAAAGACGTTGTTGCTGGCGTGGCTAGTTGTGGTTCGTGCGTTCCAGCTTTTCGTCTTGTGAACGCCCTCTCGCGTATCAAGAACACAACAACGTCTTGACAAAGACTAGTCGTTATTCGGCCGGGCAGTTTTGGTACAACGCACTTGGGGCACGAGCGGTGTTTTTAGCCGAACAAGCAACCAATGTCTCTCTACCTGGCTTAATGGAAGATCCAATGAGCAATATTTGCTCATTGGATCATTGTCCCCCTGAGGCAAAAGCTTAGTTGAGACTGTTGAGACAATGTTTATGCTTTTGAAACATCTGCTTGGTAAAAAATTAAGAAAGAGAATATACAGACAACACTCAATGCCTCTGTGCACACGAGACTTGCCTGAAAAACCTAAGTGTTTCCTAAATAATTGTTTTGAAAAAGTGAAGCATATTTTCCAAGATTGTTTTAACGAAGTTTTCACAAGTTGCTTCTATTCGTTGTTGCTTATTAACTTGGATTTATGCTAATTTGGATGCTCTCTCAGTTAGGATGGCACGAGAATTTGTGTAAAATACGTGCATTGAAAAACTGCTTTACGCTGAAAAAGTGATCCTATTTTCTAAATTTGTTCAGTCTGTTCTGTAAAAAATATTTTATTTCAATCTGAAAAAAAGTTTGGACTTTAAGACTTCGTTCCAGTCTTTTTTTGGACTGTATGTTCCTTTAAAATCCCTTTGAATCTAGAAAATACGCTGCGTCAATGAAAATTCATCTACTCTTTAAAATTTCATTCAAATCTAAATGTATTAAATCCTTAAATTTCGTTCTGCTTTCGAAAAATATACTCCAAATTTCTAAATTACGAAGTTTTTAAAAATGACTTTCGCTTTAAAATACGCTCAATTAGAAAAATGCTTTCCATTTATCTTTTCGACCCTAGTTCTGCTTCCCATATGGGGAGTACTCCGATCGATATAACCCGGACAGTTCACAAAATTCTTGGTACAGATGCGGCCGGAAATACCCGAATATTACCGATACCATCCGAATGGTCTTTTTCTTCTCCCTTTACTCATTTTGCTACCAATTTTACTCCTTTTAATCTTTGTAACAATTTTACAATTTTGAGGAGCATTCATGAAAAAGTGTTGACGTTAAACTGAATTTAATACGGACAGGATAAGTTCGGAATAGTTCGACTATTCCCGGAAATCTGGGGAGTGTTGGTCACGTGGACATTGGGATACAGGACCCTTGATTATAAGAGTGGTCAGAATAAATGGGTATCTAGACTGAATCTTAATATGCAGCCAGTTGAGCTAGTTTTAGCTAACTTCGCCGCGGCGAGATAATAACTCGCCACGGCGAGACAGTAAGTTGCCGTGGAGAGATAATAACTCGCCACGGCGAGACAGTAAGTTGCCGTGGAGAGATAGTAAGTCGCCACGGCGAGATAGTAACTTGCCGCAGCGAGATAGTAAGTCGCCGCGGACAGATAGTATCTCGAAAGTCTTTTTTTTGCAAGTGGCCATTATACGCTTCCGTAGAATAGGACTGACGAATCACTGCGGCGGGAAAACAATTTGACACCGCAGCAAGATCTTATAACTCGCCACAGCGAGATAATTACTCGGAAAAAAATTGCAATTGGCCCTTATAAGCCTCTGTACCCCACACGAACAGGATATGCACATTCACTGCATAATTTTTGGAGTTAAGTCCCAGACGTGGCGCACTTGGACGTTCAAGACGTTTCCCTCGACTTGTTATGCAGTCTTGCCCACCTCTCTTATTGTTCAAGATTCAATTCGTTCAATGAAGTAAATTATTACTTTGATAATATAACAGGAAAAAAAATACTAGTATCTCGTCATGGGAGTTACTAGTATTTTTTTCGGGGGGGGGGGCAAAGCATCATTAGCAATTATACCGTTCGTATTTTATTCCTCCATTAAACCGTTACCAGTAGAAGGGTCAGTTTCGGATTCCCCCCCTAGCAAAGTGGGGGGTTTAAATCCACTTCCATCCCTTTTTCTTCATGTTATATCTTTCGGCCCCCGCCCCTTTTCGCTTGTTATTTAACTTTTTCGGCGGGTACCCCCTTGACCTGATGATTCCCCCGCCCCCACAATGACGACGAATCTCGAACCTTTTTTTAAAAAAGGGCAGAACTTTCCGTGATGGCAGGTGGAATGCTAGACTACTATTCTGCTACTTCGTTCTCAGTGATATGAGATATCACCCTAATAAGGGGTTTTTAATTACACAAAGTCATAATACATCTACTTTTCGAGTCAACAAAACAAAACAAAAGTGAACAAAATCAGAGAGGCAAGCGGGGAAAGGAAGTAAACGTGTAAAGATATCGTCAACTTCCACCAAAGCCCACTTTGATTTCCTCGACGTAAATGAAGTTCAAACTTCCACATTCTAGTCATGGTTAGTGCCCTTGGTCTTATCATGTACCAAGCACCAATTCCCGCAGCTGACCCTGGTAATCTATAACTGTCTGAATATACAATGTACATCTCTGTGGCACCCAGTCCTAACTGAAGTGCATCATGTAGCGTTCGCTGGTTTTATACTTTAATGTTCACTTTTAAAAAGGAGCCTCCTTTTGAACAGGTGAAGGCTCAAGTCTAAAAAATTTTTGCACACCAGCGAAATAAAAGTACCAACAAGGGATATCTGCTCCTTGTCGTTTTCTCCACTGTTTCTGGTAGTGATGGTACAGTTGCAATGAGTGCAAACATTTTAGCACTACCCGATCTTGTTCAAATGTTTAAATGTTGACTTGTAGGTACCAGTTACTCGGAATAATAAAATCGAGTATAGTTTTAAAAAGTGCAAGGCTTAGCAAAGTTTCAATAAATTTTAAAATGAAAACTCCAGGTTTCCATTGGTTTTGATGATCTCATTTTAATTAGATGCTGTTTAGAGAATAGGTTTCACAATTCCTGGTACACAGACAACTACTTTCTCTGGTGATCTGTGAAGGTTTCCGTCCCCAATTTCATCAGATGAAAGTAACAATTAGGGACCTGATCAGATTGATTGTGGTACACCATTTTGCATATTTTGCTCATGTACATGTAGCTTAAAGCCCCTGCTATTTCGGTCTGTCAGACACCTTCAATAGTCCATTCACTTGTGAATGGCATCGTAGTCTTTGAAACTTGAATGCGTTTACAAGCAATTTTCATGGATGAAGAAACTCAATCTGTCTTATTATCCGCACTGTACATGTTTATGAAAACAGTTTACGCGCAAGATGGGCCGAGTTGTATTGGCACTCATGCTCAACATTATTTTGTGGCTTGATATTGTGAGACCTATGTTTATCCCCTTCAAACCTACCAGGTACCTGGGAAAACTCGCGAAGTGACCACCAGAAAACATTATCTAAATTCAAACCTAAGTTTAGATCGTTTTCTGGTGGTCACTTCACGAGTTTTCCCGATAACAGTGAGTGAGGGATCCACTTGAAATCTCGACTTGTCTTATATATACGACCCATCAAAAGATAAAGCCATTATTATGCACAAGATCAAGGCTCATCAACGCGTTTTGGCATAAACCTAGGGAAAAAAGCAGTGTCATCTAATGGCAGATCATTGATCATGATGTGCAAAAATTATTCATATTATGTCACGGCGCGCCACGTCGTGCACATGGCCGCAACACTAAAAGGGATCTACTCTGCATGTAAATTGGTTGATGATTGTTCCATCTATCAACGGTGACAAGAAATTCGTAGGCGATGCAGGGTTTTATCCAGGCAGATATCTAAAGGATTTATTTATACATTAGGCCTATACAAACAAAATTTCACTTGCCTGCTGTGGTAATAATTTTAGATGAAAAACCGAATGTTTTATACAATACCTGGATAAATCTCCGTGATCTGATTGGTAGATTGTAGATCACAGAGCATTGAATTATTCAACGGTACCCGTTGAATAGAACTTCACTCACCTGACAAGTTCCCGCCCCTTGTTATGTCATTCACAATAAAAGAAAAAGAGGAAAATAATGCATGGCCAGAAACACATTGCCCAGTACAGTGGGTGGCGCTGCGGACACGACTCTGTTCGCAAAATGACTGACGTTAATTGCTCTTTTAACCGGAAGAGGGTTTATAAATATTTCTTATTAGTGTAATGGTAAGAATAATTTCATTATTTTTACCATGAAGACAGCTGAAATGTTAGATCTCACAAGGTGAAGGCGGGAATCGAACACATCGTCTGCCACGTCGTGAAATTATTCTTACCATTGCACTCATACACACTCATTTTTTTATATACCATTCCTTGAGACTTCGTGAAGAGCTCTGTCTATGATCCCATAGAATTATTATTATTGAAAGAATGTCAATAAATTTGCACGTTCACAGTTTAAATCTGCATTTTCGGAAAGGTATATACATGCAATATTTCTTCAGGCAAGTCTTGGAAAAGACACCGCGTGGATGAATGCACCTTCAATTTGTTCCGGTTCAGTGCTGCCTTTGCTCGTCGCCGCCTGCTTCTTGACCAAGTTGAATGCGGTCACCAGAGCCATTTTCTGCCGGGGGGCCTGTAGGTGCTGCTCCTTGGATGCCATCCTGCCTCCTCAACAGACAGACAGACAGACAGATCTGCAAGGGTTGCACCGACTCGGTACGATTTCAAAACAACTCAACGTGGCACGCTGAAAAACTGGCCACTGAAGGTGTGGCACACAATGAAACTGCAGTGAGCGACTGCGGGGCGCAAACTACACGCTTGATGAATTTACTGCAGACACCGGTATGCCAGGATTGCACCATCATTGCGCAGTACTTCCTCTGCCCTTCGTATGCGCAGGGTGGTGAAAAAAAAGATAAATAAATTGTCAGCATGGAAGTCGAATTAAACCATTAAAAACCCTTGCTTTGGGGCCACATTGAATAATAACTTGTTACTATCAGGCCGTGTTAAAAAATGGTGATATGCATCTTAATTTGGTTTATTTATTAAATAGGTACAGCTGGGGAATGACAGTATTGGCCAGTGTGGGTAGGCAACTTACACTTACACTCAAAACAGCTTCTCTGTTTCAATCTCTTTGTTGCTCTGTTTTAGTTTTAATTAAACCTTTTTTTTCAAGTGAGAAGCGTTGTATCACGATAAAATAAACCAAGATATTTCTGTATTTAAAAATTTATATTCACAAGTGACAGACAAACAAGTCCTTGTGTTATGCTTGTCAGAAATGTAACCCCCCAAATCCTACCAAGAACCTGCGTTTACAGTCCCACAGGCATGTTTGTACGCTAAGATCAGACAGCCCCCTGAACATCACGGAGGATTACACATCCAAGGAAATATTCCGTGTGCTGATGGCATGCAGTAAACAAGATGTAACCTTGACTGGCCCATCGCACTTTGAGCCACCGTGACAGATTTGGGAGTATGTGAAGCATTAAGTTCGTGTATATTTGTACAGTACAACGGCATGAACTGGGCAAGTCATGGCCGCTGGCGCGTGGGCGTCCTTACGCGAGCATAATTCATTTCCGATCAAGTCTGACGGCTGGTTTGTCATCAGTGGCATGTCATGCTATGGGAGCTTTTGCAGGCGTGTTCAAGCTCGGCAGGCCTAGATCGCCAGTTTGTCTTCAAGGGCACAAGTTGTAGCCAGAGAATGAGGGGATTGAGTGTGATAGCTTGCAGCTTCACTTTGCAGGGGCGGATCCAGCTATTGGGGGGGGGGACACAAAGACGGGGGGGGGTTTCGACCCCATCCCTGGATCCAGGCCTGTCTGAAGTTGTCATTAAAAACTGGAAGCAAGTTCTGCTCTTTTCCTACTCCGTGATCTGAAGAGAAGTAGAAAGAGGGTCAGTTAGGCCTATACCTCAATTCCTACATGTTGACAGTGACATGTACAGGTAATTCAACACTACTAATAAGCCTTTTGCGGGTTAAATCTAAATAATCTGGTACACTGAGTTCTTTAAATTCCCGTGAACATAACCATTGGAATTCTCCATATTATAGCCACTGTTGCTATACCTCGTGATTCGGGGCAAGCTTTTCCTTAGTTACATAAGAGACGCCTTGCAACAATACACTGTTCTAAATGGAAAAGAAGGGCACAAAGGAACCAGTCCATTCCAGAGATGGTGGTCGCTGAGCAAAAGCTTGCCCCGAATCACGAGGTATAGCAACAGTGTCTTTAGTCTGAGGAATTCAAATTGCTATGTTCATGTGCAATCAGATAACTCATTGTACCAGATTTTATTCAAATTTAACTCGAAAATGGCTTATTGCAATGTGACACCTCGGAATTATTGATATTGATATGACATTGCTTTATTGTGATTTGCTGGGCTTTACTCACTTATGACGAATATGATGTACAGCTGAGGAGCCTGATTGGTTGTATTTCTGTATTATAAGCTGCACGCCAGAATTTCTGTATTCAACAGACTGAATTTGGACAGTGCGCACATGTCAACACTTCCGGATATGTGGGCGTCGAATGCTTCAGGTGAAGGCGGCAGGCAATCCACAGTGCAATGTTCGGTAGTTTGAGGCACCCATCATAAAATCCTGTGATCTTGTTAATCTTCCATTAATCAAATATCAATATAAAAGGATAAAACAAGTGACACTTCAGAATATTTAAATCAGCTGCTGACGCCGGTGAATTTACACCAATCCACCTCGATCGGAAGCACCCCCTCACCGGTTGGAAAGATCCATATTGGAGTGCTCATTGTGACCGCAACCTTGCATTTCTTAGAACCAGCGAAGTGCGGCTCCAACCAAAAGAGCGCACTGCTCAATTCAAGGGGAATTCTCCGCCAGGAAGAGGCACTCAAAAAGTACCCTTACCGTTTATTTGAAAAGGAGGAGATTGTGTGACCCAAGAAATTGTGGGATTGTGTAAGAATGTCCCAGAATGAACTCTCTAGATTCAAGGGCTCCCATCCCACTTTCCCAGGGCAAAGCATAGAAAAAAATTATTGAAAAAGTGCCCCAGGAGCCTGATAACGTAGAGGGATGTCATTCAAAAATGGTTGCTCACAGATTTGGGAACGTTCACTTTTGGGAGTGAGTTCGGTTTTTTTTGGTGGATAATTAAAAATTTATGAATGACCCCCCCAAAAAACAATGTTTTTTGTTTTAGAAGCCTGGGGGACTTCGATTGCCTGCACCGGGGCTGCAACCGTGGTCGATTTTTTTCAATGGGACTTGAATTAGTTCAGTGCACCCGAAAGAGCCTGTGTTGCTAGGAAAATTGTGCCCTCTCTTGGTCCAGCTTGGGAGCTTATCTGGTTCGTAAGTGTGACGTCACTTCAGTTTAAACTACACCCACTGCACATACACTGAACATAGAATTAAATGCATTGATCACCGTTTACATTGAACCATGGAACCGGAAGTTAACGCGCAACTTCAGCGATCGTCCAATGGGAGCCTGCAAATCATGGCGCGTCCGCCTTTGTGACGAAGTCACTTACGAACCGGATACGGTTGTGACTGAGAAATATGGAAGGGCTGCGTTGCACCTTGATCAGAATATCGACAAGAATACTAGATTAAATCAGTGCTCTGAAATATATGATTGCCGAGCTTTCGGTGACTGAGTACCTTCTTCAGGGCAAGTATGAAGAAGGTACTCAGTTAACGAAAGCTCGGCAATCATATATTTCAGAGCACTGATTTAATCTAGTATTTCTTGTCAAAATACTGTTGTGACTGCGCGGCGCCAAACAACCTTTGCTTTTCGCTAACAAATTCATTATGCACGCATGTGCACAAAATGGCCTTGGCGGCAAGGGTCACAAATGTACAGGGATGCGATTTTGATGTTTTTTCTCATGTTTTCTGGCTTTATTCAGTTTATTCTTCGGAAAATACCATTAAATCGTTTTTGCTATTAGCTTCTAATCTAAGAGGGATTTTTATTCAATTAGTGCTCTGTAAAAAGACCTTACAATCATGCTTTTTCGTGTGCGCACGAGATTAAGGGTGCATACTTTTATTGGTGAAAAGGTCTGTTACTTCTGTCCCATTGAAAATAGGGAAATTCAAGAAAGGCGACCAGACCATTTATTCGGAGTCAGTCGAGCAGGAACTTGATCCCGTGATGACAAAAAGTAAAATTTAGTAGACATCATAAATGGCCGGCGAAAAGATGGAATAAGCAAACTTGTGCGGAGGACAAGGGCAGAAAAACCAAATGATATGACCACAGTAATTCAGCAAGCGTTCCTAAATATCTCTAACTTTACGCTCAAGCAAAAATTCTTTAGGTTGTATTCTCACAGAGATCACTTCCAATAACTATTCCAATATATGTCCATATCTGGCAATGTAACTTTGAACCCGGGCATCACAGATCAGAGACACAGACATCCGTGCATGATGTAGCATTACTTCGCATGCATCCAGAAATCATTTCAAATAATGCAGTGAAGCAACCACAAATACCACCGTACTAGTCTCTGTGGTCTAATGGAGAAGGCGTCGGTTTCCTAAACCGAAGACAGTAGGTTCCAGTCCCGCCAGGGATACAGCAAATTACATTTTAGCAGGATGTTACAAAGCAAAAGATGGCGCAAAGCTTTCATTTTTCTTTTAAAGACCAAAATCTATTAGCACAGGCTGCACCGTTGAACTTAAGTGCTGAGTAAATAATAAAAATCCCTGATAATGGGCGGATACTAAGTTGAATTTTCTTTGAAATTGAAAGCTGCTGTACTTTGGAGGCCCTGCAACGTTAAATCCTTGGAACTATGAGTATAAACACAGTAACAAATATTTGTCAAGAGTCAGTTTTTCTTCTTAATTTTATATCAAATTTGCATCGGTTGCTTACAAGTCAACGAACATTGAAAATTCACACCTATAGTTGTGGCACATCGTAATGAATTTGATTCCATTTTCATTAAGTTCAAATTCAAACAAGCATAACCCATGGTCTTTGGACGGCGCTAACTTAGCAACAGAAATTTGTCTGGTGATGTATATTTGAATTATTTTGCATATCTCTTCCGCTTTTCACTTCTATTCTTTTGTAAATTTATAAGTCAAAATATATGTACCAACCACTCATTGGACCAAGCAGGAATTTTGTATCCACGCGAAAAGAGAAGTAAAACCAACGTGACGCCATGATGGCGTCATCGCCATTTTTTGAATTTACCACTTGATCGATGTTTAACATTTGGTCTGTTTCCCTGCCCAAAGATTCCCTGACAACTGTTGTTAAAAAATCTTAGGTAAGGCATCACCCAAGGATATCAGTAAATAGATATGACGCAAGGGTCAGGGGTCACAGGTGGAGATCCCGGGTGTTTTCGATTTCATTACTGACAGTTATTCACCCTGTATGAGTAGGCATTTCCCAGTCTTCGTCAGGACCTGATTCTTCCTAGATTTCGGCTAAGGCTACCTGTGATTTCAGCTGCCATAAGGATATGGGAGTTTACGTTCAATAGCTAACCTACCTTCCCGACCGGGAATAACCGAACATCAACGGGACCATCCGAACTTGCCGGATATGGACGGGACGACTTCAGAATATTTCGACTATTTCCAGAAAACTGGAGGAATTCCTCCAGTCTTTGTCACGTGGACACTGGGTGATACTGGACCCTTGACTCGTAGAGTAGTCAGAATCATCGGGTCTGGTATCCTGACTATTTAACAATGTAAAAGTTATTTGTGAACCAAGTAAAGTAGGTGTATCTTTCCAATACGTTTTAGCAAGAAATTTGTATCAAAAAGATGTCTTCTTGGCTCCTCGTGGTTTTGTTCAGCTTTTACTATAGCGGCCTCTACCGCCCATGCCCATCTCAGGTGAAAATTTTAGTCCGCAACCAGTCTTGGGCTGTGACCGGGTTTCGTGCCAATGAGTCTGGAAAACTTGTCAGTAACGAGGCACGAGTTGTCGTATCAAAAGCTTTTGTTATCAATGCTGCCGCCATTGGTTGTCATTGCGTCCACGCACATCATTATTACTAACAAACTTGATGATAAAGCACACGTAAAAAATGGTACACGCCACAAGCCATTTTACTTTGGTTTTTTTGACACTTAAGTTACAAACTGAACACTCTGAGAGCCATTCGACCGATTGACCATCAATTAAGGTCAAAAGTTCTTCCACATTTGCATCATCAGCCTCTCATCTCATTCAGATTTCTCTTACGTCAACCCCTATCTACTCACCCACTGTTGTCCTTACTGTCCACAGCCATTTTGCTTGTCGTCATGTTATTCTGTTCTATGTTATATTGCCTCTTTACTTTCTTGATTCGTATTTCTTCTTTGTGCATTTGAGGTAAAGTAAAGACATACAAATATTTAAAAGAATACAATTTAATATATGCGCACTCCGTTAAAATTTTTCCACAGCCTCTCTTATGCTTTAGAAATCCTCTCTCTGTTATAATAACACATTACAAGGTAAATGAAATACCATAAACTACAAGATAGATTGTTTTGAATGATTTTCTTTCTATATTGTATATATAGAGACTACATGTAGCAACTGCAGAAATATTACTTTTTACTTTGATTTCTTCCAGTAGTCTAAAATCTGAAGACGGCGAAGTGTCCAACGTAATGGAAATATTTTGCAACAGGTCCACAGTCTCTTAATAAAATGACAGTTTGCAGTTTCAATGATGAGTTTAAGATCTTTTATTATGGTAAGAATGTAACTAACTGTACAACGATTGAACTGAGTTCTTGAATTCCAGAGTCCTGAAAACAGGAAAGTATATCAAAGTCAATCATAACTTGTGAATTACTGTCTTACAATTTGGAAATTTCAATAAAATAGTTTCAATGAAGATATGTCAAGACCTTTAAACAATAGGAGTTGCAACCTGAAAACAGAAAAGTGCACCAATGTGAAGAATAAATCGTTATTTACAGTCCTGCAACACTTCAGTCACTCATTTTTAATTAACAAGTAAGGAGTTTACTTTTCACGAAAGAGAAGAAAAAGACATTGTGCCCTTTTATGTTATAAGACCGTGGCATTCATAAGAGGCCACGAATGGAAATAACCGTAACTTTACAGTTAGTAGCCCTTTCAAATGGAAAAAACACATTAAGGAACTAACGAATATTGGCAAACCAATGAAAACTGATTTAAACATTATTTCAAAACAAGGTCCAACAAAGAAAGAGCCACAAAAATTTTGATTTTTAGCATCAGAGTTCAAACAGCCCGCTCATTTCGAGATTTCTCGATCGTAGACAGCGGGAGGTAGTTGTCCAGAGGTTTAGAGTCATTGCTGTCGAGGGAATCTTTCTGGCAGCACCGTCCAAGGTTCAGACCCACTGTATGAAGTGAAAGAATAAAGGGACCGTGAAAGTCCGACTTGCAGATTTGAAAGGAAAGGGTGGATGATTGGACCAAGCAAGCCCTTCTTTTTAACGTAACAGCAAAGGTTTTTCGAGTTGAAAGTGGTCAGCTACACTCCGCCAAAATGTTTGATTCAACTTATGTAGGCCTACTGTCTGTAAGTATCTGTTGTCTCGTGGCTTCGGAAAACTGATCTTAGTGTTTTGACGTACGGTTTTTCCTCCAAAGTGAGGAAGAAATTTATTTGAGTCGCACATAAGATGATGGGAATATGTCGCGGGACTTACAACCAGCGTCCTCCCCGTCCTGTACGGTGTCGGGCATGTCACGGCACAGGGTCTCTGGAAGAATTAATGACAGCAACCCGGCCAATACGGACCCACCTCCAAAAACACACAGGGGCAGAGGTTCCCAGTATTTGCCCAGGATAAGGATGATGGGGCAGAGAATGCCGCTGATGCGGGCTGCCATTGAAGACGCACCCAAACCCACACTCCTGTGTAGAACACAGCGTTCAGTGTAAGTGTTGCGGCAATGCAAGTCATCAACAGGTCAACTGTACGAACAGTTTTTGTTTATTTCTGGGTTTCATCGATCGTTAATAGTGTTGTCTGTATAGATCACTTTCATGACCAACTATTTCACAAAAATAAAAATTGCTTAACGTTTGAAACTGCTCTATGGTGTAGATTTATAAGTCAAAATTGTTTGGACTTCTTCGAATTGTGATTTCAATTGAAATGCTCTCATGATGTGGTACCGCAGCATTTCCAGTATTGTTGCTGTTAAAGTATCATGCATTATGAAGATGATTTCTTCTTTATATCTGCTGCCCTCAACGTCTTGCATTAGTCATGCGGCCATTCACACCTTATGACAGTCGGGAACAGTTCACAGCTGTAGATGTAAATGTGGCTGAAGGCAGCAGAAATGGCGAACTTGCCCATCATAGCTACCACGACGCGGCCGACACCAACAGCTGAAAGAAAAGGGTCCGGATTACATGCCGAAAAAACGCGAGGAAACCTAGCTGGATCCGGTATCGATTCAAGCGCTGGACAGACCAAGTGCACATCTCTTTACGGCCACCGAAAGGAGACTCATTATGTTTATTGTACTTTTCTCTGAAGTAGAGACAGTCAAAATGAACTCACGAACGAATATGGTTATGAGACATAAGACTCCACCAGACACGAAGAGGCTGGCCAAGGAGAACCGCCTGCCACATTTGTCCATGAAAAACCAGCAGAAGAGGTAGCTGGGAATCTCCAGTGCCGCCGACACGAAGGCGGCCACGTAATCGTCGATTCCCAGCGAGGAGGTGCTGAGAGACAATCCGTAGTAAGCCATGTTGGCTACAAACCTGTCAGGGTAGAATAGATAGTCAGTGATAGATCTATAGGCTCTTTAGCATCCTGGTGAAAGGGCTTATTCAGCAGCGTTTGAATTTGGTTGTCATGATACCAATTTCCATAATCGTGAGAAAAACGATGACGTCATATCTTTGGAAGAGGCATCAGTGAAACCACTTCTGCACGAAAAATACCTGAATTTGTATTATTATTTAGTCAGTGTTAAATTCACCATTGCTTGTAAATTCTTGATTTGTAACGTGGATGTCAATCAAATAACAAACATATTCCACAAAATAGCCGTTACAATAAATCATATTTTGGGATTAAGAAAATTATGAAATAACATCACATCAACGCCATCAGGTGTCGTTTAACTATCATTGAATGCTGTGCGGGTAGTTTAGATATGATGTTTTGACAATCCGAGGGTCTCACTGTACTCGAGGAGACGCTATTCGTGTTATTCGTCTTGCTTGACTTCTGTGCACTAGGTCTCGAATTTTATCGAAGCGACAGTTGTGTCGGTCTTTTGCTGCAAAGAGAGTTGCGCGACGCGCGCGGAATCGGTGCATCACCGTATCTGTTTAATTGTGCTTGTCGCACTTTTGTTGCTTGAAAGCAGCATCTTTTCAAGTCTTAAAATCCATTTTGGTGGAAAACCTGCATGTGCTTTAAGCTCAGCAGGCATTATGTTAAGAAACTTATACGAAAAAATGAACTCCAAAAACGTCAACCATCAGCGAAAAATTGCAGCACACTCTGATTGCTGCTTCCATCAGATTTTACCATTATCAACTGTATATACAGTGAAAGTAACAGAAGTACATGTGTACCAATGAATATTTTCGTACACAGCAGTCCCTGCATGAGAGTTTTGGAATGCTGGCTGGGCACCATACTGTATGATTTAACGATAACGACATTGGAACACTGTTGTGATAGAATAGTCAGAAGATCTGCAGTGCTGTGATGAGGTCTGAAACCCAAACTGTCTGTCTGAGATGAGCTGGTTCTTAAACAAGAATGCATGTAGCTGTGCTGCTATGCTTAAGTGATGTTGCTCAGAAGGAATTTGGTCGATACTTTCATGGATCAGACTTTGAGTTCCTCTTGTAGATGACATTAGCCGTCTTCCATTGACGGGGGAAAACGCCTGGATAGAAGCAGAGCTCAAAGTAGCCGCAGGGATGTCTAGCTAACTCAGAACTACAAAGTACCAGTACTCTAGTTGGCATCTCATTGGGGCCATGTGATCGTTCTGGGCCAATGGAAATACAGTATCTACGTCAGAGGTATAACATAGCGTTAATTGCCATCTTTGGTAAAAGAGTAATCAAAGCATTGTGAAATGAAAGCAAATACATCTCTTTAATTTCAAACAATTAAAATGGATGACAGTTAAAAACCAATTTGCGTAAAATGCTCCCTATTTTTGCATTTCACTCTAGAAATATAAAATGGTCTAAAACCAGTGGTTAGTCTCCTGATTTTCGGGCAGTTTTACACAGCAGCGAATAGAGTCATCCATTTAAATCAATATACAGTTAGTAGGCCTAACGGTATCCCATTAGGTTTGCTTACCCACCAGGCAAAGAAGATAATAAAAGTTTTCTTGCGGATGTTTGGAGTTCGGAAAAGATCGAGCAGAGTCGTTCGGTGAAAAGATTTCGGCTTGTGATCCTAAAAATGGACAAAAAATGAAACAAGTCAGAATTTATCATAGTTCGAGTAAATATTTTCAAGAGGTTTTCAAAGCTGCTTGCCTGTGGCTCTACTGAAATGCCTACCCACCTTTTCATTGTCCTGGAAGTTTTCCAGATTCTCAAGCAGGCTCACCGGGACCTCGGTGCCGTTCACTTTGGCGATCTTGGCAATGATCTGCCGAGCCTCCGTGAAGCGGCCCTTAGATATCAGCCAGCGTGGAGACTCCGGAAAAACTCTGTTCAAAAAGGTAGCCGAGACACATTTCTGGACTTTCAAGCACTGAGTGCTACATGACATTGTGCTGATTCTCTTTTGCATGATACCATCTATCGGCAAGGTCTCTTTGAGTTCAAATTACACTGTATATGTGGTAAACAGAAAACATGTCAGGTCTAAAAGCTGGTCTTTTTTCTTCGGGAAAGGTTGAAAAAAATAGTCAATATTAACAACAATAAATGACAAGGATATCATGTCTTCCTTCCTATTGAGTGGGAGTTGAGGCCTAATTTAGCCCAAGTTCAAATGGATGCACAAACATGATTGACAAACAATTATTGATGTGAATATTTACACTGTACATCAACGAGAAGTAAGATGATGAGGATCTGGGGAAGTGTGAGAAGCGTTTTATATATATATATATATCGGTAACAAGATATCCTTACTGTGACCACGTATGGCTCGTTGCCAACAAAAATGAACAAGCGTAACCGTGTATCTTCTGTATATTTACAGTAGAAGTAGAAAAGCGACGACGTATGGAAGCGATATTGCCAACTGAAGATGACGCCACTCCCGTATGAAGTACGCAAAGAAGGACAAAAATATGTAGCCGAGAGCAAACATAATCGCCGCTACCGTCCCGACCAGTACACGCTTGCTTGCTCCAACGATCTCTAACGCTGTGAAAAACCAAGAAAGGCAAAAATAAGCGAAAAGAAGACAAGTTTTCTTCACACAAGCTATATATAGTGGTCTGATTAGATGTCGGTATGTGTATTTTCTCTCCGGGGGTTGCGACCTCCACAGTAAAAGTCCTACTTAGCTGATAAATGACATTTACCACGGTTGACCATTATCGTCGCACAGCGCACGCGGTATTTAGATACGGAGGAGACACACAAACATTTCGAGCGTTGCCGATAAACGAGCACCATCTTTGTCTCTTTGTCAGCAAAGCTAGATCAATTGAGCAGGTAAATGCTGGAGCTTCGCTTTTTGTTTTTCTGAGCTGTATGAAGCTATGTCTAGCTAGTGTCAAGCTTTCCCGCAAAATTGAAAACTCCAAGATAAATACGCTTGAGCTTTTAGATAAAGGCCAACTTTTGCGTACGTTTGCGTAGAAAATAGAGCTAGCAGTTGTTCTGAAAGGCAGTTTAGGACGCGGCCATGTCAGAAGCGGGCTTGTCCGAAACCGGCTTTCAGAGCTACGGCTACGTCTATATTGTCTGCGTTTCTCCGCGTATCTCAGTGGAGGGAAGACCTAGACCGAGCTCTAGACAACAGTCTTGCGAGTATAACCGTGATTTTGAAAAGTATGAGTGAACAATGGGCAAAACGATATAGATGACAGCGCACGTAGATTGCCTATATTTGTACATGTACATGCACTCTCAAAACACCTTCACTTTTTGGCTCTTTGGTATATCTCTTTTTTCTCAAATGTTGCACCAGTTCTTTTTCGAAATCTATATGGGCCAGACCCTTGCATATCACCTCAGGCATAGGACTCAATACTACAAAATACTACGTTGTAGTCTGAGCCAGAAGGACCCAGCACTACTTCTGGCTATTACACTCTTACAGCGAACAACAAGGTCATATATTCATGGTGCCAGAGGACTGTGTAGTACATTGTCTTAATAATAGTATTTTATGGCTTCAGAGAACAATAAGGTCATGTACTTAAAAAAGCCACATATATGCTACATTTTACTACTAAGTAGTATAGTTGTTTATAGTTGTCATTGAGGTTAGGGTTAAGTAAATCGAGGAACTCGTTTACAATCGAAAAATTGCTTTAATTGTAGAATTGTATGGCTGGAATTCTTCACTTCTGCGTAAATTCCCCATCTACCTCGAGCAGAAGCACTCCCTCATCGGTTGAAAAGAGCCGCGTTGGTCGGGAGTGTTTATTTTTTGTCGGTAAGGATGCGACTGCAACGCCTGCGTTTCCTAGTTGTTTTTCAGTGAACCAGCGATGCGCAGTTAGCACCAAAGGGTGCAGACCACTAATTCAAGTGAGAATTTTGACCAGCTCATAAGCATTAAAAGTGCCCCCTCAGTATCTTTTGAAAAAGGAGATTGTTTGACCCCCAAAGGGGTGAGATTGTGTAAATTGTTGCCAGGATCAACTCCCTGGGTCTTTGAGCTTTCATTTGAGAGCAGAAGGGCTAAAAACTACGGTTGAAAAATGGTCCTGAGTGCCCGAGAAAGTTAAGGGTTGCCACTTGAAAAATGGCTGCAATCAGACTGGACCCCAAAGGAACCTCCGTTGCAAAGGAAATAGCGCCCTCTCTTGGTCCAGCTCGAGGCCCATACCGAGGGGCGAATTTGCACAAAGTTCTGGGTCCAGTCCACTAATTCAAGCCCCATTGAAAACAGTGTAAAATCAGCACACGTTCATGGCCCAATAGCATGCACGCCAACATNCCACAAAACAAAATCACCCCCAAAAAGTGATTTTTCCGAAGTCTGATTGCCACCATTTCTTTCTCATTTCGTTATAACATTGTAGCAGACAATCAATAATTTGTTTCGAACGTTTCCATTTTTTTCGTAAGTCCCTGATGATTTTGAAGCGCCCCGGCACAGTGCTTATGCACACTGGATAAACTTGTTCTGCCTGTCAGATCAGGCAATGTTGGATCTCATAGGTGATGGAAGAAAGAAACCCGATATTGCCGAACGATCACAGCAAATTGTGAAAGACATCAGAGAAAATTATGAACATCTGACTTTCATAGTTATATATATTTCTGTCTAGTACCAGGGTAGTGGAAACACTAGCTGGAGCGTTATTTCCGAGGCTATACAAACAGGGTGCTAATGGGTACCAATCGAACACAGATAAGAACAGTACTGTTTATACAAGGTCGTATAACAAAATAATTGTAGGTTCCAATGCTTAGTTTTTCTTTTGTTTTCTATTACTGATAATACAAGGCAACTATTAAAGGAAGTTAGTAATTTATGAAGTACCAAGGACCTTGTTCTTCTGTGCTATATTAAATGCCTTCGGTTTGTAAAAACTAGGCATAAATGTACCCAGAAATATAGTCCTGAACTTTACAGTTATCTAGATATATTTGTATCTGTTTGATTCCGTACAAACACCCGGTATGGCTACTTTGCACGGTTAATACAACACCTATAGGTCTACAATATCTTTTTTTACAAAAATAATAATCAGTTCGTGTAGGCCTATATAGCATCGTATTGGGTGTTATTTCACGCTTTATCTGATTCGGTAGGAGTTTGCACACGTGACCTACTTCACTTACATATGACAAACGTCATGAAGGCGGCTCCACACGCACAAGCGGCAGTGAAGAATCGCAGGGTGGTGAAAGCAGCGAAGCTTGGAACAAAAGCGGTCACAATGGACGAGATAGAAACCAGTGTCAGGCTAAGGAAAAATGTCTTTCTTCTTCCGAGCCTGTAACAAATGAGGGACACCCCGTTCAAGTTCACTTCACTTCTCAAAGCTATATTAGGGACACGTTGAAAAAGTACCTCCTCGCTCAGCTAACTCGGGCGGCATATTTGTCGATGTGCGCGACCTAGGCCTAAATCTCTTTGCGCACGACTATGAATCCTAATAACTCATACATACGACTTGCAGGTCGTACGGTCGAATTAGAAATTATAAGTTGTATACGGACTTGTAAATACGAGGTATGTTGTACTTTCGAGCTCGGGCTTGAAATCGTTGGTATATTTCCTATATAATATTTCCTATATAATATACATGGTAGTTTCTGTGGATACGTGTGTGCTTTCCCTGTGGGCACGTGTGAATAGAGTGTAACTATTCACTTAACTGTGCATTGATCACATGGTGAAGAATCTCCCCCTTTTTAGTGTTGTCATTGAAAAGGGATAACTGGGTACTGGGGAAAAGGAAAGGATAGACATACAGTTGCCTGCAAGTGCAATACAGACAGGAAAAAGTCCCTTTTAAGTACCCAAATACCTACCAGTCGCCCACCGATCCCCACACCAGGGAACCCGTCAAAAGACCAGCAAACCAGACGGACTGCGCGATGCCAGCGAAGTCCTCCCGGTCGCACACCAGGTTGAACTGTTGAAGTGAAATACAATAATACAAATCAACCCCCAAACGGAAACACAGAGCACAGGGACCGATGAGGCTACACCTTATAAGTATTCGCGTCTGTGCGGGCAAAAATTGGCCAATAAACGGGTTTAAGTTTGTTGCTGACACCATGCACTCTCGGCGAAGTCGGTTGCTTATATAGCCCCGGAAAGATTATTAGAGTATCAAGTTTATAGTGGGTTATAAAAAAAATGAAATTCCCCATGGAATCCAATGGATGTGCCATGGTATTTTTTTAAATGGAAGGGATCTACTAGGAAATGCTTTGCGAGCTTTCAAAGTCACTAGCAAACAACAAAAATAGTACAGTTTGCTAAACTAACTTCTCTTAATTTTCCAGTGTTACGATAGAACAGTTATCCTATGATGTCATTTGGATGCCAGGAAATGCAATTTTAGAAATAATTATTCATACCCAGTGTAAATTATCTTTGCCAAAAAATCAAAGTTTTGCACACTGAATGTTTGCTCCACGGGTCGGAACAGCTGCTGATGGGCTGACGACTACCCCGGTGTCAACTGTTCAAAATCTGTGGAGAATTTGTTAGCAAAGAAGGCACGTGTACGTTCTTTTCTAAACCAGAAACCCACTTGTAGAACAATTAAAGTTCTCCACACATTTTCCCGCAAACAGTAGGACCCACGATACGGGGATCTGGGCACAGTGTCTGTGTCCATTTGTGAGACAAACGAATGGCACTGTAATCGGCATCGACGAACACTGGATAGTCTGCCGAAACAACATGGAAAGGTATATAAATGGGAGAGAAAATCTTAATATGTCACCCCTTCACCGTGACAAACTTCAAAGCTCGTCTAGCTCTAACGTGTTATCAGGCCTATTACCTCTTCATTGATGGTTGATTTGTAGCGCGATCTGTCAAAATCCCAGCCAGCATCACAGGCGATAACGTCCGTTGCGTTTTCACTTATGTCTTCCTCAATCGAGTACCGCTCACACGAGGAGTAGACACGGTTCCCATCGGCGTCCAGCTCGTAAGGGATGCTCTCGTTTTTCTGTGCTTCCTGACAGGTGGACACCGAGTCGAGCTGGAGTCGGCTGCAATTGACGGCCTGGCTGGCTGGGACCATGCACCAGTGATCGGTGCTGGCAGCCAGAAACACTTGGGCTAGGAAATGGCATGCCGTTGGGATTTCTATCATAGACACGAGAACGATAACCAACTTTTGGTACTTGCCAAAATGGCCTACCCGGTGTAAAATGTCTTCGTAATGCATCGTTAAGGGTTTGTTCGTCGACTGACCACATACAAGTGGTGTTATTGCTAAAATGCAGTCACGGTTTATTGTGACTTTGCTCACACTGCTTATTGTGATATGTGTGAAGGTCTTTTTTTTCGCAGGCCAGGCGCCGCAGACCGTTGAAGCAAGTTTTCGGCTCCTCCCCCACTGCCTTTACAGCTAGCGCGCTAAGATGGAAGAGCAAATCCTTGTACATGGAACATAATACGGGTCAAAATTTCCACAAGTACATGTACATGATGACACGTGAGCGCACTTCCAGAAGCATTGAAAGCCATGCGTTGATGATGAGGACAGCAAGTATTAATCCCAGACAAGCGTATGCCTTGCGAGTCGGCTTGTACATGTATTATACAATGTACATGTACAGTACATGCGTTTGATTAGCTTCCTAAAGTTACCGGGTTTAACCTCGTCCCCAACATCTCGTTTGCTTGACGTAGCATACACGACCATCTCTAATTCAGAGCTGCCATGTGTAAGCTAATCGAACGCACCTTAGCTGAGAAATATTTTCGTCACAGTGAAAGATTCGGTGAAAGACGTTTTCCCTTCCTAGTGCCCTGTAAGAGCGGTATAGGTAATGAGCAAAATGACGTGACGCTTGGGCAAGTTTGAATTATTGTATCATGCACCGCTGGCCAATTCTTTATGGTAACCTGATACAAAAGTACCAGGTAAATCGACCAGTGGTTCACAAATTTAAAGGTATCTTATCTCAAACTTACCCTCAATTTATCGACAGACTGTCATGTCAGCCACTAACAGTGAAAGTTCAATAAACGATATTGTATGATGAAATGTCTGTGAATTAAATCGCGATGGTTAAAATTGAGCCACAAGTCTTTGATGATGTATTACTATACAGCAACACCTGTTTTATAAGAATGCACTTCCTTGCATATAAAGTCTACGAATATCTACGAGAAGTATTGCGTTATATCTTTATGAGAAGTGTCAACTGTACACCGTATACTTGTGTGCTCTAGCAACGAAGCGATTTTTTTGGGGGGGGATACTTAACACCCGATTTTTCATTTGGGGTGTAATTTGTAAAAAACTCTGCAACTGAACGACGCTGTATAGGTTTTCCCGACCGATTTGATATTTTTTTGCAGAATATCTCGTGGTTTCGGACAGCCTGCTGGAACGTATTAAACAGCGTTTTTATCGTATGTTTTCCATTGTCTCATTGTCCGATAAGTGATATCGTATAATGATAAATGTCTGTGAACATGCAGATGGTTGGAGCCGCTAACCTAGCTCTGATAACCTATTACTAAATAACATATCTCGTTTTTGCATTTTCCTGCATAATCATGCCTTAAGTATTTATTTACGGAGAGTATTGTGAGCGACAAATATTATTTTGTGACAGATATATACGGCATCGCTTACTTGTGTGCACTTTAAACGAAGCGATTTTTTCTTTTCATTTGTTTTATTTCTGTTGAAAGGGGTAAATGTAACCCGATTTTAATGTTCTCCGGCTGAAGATGATAACAATGGCGTAGCAAGGGTGAACATTTCTGAAAAGCACGCAGGGATGCAAATTTTTTTTCAAGTGGGCACTGGAAGCAAAATGTAATTGCGACATGTATATACTCCTTACGATGTTTCCTCATCCAATAAACCCTCCCCTCTCAAACTCCAAGGGTTGAATTTCAATTCGCCATGCATGATGTTGAAAACGTAAAACGGTTTATTCTTTGTACATTTTTCTTGAATTAATAAATTAATAGAGGAACGTTGTATCTCTGACATTTTGTGTGAAAAAGCTGCCTGTTTTCATTATGACGAAAACAAAATGGCCTGCATAAAGATCAGAGCTGTTTTGCAACCCATGGTCACATCAGCCATAATAATCTTCTTACTTGTAAATAGCAAGTGACCAAATTACGATTTACATGATGTCAACATTTGTGATCTTTAGGATTCGTTTAGTAGAATGGTTGAAGCCAGGAGCCATACTTAAAAATTAGATAAAGTCAGCCCTAAATGGCTCTATTGTAAGTACAAGGGACTATACACATGAATTTTCATAATAGGGATCTGCCTTATCATGACTATTTTAGGTTATAAAATTGGAATGGAAATGTCTCACAAAGTCATTTCCTACCCCACCAGAATATTCAAAGAAAAAAAGGAAGGATAATTAGGACCATTGCTTCCATTTGACGCGTGTGGAAGATTTTACAATATAGTCTATGGAAGCGAACTGATCACTTTCACCCTCAGGTTGCAGGCCAGCCAGTAAGGCCTGAAATTGCCTGCGCGGGCCGAATCACGATGTGTAGCTATGAAAAACTCCATATTGGAGTATAGATGTCGTGGAACTTGGACTCGATGGTTTGCAAACAAAGAGGATGGAATATAAGAGCAGGAATCTAGGAGCAGGACTGCCAGCTTGTATGTCTTAAAGTGTCAGGCAAAACGACCCCCTTCCATTGCTCTATTGGGCATTGGAGTGTAGGTATCAATGTTAAATTTGGCCATGGGCAGGCCTCCGGACTGCTTTAGAAGGAAAGGAAACTGGAGGATGAGGAAGTGTGCTTTATTTTGATATGTGTCTTGAACACCTGATGAACTTGTGAGTATTTTTCCTGAATTTTTGAAGTGGGGGTTATTTGTCAGTTGTCTGCATGTATGGCAGCTTATTCATAGAGCGTGCAGCCCTCGCGAAAAGTTTTATGGTAATTAGGTAGGCCTAGGTCAAAGGTGGCGCTCCATCTACAAAATGGTGAACGATCGCCGCTGCATGCCGTACTTGCAGTGTGCGGTGCTGCGTCAACAACGTGCATTGTCGTTCTCGCTTTGGGTGAAGGAGTAGCCTATCGTTATACATAACATGTCCTTCCTTCATGTACACAAGATGTGAAACAAACCACTGTTGACACTTGACTCGGAACCATGTCATGTTTCCGACACACTGAAAACTGCCTAGTTCAGCGGTACAGCACGTGTAGGCCTAGGGCGGCGCGGCCTGCTCTGTCTGTACGTACACATACGCCGTAAGCTCAGTCAATGTCAGCCTGGTCGATCGTCAGTGTCCAGCGCAGGCAGGAACATGTTCCTTCCTCCATGGCAGGAATGACACATGACATCCATGTTATGAATGACGATGACGTAGAATGAACATGATGAATGAATCAGTGGCCCCGATAAATGACGATCAAAGAACAATGGATGCCCAACTTGATTTCTTACCAAGAAATCTCAGGGACAGTTTGCTGCATTTTCAAAAAGAAGGAATATTGTACGCTCTACAGAGGAAAGGAAGGTCGGTGGTAGGCTATGTACTTCTGCATTTAGACCCACCATGCCCACGCTAAACTTGGGCATGAGAAGTTAGGCCTAAATGTTAGAAGTGGACTTAATCTGTCCATGAAGAAATAGTCCATTAGATAGAACAGTTATTTATGGGGTTGGTTGTCACCCAATGCTTCCAAAAGCTTCATGGGAGTTCTATGAAGATTTTAGGGAGCAGGGCGTGACATGTGACCAACCCCATAGTTTCACTTTTAGCACCCTTTTTCTATAAATAAGGAAACAAAGTCTACTTTTTGGCGATGATGTTCTTTTTCGTATCAGAGACATTGTGTTTGTGAAAAAAGGATATGGCTTTGATTTTTGAGGGAAATTAGGCCTGTGGGGTAAAACGGCAATGTACAGTACATGTACTTTAGGCCTACATGTAGGCCTATTCGTGATGAAGACTTGTGAACCAGTAATAATAATAGTAAAAATTAACATCTCCCCAATGCAAAGTACTTCTTGAAAATAAGTACCCACTGCTACACCTGACTCGGACCGGCCAGCCGACCCCGGCATGCTCGTTGGTCGAGTGGTTAAGACATCTGCACTAGTAAGCATGAGGTCGTGGTTTCGAGTCCCACCCGAGTAAGCTTGTGAATTGTTTTGCAAACTCTTGGACAAGCACTCAGTAGACAGTGTTTTTAATTATATACGTTGGGTAAGGGTGAAACCTGTAATATAAATTCTTAGCTTTTCTTTTGTTGTCGCAGATGCCTTTTTGGAGATGAAGTGAGTATAGAATTCCTTTCAGGTAATGTCTCTACCATTCATGAGACAAAAGATAAGTTGATTGATTTCATTTTGAAGGTAAACAATGTTGTGGTAAGCTATGAACAGTTTCTCAAACCAACCATCCTTTGAACTTCAACATCAATTTTGAGGTCTTAGAAGGGAACACCCTAGCTACTCTTGCCTCTTGAATCTGGAAGCCCCGCGAAGCAGTAAATTGAAGCTCAAGAGTGCAGAATGGCAGAATGTGGAGGATTCATCAAGAGGATGAATTCCCTACAAAAAGACCTCCTAGAATGGCCCAAAGACAAGTGTACATGGACCGTTCTACCAAAATGTCACCTTTTGTCCTGTGTGTAACACCATGGTTGCCCGTTACAAGCCATGGTTGCCCATTACAAGCCACGGTTGCCCATTACAAGCCACGGTTGCCTATCTGGCTGGAGTTTATGGGCAGTTTCCATAGTAAGAAACAACTGAGGATAATGTCTGTTCTCCCTGGATGAAAGTTACTCCTCAGGTATTGCTGATATGCATTTATACTTCAGAGTGGAGAGAGAGAAGCTAGTATGGTAGGGGTGAAGTGGCTTGATCCATAACCGCTGACCAACAGTTGGATTCAAGTCGCTGACCGTATCAGGAGTCATAAACGCTAAGTAGTTGGCCGCTGTCTTCCACTTCTTCTTTAATGAAATAATCGCAATGACTAGTAGCATACTAATATAACCTCTGTGTTGGATTTCTTTTAAGATGGGCCTTGGAAAAACAATTCAAGCTATCAGCGTGGCCTACTACTACAAGGCGGAGTGGCCCTTGCTCATTGTGGTGCCATCCTCCATGCGTTATCCATGGATTGAGGAGTTGGAGCGCTGGTTACCAGACCTCCAGCCCAGAGATATGAACTTGATCATGAGTGGGAGTGATGTTAGGTAAAAGTTGGACACTAAGTTTTTTTTTCTAAACTAAATTTGTATCATAATTTTCTTCATTTACTCTGCAAATACATGTATCAACCACTTGAAAATAGGGCCAGTTTTGTTTAATAAGGATGAACAAATGTCGAAACCTTTTTTTTCAGTCGTTTTTGCTCTCTTTGTTGGTATTGATTGGTATGATATAGTTATCCCCTGTTGAATGCAGTAGGAACTAATGGCAAGAGTTTAGGTGACTCAAACCCAGCAAAATGAGTCTGAAGTCCCTGAGCCACTTTTGAATTACAGTTCCTTAAACAAATCAATAGAAGCTGTCACTTGTTTAACCACAGGATATATCCCGTTCATTGCAACATTAATAGGAGGAGCAGAATATATTTCACTGAAATTCATGTTGAATAATAATTAATTATAAAAGTGCTTTTTGGGCTCTTTTTGGTGGGATTCTGTCACATGCAGCAATTTGTCCCCTTCCCCACCAACAAAATCCAACAAACCTAGCCCACCTTCTCTGGAAATCTGATTAGAAGACAATGATGCTCCCCCAGGTGGGTACCACATGGGGGGGGGACAATTTCCTTTGCTAGAAAAGTTTAGACTTAGTTGTGGGGACCAAGATTTATCACCAGTCAGGTCTCTGGTCTCCAACAGATCTGTGTTTCAACATGTTTGCTTGTAGCCTTCAACATTATGCATGCACTGTTGAATTTATTGGAACTTTTTTTGACAGGAACATAGCCAGATGCAAGGTTTCCTTGGTCGGGTATGGATTGTTACGCAACGACAGCAAGACCCTGGTGCAAGCACTGACTGACCAGGCTTTCCGCGTGGTGATCGTGGACGAATCCCATTACATGAAGAACAGGAAGGCAGCCCGCACCAAGGTGTTGGTACCCCTCTTGCAGGCAGCCAAGAGGGTCATGCTGCTGACTGGTACCCCAGCTCTAGCCAGACCGGCAGAGGTAGGCTGTGAGGCATCACGGTTCGGGACTTGGTTAACATCCAACGAGTGATGGATGTGACCCCGGTGATGATTGGGTTCACATCCAACTAGTGACAGATGTGACCCTAGTGATGATTTGAACCCAGTCTATGCTGGACTGGGTTCACATCCAACTAGTGAGTTACCTGGCTTGACTGTTACACCTCAAAACAAGGTCTTGGTATTGTCTGCTCTAGATCTCCTTCGGTATCCGATAAGGTGAAGGCTGTAGTGCCTGCAATATTGGTAATTACATGTAGTTTGATGCATTGAAACTTTGGTTTGTGTAAACAAATGACACTGATTTCGTATAATAATCGGATGACAAGCTGTAAACTTATTTGAAATTTGGAATATTCATTTCTAAGATTGCCATATCTTTATTACACATCTTTATTGCAAAAATGGTTCCAATCTGTCTCAAAAGCTTCTGTTAAGAGCTTTTCCTCATAAACCTGTTTGTTTTCAGCTAAAGTGGAACCTTTTTGTCCTTATGGTTTTCGAGGGCAGCAAAATACAATTGCCGAAGTTGCCAGTCTTTATACTGGAGAGTTTTATTCATTTCAAAGCCAGTCAGTAATTGGATGAATTGTGTTTCTTTTTTATTTCATTTCTAGCTGTTTACACAGATTGATAGCGTGCAGAAGGGGCTTATGGGTAGCTTCTCGCAGTTTGCCAAGCGATACTGCAACGCTCACTGGAGGCAGCTGGGCAGGCAAAGAATGTGGGATACATCGTAAGTTGCTCGTCTCACGTCAGCAAGGAAACGTAAAAGCCTGATGCTGAAATTTGCTTACAAATTGTAGGAAGCCTCCCTCTTGCCATTTGGCCTCTGTTTACAAAATAGTAACACCCCCATGGTGATGCTTACCGAAGCCAGGCAGTATAAAGCTTTCCTCACAGTTTGTCGCCAAATGTCTCTGTGAATGAAAGGCCAAAAGGTTTCATTCCAATTAACATTCACACACCCCTTCCCTATCTTCTGCCCAGAAGTATAAAGCCATGTCTAAAGCAGGCATGGTTGTCTGTAGCTATCCATTCGCCATGGCGTGGCAACGGCAAAATGCCAGCACTGAGCCACCAAGTCCCCACTTCAGATTCAGGCTCATTTGATGCCTTATGACAGACATGAGTGAGGACACCATGTGTGCCATAGCCCTCTCACTGCTGAGCCAATTTTGTTGTTCAGCAATTGCATATTTGCACTGCTTTAGAGCATTTTATGTCTGTTATTTTGCTTTGAGGTCATTTGTGAGGATGTGTTCTTTTAGCGCTAGGCAAGCACAGCATCATCCGAGAAAATAATAAAGCAATAAATTGACTGACATAAAGAAAACAGAGGAACTCCTGGACCTGGGTGTTGAATGCAGAACATGAACTACATGTAAACTGTTTCATCTGTCAGTGGTTGATCAGTGTATTGTATGCTGCCTCAGAGCTTGTACTAACAGAATAAATACGTGCTTGGTCGGGTTTTGGTGAGAGACATCATGAGCGTCTATTTCTTAGAGCCAGGATTAATCGAACATTAAAGACTGGCCAAGCACATATTTATTCCCATTCTTAAATATCTTTTGTGTCAGAAAGTCAAAACAAGTTCAAATGTCGTATATTTCCAACAGTTTGGTTCAACAGTGCTGTTTCGTTTTCTTCAAACAACCCTGTATCCATGTCAGGGTATGCCCCTCTCACAGTTGTTATCTCCTTATGTGGAGATTGGGGCACATGTGACTGTCTGAGGTGGCGCACAGCCTGCTGGTGCTTTATCCACTGTTTAAGACCGGCCATGTGACAGGCTCTGACCAATAGGAATTGCTAAGCTCTCCATGTCTGTTGTTGATTTGCTTTAGAGGTGCTTCAAATCTGGACGAGTTACACAAACAGTTGGTGAAATCAGTCATGATACGCAGAGAGAAAAAACAGGTCAGTTCACTGAGTAATGAGCCACACAGGTGTTTGAGAACCATGAGACAAACTGTTTACTTTTCTCATTCCTTTTAGGTTCCATCCTGCTTGTTTAATAATTCATGTATGTGCATAAATCACAGGATAAATGTTTGTGGGTTTTTTGGTCAATTTATAAAGGTATTGACTCAGCTTCCACCCAAAAGAAGACAGAAGGTTCCATTTGAGTTAGCAGACTCTGACGAGAAAAAGGTGAGTGGAACACTTGTAGAATTTCGTTCCAAATCTGACTGTCAGCTGCTTGTCTGAAAGACTGGACTTTCAACTTTTTTAAAGGAGAAACTGAGGATGAAATCCCATCCAAAGCTGTGAGCAGTTGTACAACTGAATTGACAAGAGGCTAAACATGGCTTCATTGTTGATCATGGCTTCATTTGTTGTTATTATTATCAATGGCCTATTATTTCTACCCAAGTTGTTATTATTTGAAATGCTTTGATCAGGAACTTGAAAAATGCTGGACTGAACTGGACAAAATCATCAATCCTGCATCAGATCCTATGGAAGAAATTCACAACACAGGCTTTGAAGTCAAGAAACTAGCCACACAGATGTACACCCTCACAGGGAAAGCTAAGGTGAAGTCCCTTTAGTCGGCTGTTGATTAGGAAGCATTTGGAAAGCTTGTAGCTCCTGGTTCTTTTCAGGATGGTTTGTTCAAAACCTGTTAGGTTCTAGAAGCAAAAAATGTACTGTTGTCAGCTGGACCGTGCTGTTCCCAATATCGCATGTTCCTGGTGCTTTCCAGAGTCATTTTCTGCGAGTAGTCTGGGCCTTTCTCAAAAATTCTACGTGCTTGACCTTGGAACACCTGTCCTGTTTCACTTTCTAAACAAGCTGCTTCAATTGGGAGCAGCTTTGTATTGCGTAATGGTCCCCGGCAGGAATGTCAGTACTCACAGTCACTAAATTAGGGCTGTTTTCCAATACTCAACTTCGTCTCCGTCTCAGGCTTCGTATAGGAAACCAATCCTCGATTGTGGGCCTGAAGCGTTTAACTGAAATTGAAGTACTGTAACGTTTGACTCTTTTGCATCTTACTTGATGTTTTGTGGCACTATCAGACTTACTATTGCACTTACAACCTCAAAGTCAGGAAGTGAAAAACAGTTGAAGCCTGAGACGGAGCCCAAGTCGAGTATTGGAAAACGGCCTATAGGAGTAACAAGCCATATTTGCACAAAAATACACCTAATCTTAATTGAGCTATGTGAAAGGAAAAGAAGACAGCAGATATTGAGACTTTTCGTTCACATGACATTTGGAACTACTTATTGACGAGATAGTAGTAATCATTACTATATTGCTCTATCAACCTCTGTAGCGGGTTCTAAGTTGGGTTCTCATTGTATGCATGGCGCTATGACAGATGTCCTGTCAATATTTATACTTTTAATACTCATTTCAATATCTTTTCAAAGCCAGTTCTAAATTTAGATTAACCAATGGTCCTCTTCTCCAAGCCAGAACTTTCTAAATTTAGATTAATTTCAAGGTGCTACTGAAGACCTCATATTGATTTCTTCTCCCAACCTTGTGCAGATAGGAGCTGTATGTGAGTATGTGAAGATGCTTCTAGAGAACCAGGGCCTGAAGTTCCTGGTTTTTGCTCATCACAAGGAGGTCTTGACAGCCTTGGCCCAGACGGTAGCAGCGTATGCCAAGGAGCACAAGATGCCTCTCAAGTATATCAGGATCGATGGAGATGTACCAAGCAGTGAAAGAATGGTAACATTTATGAAGGGGAAAGTATTTTGTCAGGTCACTCAGCTGACGGAACTTGCTTTAGGTGACTGCTGCCAACTTCAAGGACAAAATTTATGGGTACCTCAATTTTCAAACTTAGAAATAAAAACTGGGAGAAACGACCCTCACATTTACAAGCTTCTCCCATTGTGGTACATGACAATCTTCACCTAGCATCAATATAGCTTTCTGATTTTCCACTTGGATGGTTTGACATGGATGTTTGACCTCCTCTCTGCACTGGTGTGGACTGTTGTCAGTTATTGAACCAGGTGCCCAAAGAGTAGAGGGTGCTGTGGGGCCACTGTACTTGTGTGTATTGCACAAAGTAGGCAGATAAAATTTTCACCTGAATGTGCACAAACTCTCGACATCTTCATAGCACTAGGTGCCCAGTAGTAGTAGCAATGAGGTAACAAGTGTTTCCCATTTAGGTCACAGATTGAAAGGGTTCTCGCATAGAACCCTGGAAGGGTTTTACTGATGAAAGAGACCAAGGATGCGGTCAAGCTTAGCCTCATTTTGCATCTGAAATATCCTGCCTTTTAAGCAACTTGTCCTAGAAGAACTGGAATATTTGTTGTGTTTCACTTCAGCAACTGGTACATCAGTTCCAGAATGACAGTAACACCAGAGTGGCTTTACTGAGTATCTTGGCTGCTGGAACTGTGAGTATAAGTCAGCCTCAAACCAAACCCCTCTCCCTGGGGAAAGTGAAGGTGCACCTTTGCTCGCCCTGGTTCTGTAAAGTCAAGCTCAATGACCCTGACCAGCACACGCACATTTTTTTTTTTTCACTATCAATCACAGAGGACAGGGCACTCTCCCACCAACTAAGCACGGGCACTCGCCACAGAGGACAGAAATGAAAGGAGTGGCCATTAAGGACAGGGAAACTTTATGCTTCCTTTGTGTACCTCTGCTCAGTGTTAAAATAAAATATGTACACAAAACGCATAGACCACAGTGTTTTCCATTTTCCATTGTCAGCATGGCACTCTTGTTTTTTGGGGCATACAATACCGAAAGTAACTGGACCTGAAAAGAACCATTTAAAAAAAAGAATTCAATCATGTTTGTGGGGCCTGTCTGTGTTGTATTGTACATGTAGCATACATACAGTAAATGGCCTCATTTATATTCCTAATCACATGGAATTTTGTGAGATGATCGTTGACTGAGGGGGGCCTGCCTTCCCCTTCTCTGCCTCCACAGGCTCCTGTCTCAGACTTTGGACTAGAAAAAATGAAGACCTCTGTACTTGCTGAAACGGGTACCAAGCCCATTGTGTGCCCCCACCCGGAAAATAATGATTCCTAAGTTTACAGTGTAAATGGGGACCAGGAGGCTGGTTTAAGGTTGCTGATGGTCACTGGACGCTGAAGCCTTTTGGGGCAGTTCATGGTCGTTTGTCTGACGTTTCGGCAAAATATGCATATACGTACTGATTCAATTGTTAGGTGTTACAATGACGTGTGCACTGGCCCAATCAAGAAGAGTAAGGTCAGTGACCATGTCAAACTTCACTCCTTTGAACTTAGTAGCCATGTCAAGTATGCAACCGACCATTGTGTCGTTTGAGATGATGCTTGTGATTGTTGTCCAGGGCTTGACGTTGACTGCAGCCAGCCAAGTTGTGTTTGCCGAGCTGCACTGGACGCCGGGAATCTTAGAGCAATGCGAGGACCGAGCCCACCGCATTGGCCAACAGAATGCCATCCATGTCCACTATCTGGTTGCCAGGGGCACCATCGATGAATGGCTGTGGTCTGCCCTGTCGAGGAAGGTGTGTCGTCATTACTTCTGATTTTGGGAACCATTGGGGTTGGCATCCACATCTTCGTCTCATGTCAGTCTTTGTTTTCGGGTTTTACATGTATGAAGGCCATTAAAGCTCGATACATTTTCTGCCGCAGAAACATCAAATTGTTTCAAGTGAATCAAGGGATTGGAATATTTTCATTTGGTTCCAGCAGTGAATACTTGAAACTGATTGCAGAGCTGAAGTTAACCATGGAAACACAGCTGAGATTCAGAAATTAATTGTCATGACATGTCCATGTCAGACATGCATATTCTATTATATCAGGGTTCCTGCAATAAATGCTCTTTAATAGACTAGCACAGGCATTTACCACTGAGGACAGAATTGAGTAAAAGATTGACCACTAAAATCCCTCTCTATGCTTGCCCTCTGTGGTAAAGTAAAATGTGTACGTATGCGAACATTGGTACATTGTCCTATGGGAGACCTACCTTTGTGGGAAAAATAGCTCTTGGTCACGCGTACAGGTGTGGAGACCATGGAAGATCTCAGTTACTGTTGCAGATTTGTCCATGGCATTGCAGGTGAACGTGTTGAGCAACACCCTGAATGGCCGGGTCCAGCATCTGAGGATGGAGGAGAAGGGCGGGGACGAGGTGGCATTCCTCAAACATGCTGCGGCTTGGCTGCCAAGCAACCGAGACTTGCAAGACGACGAAAGTTTTTACTTCGCCAGCAAGGTCGGTTGTTATGTTTTTATAGTCATCACAGTCATGCTGTGGGACTGGTTCTTGCATTGAAGGCATTGACCTTGGCAATGCAAAAGATTCTACCAGGATCAAACTTACCGTTTGTGCATTTCGAGTCACAAGTCAGTAAGATGTTTGCAGCTTGTTATTTATATGCTGATAATCTGTAATTATCCTCCAATAATCTGTAATTATCCTCCAATAATCTGTAATTATCTGCAGATAATCTGTCATCATGATGCAGATGATTTTGATGATTTAATGACATTTGATTCTTGTCATATTTTCAGCCATTGTACAAGTTCAAAGTGCTTATATTTTTTTCCATTTTTGGAAGAAACAAGAATGGAATGATTTTGGGCTGATTGTGGTAATGTTTGACCAATCTGTTTGATGTTTATGCTGTCAGCTTCTGAAAAATGGAAAGGAAAGCAGTTACGGAGTGGCTCAAGATGTTTGTGAAATCTTTCATTTAATGTTTGCAGAAAACAAGTCATGACATCCGCACATTTTTCACGCCCGGCCATACCGAGAGCACGAAGAAGAGGAAACGTGACCACCTGTCATCGAGCAGACCGGCAGAAACGCCACCGAACCCGCACAGAGTAGAGAGCATCTCCATCGATGAGGATGATGATGACTTCCGAGGGATCAAGAAACACAGGCCATCCAGTGACCTGAGTCCCAAGGAACTGTTTGCTGCAGATGCTCAACTCAGCAATAAGACTTTCTGCATGATGCCAGGCCCTGGGAAATTTGAGAAATCAACCACCGTTGACAAATCCACTGCTACTGGTAAAGATTCAGGCCTTGCACATTTTGTTGACGACCTGCCGGAGATGAGAAGCAATAAGAAACGTCGGGGAAACCAAAGAGGTAAGACTGAACTCGCAGTCGTAGAGTTTGAAAAGAATAGGCTTTCTGACAGCGATACTGAGATGGATGACCAGACCACATCCTCTCGGAACAGCAACCAGTCAAGTAGGGAGCAGTGTATGCCCAGTTCTTTCGAGGACAAGGAAAAGCAGAACACCGTGAAGGAGCTTGACGCAAATGACAGCTGGAGTTGCTGCGCGTGCACCTTTGAGAATCATGCCGATTTGCCTTTCTGTGAAATTTGCAGCACACCCAGGAAGACCACAAGATGTCGATCTTCAAAATCAGCAAGAAGAAATCTCTGCACGGAAAGGGCCAGTGGACAGTGTGGCAGTATAAAAAAAGAAAGAGCATCCCAGTCCAAAAACTATTCACCAACAACTCGTAGACATACTACATTAGATATGTTAAACCAAGAAAGCAGTTCCATAAGACTGACAGACCTGGATAAAAGTGCTGTATGTAACAGTGTAACGAAGTCCCCTAGCTTGGTAGAAAATACTTCACATGCACTGGACGGGGACACTGACAGTGACAACTCTGTGAGCTCTGATTCTGAGGCTACAGTATTTTATGACTTTCATAGAGAGCCCGATTGCATCTCATCTGACACTAGAGGTGAACAGTCATCTAAAAAGGAGAGTACAGTCAAATGTTTCAAACCAAAGGAAGAGGCAGTTGGTGACTGCAATCTTGCGGAAGAATTAAAATCATCCAGCAGTGACACTGCTGTTGGTTCTGAATCAAGCACAACCAGGGAGAACTGGACCTGTGATGATCGTTACTGCAGACACATCAACTCTGCCTATGATGATCAGTGTGAGGTGTGTTACAAGACCAGACCCGCATCAAAACCATCAAGAAAAGATGTTTGCCTGGATGCTGAATCGAGTGCGGCGGAGGAGAACTGGACGTGTGACGATCCTTTTTGTGGGTACCTCAACTCTGCCTCTGATGATCAGTGCGAGGCCTGCTGGAGCCCCAGACCAAAGGAACTCTCCGACGCACGCTCTGTGAGTAACACCCAGCTGCCGGGTTTCATCAGAGCTTCTCAGATGAATCTGGTGCAGTCACCCGGGAACAAAGACGATGCGTCAGTGCCAGAACCTGAGCAGGGCTGGCCTTACAATAACCGAGACGAAGGGGACACGGGTACCGACTCCAGTCAGACCGAACCGGAGGAGGAACCTGTCCTGTATGATTCTTTCCTCTACTGCCCCAGCAAACATACCGACAGAATCTATCTGTATGATCAGGTTGGTGAAACGGTGCACTGTGTGTATGTACATTGAATGCCCAGATGACAGCTATGCATGTTACTGTACTAGTGCATTGATGTGCAGTTCATATTGTGTTCATCAATTGTCAACTGACTTGGGTATTTGAATCATGCATATAATCTATATTCATCTGTTCACTAAGAATGGTTTTGGATGTATGAAAAATGCATGTCATGCATATTCATTGGGTGTATGAATAATGCATGTATCTATTTTCATCTCTACACCAATCACATGGCTTCACTGTAAATGATATGTAAATAATCCTCTCTCCTCCTTTGCCTTATTCACATGGCCAGGATGGGAATGCCCTCAACTGTAGCTTCCAAGCCATTGATCTCCAACACCGAGATCTGGACGCACTGCCAAAGATCCTTCACAGTCAGCACAACATGCACATATCGCTGCGCTTCCTCAAAGAGTGGAATAGGTAGATGCAGACTCTTTCCCAGAGCTTTTCAAACCATTTTCAACCACTGTCTGTTTACTGATCGCTAGCGCTCAAGATTCAAGATCCCAAAGCTAACTTTGCTAAGGCTGTCACATTCAGTGATTCCAATGATTCCAATGATTCAATGACTTTGGTGTGCCCACTTGCACATATTGTTTGGATGGAAACGGCAAAATACACTTGATTTGATTGGAATTCATTTTGGTGTACAGTTTGAATGATGTTAAGCGGAAACAGCTGAGAAAGATGGGTGAGTTGTTTGACCGTCCGTTGGCAGCATTGGAAGCATTAAAGCAAGGACAACATTACCAGCCCTGCACCAAGAGATTCATCACCAAAGTGAGTTGGGAATCCTGTACCAAGTCATGGTTTTCCCTCTTCCCAGAAAAGTCCTTTAAGTTCTGCTGTGGCTCTGTCAGTGACTAAGACGGCCAGATCCCTCTGAACGAGCGTGTTTCCCTAGTTTTTCTAAGCATTTGAAGGAACATGCTCAGTTCTGTATATTGAGATGGGATGCAGTTTGTTGTTGCAGTGTAAACAAACACATTTTGTCGTTGACAACAACGGGTCCAGCTGAGTAATCTGTCAGTAGGAATTTGAACGACGTGCACCTTGCTCCGGCATAGTTAAAGAAGAGCATGTCAAGTACCTCTTTGTCCAATATGATGTGACTTGTATGCACAGAACCTGAAGCTGTTTGACACAACCATATAAAACACTATTGATGATTGGCTGTATGCGCCACTTAATCACTCACGGATGGTGTTATTCCACATTTTTTTAAAATTTTTAGCCAAAGATACTGACATTTTCTAATGACGAGGCACCACAACCACTGTCCCTTACAAAATGTGACTTTGCGCAACGTTTCTGACCTCATTGTCACTTTGTTGAAGCACCAAAACACTGTGGCTGAGTGACGTTTGCGACAAGTAATGCCCAGCGGTAGCCCGGGCCTGCTAGAGGGCTCTGCACGTGCTTAACCTTCACGGACTTTAATGTTTGTGTTGAAACATCCCCCATGTTTGGACACAGGAAATCTCAGCATGTTTAACCCTAACTCCCTAGCCCTAGGGACCATTGAAATCTTGCATAACCATGTTGGGTTCAGCATGGTTAGGGTTAATGTCATCCAATGTCTAGTGGTTAAACAGCTACTCAGTATGTATGCCTATTGGCATGGTTGGCTGTTCCAGGTTGACTTGGCAGAAGCAGCTAGGCAGAAGGCCCAGTCGCTTGGTGGAAGCTTGAGAGTGATATCCAGACCAGCCACTAAGACAGCCAAGAGAAGAGCCCACAACCGACATGGCGATCAGAGCTTGGCAGATGGTGAGAAGTCCCACCAAGGTAACCAGTCTATGATGAAACTACCAACTGGTTTGAAACACTTCCACCGATTCATATGAAATATTGACTCCAACTTTTATGGACTCTTAACCTTCACACATGACGATCACTGACCTTAATTACCACCGGATAGGCATGGGCAATACACCCAATGTGTCTGTATTTCATAGAGCCAAAGTTCTCCCCTGCACTGGCACAGGTGTATCATGAATCTTATCAGCTCTGTCCATTTTCACCCCCAGGCTCCTGTCTGGGTTTAAAACAACCAGTTTAAAACCTCTCAATCACACTTTTATTCCCCTGTTAGAGGATTGTCACTTGGTTTATTATTTGGCTTCAATTGTGACTTAAGGTCCAAATTTGCAGTGGTTCAGAACTGGAAAATATTCCATAAAATTTTCATTGTTTTCTAAAATGTGCTTAAAACACATTGGTACTGCACATAAAGGAAGAAGAACGAATAAAATGAATAATTACATGTAAATAAAAAAGAAAAATCAAACTGCCTTCAGGGCTGGTGTTTACCCACTAACAGCTGACCAACGCGCAAAGGTTTGGCCATCCTCTGACTGAAAATTGCAGGGATTGTTTTTCCATGAGAACATAGTAAACAAAAACTTCAGCTGGTTTAATCTTTCTCTCATCTTTCCTTTTCGTGAAGGTCTGAAGTCTTCAGTTGAGCAGGAAAAACGTAGTTGGTGGTCAGACGACAACGGAGCATCTGTGAAGAGGGGAACTTACATTCAGGTTTAAATTCCCAATTATTTTTCAAAAATTCATCGCATCAGAAAGCTCCAAGACAAATCGTCCTCAGATTTCATTGAGATACTTGAAAACAAGTGCAAGGCTTAAAAGTCTGTGGATTTATATTTTGGAACCATGAATTGAACTTTAAACCAAAAGACATCATTGAAACGTTCCCATGTACATGTGATGTGTTATTTTTCACTCAAAGTTAGATTTTCCTCGTATATGGCAGTCTCATTTAAATGAGGTCTTTCCCATGACTGCATTGGTTCAGGCCGTCGATGGTGAAGGACGCCCTCTCTGCGTATTTTGCGGCAACGTGACAGCACCCAGCACCACAGCGCATCAGGGTGCAGCATGGGACATGCGATATTGCTCGGAAAAGTGTAAAGATGAGCACAGCGTGAGTCGTGTCTGTACATGTATGCTGATCATTACACTAGACAAAGGAATTATGATAAATGAATAAGTAAATGGTCTCATTGGTCCCGTAAGGCCCAGAATGTATGAACTTCTTGACCTGGAGAGTGAATGATTTTCATTTCCTTCTTTTTGTGATGCCTGATTTTTTTTTGAAGCTTCGCTGGAAGAACACCAAATATGTACGGCAGCAGTTGCTGGAAGCAGAGCATGGTATCTGCCAGATATGTGGATTGGAAGCCCAACAACTTTGCAATATTATCAAGTGAGTCATGATTCAACTGTCATGTTGACGAGTTGTGTTTCAGTCCTTTGTTTGTCCATCTGTTCCCTTCCTTTGGTTGGTTGTTGCATTTGGTTATTTACTAGTGTCTGTTTTCACAGTAGAGGCTGGTTCATGCCTTGAGTGAATGCAAATATCAGATGCGTTGTCACAGAGGTTATTTTACACTGTGATTTTGCGAGTTTTGTGGCAAAACTTGTGACATCAAATTCAGTTTAGCAGTTGACCGACCTTTTTTGCTCATTGAAGGAAAAAGGAGGATGTTGGGGCAAGCCCCCAAATAAGGCTTTAATGATTAGAGTGTGGCCCCACCTTGATATATGATTTAATTTGATCTTTTCCCAATAACAGACTCACACTGTCAGTGTATGCAGCGCCACACTGCTGTCTGCTGCATTCATCTCAAGTGTGAGAACAGATCACTGATCTTGTGCATTTGTTTTTACAGAGACGCAGCCAAGGGTGAACGGAAGGAGTTGCTGCAGGGTAGCCCTCTGAGTAAGCTGTCAAAGCAAAGGTTGAACGACATCATACGCAATCCGTCCTCCGGCCAGGTAGAGATGCATTGTTCCCAGAGTCTAACCCAGTTTTATTTCCATCCGTATTCAATAAATGTTCCATGTGGCCTTACGGTATTTCTATGAGTGTTTAAACAGCATAAACCCAACTGTAAGAAATTTTCCATCATATCAAGTTTTTTCTCAGACATTGGGATTTGCATTCACTGTTACGTAATGGTTGAGCCCAGCATTCTCACTGTTTTCTAACAGCTTGAAGGAAAAAAAAGACCCGGGTGGGATTTGAACCCATGACCTTCTGCTTGCATGTGCTCATACTCACTGTAACTGTGGAGCTTTCTGGAAAAGCAAACAGCATGTTTATTTCATATTTATTTATGAAGAACGAGTTAGAGTATGAAAGTTTACATCAACAGATGTTCAATGATTGTGTCACTTTTCAGTTTTGGCATGCAGATCACATTGTTGCTGTGCACCAAGGCGGTGGGCTGTGCTCATTGGATAACTACCGCACACTTTGCGTCCTGTGTCATGATGAGGTCACTGCCAAACAGAATACAAAACGAAGGAACCGTGACCGGGCTGCAGGCATCCCGGACATTCGCTCCTTTTTTAATCCTTGAAACCCCCCCTCCACCAAAAAAATAGAAACCTGATTTTTATGAAATTTTGTAAAGGTTCCTTGAGGATTTAGTGCTTTGATTCACGTAGCTTACATACTATGATGTATTGCAATATAAAACAAGGTTTGGAATGTCATGAAATGCTGCACGTGGATGTTCTCTGATCCGCCTTTCATATCCCTATTCTCCTCCCCCAATTTCAATCCCACCCTAACCCCCCCTTCCACCCACACACTGTACCATTCCCACACTGAATCATTTGAGATTTTTGTGTTTAACGATTTGTAATCTTGAGTCATTTTTACACAAGTGTTTTGATCAGGAACTGTATCGTCACAGCATTTTTTTAGTGTTTAAGGTTCCATAACCTACGTGCATGCCTTGATCTTCTTCCACTGTTATCTTTGAAATTACTGGCTGTACATTAAGGCCAATTCTTTTATGTCACCGTCTTCAATTTACCATTCTTGTACTTTTGGCACACTTTTTTTGTATTTCAAAGTGTTATGTCAAACTCACAACTGTTTCCAAAGTTCAAAGTATCGTTACCCTTAAAGTCATAAGAATTCTACAAACCTTTCAGTTACATGGATTTTGTCTTAGTTATCTGCCTGAACACTCTGATCTGGCCAAGTACAGAGTCGGTGATACACAGTGACTTGAAAGTGTAGGGAGGGGATGATTACATTGGTAATCCCTCCCCCCCAAAAAAAGTGGGGGGATATATCCCTCTTCCCCCAGATCTCTATCCATGACCCCTCCTGTAACTGGCTCCCCTCCATTCAGGAGATAAATGGGTGCCTGTAGGACTGAGAGGGACTTTGGTTAATGAACCTGATAGCACCTGAAATCGTTGTATACTCCCCAGGGAGTTGAAGTGGTTTATAGGACGTGTTTCTGGTTCCAGTGATGAGCAGGGATATGTTGTCAGGTGTATCAAGAATCTGACAAGTACTGGAATGCTCAAAAATATCATATTGATTATTGATCGGTACTTGTGCACTGCGCTTGTTCTGTGTGGGTGGTCTATGGTTTTACATGAGTGAAAACAGAAGGGTCCGAATACTGGACACCGGATGTTTCACTATGAACGATTGACAATTTGGTCTCAAAATGCCCTTTCTAAATTTAGTAATTGGAACTGATATTGTTTACTGTCCTGATGTCCTGATTTGTTGCCATATTGAGTGTTTAGTATTTTGAAAAATAGTAAGGATATGGTTTTTAGCATGAAAAATATTTTAGTGTAATTATTTCATGTAAAACTGACAGAAACAGAACCAGCACTTCCGAGAGATCCAAAGCATTTTATTTTCATGAATGAAAATGAAAGAAATCAACAAATAAATATCTCCATACATTGAGTTTGTCAGTACTTGGAATGGAAGGGATAACCCCTAAATTGTTCTGCCAATTGCACAGTTTAATTGGTACACAATGCAGGTTTGACAAGCATTCTAAACTTACGTCTTTCTAATGTTCGATTGACATTTGTTATCTTCTCAACCACAGAACTGCTTTTTATGGTACCTACAACCACAGCCAAAGTGCAAACCACGATAAGATAAGAAAGGTGTGCTCTGAGAAAGTCCCTGCATGGCGGGTAAACTCTTTCTTGCCCAGTCATTTTCTGCTCTTGGAAAATTACCGTGCTGAGGACATAATGCAGAAGTCTATGGTTGCGGCTGCAGCCATTGCCCATAGAGCTGTAGGTAAAAGCCAAAGCCAAGTCATTTCGGACATGGGCTAAGGAGTGCTGTGGCACTGATCCGTACTACCGTATATTAACTCATGCAACAGTTGCAGGAAATGACTGAACAGTACATTGGCAATGCAAAATGTATCGGGGTAACAGCATAAATGAACGCCATGTCGGGTGAAATAAATGTCAAATGACGCAAACTATGGCTCTGTCTGATTTGCACGGTTACGGCTACACATAACACAGGAGCCTGTGAGAAACGATTGAGCCACTGTCGGTGGCTTCAACGGGAACATCTATTATACCCGGCTGCAACCAGTTAATTAAGAGGCAGCCTACACATATGAAGCAAGATCTAAAACGGAGAGAACCCCCTGCTTTGTGTTGGTCATTGTTCACTGGAATCTGAGGAATTCTTTTCAGACATCTAGGGGAATGTGTTAGATAACAATAGTCTACAGTGTGTATAGGGATTGGACAGGTAAGGGGGGTACCCCTCGGTCTCCTTTCTTAAAGTTGAATAATGGGCAATCTATGAACATCTTACAAACATCTTCTCAAACATCGGCAACAATACAGATACATTTCCCACAAACTTTCTATAATTAAGTCAGTAGCATAATTTATAAGTATAACATTCTGAGTAATCACAAAGGAATAAATAAAATACACATTTATAGATTAAATGAACATGTACTTTGGTTTGTGAATAGTACTATCTGGATAACAAAGACATATGATACATCTATGTTAATCATACAGAGTGAAATTTAAAAGGAAACCAATCCTGTTCCCTGAAGGGCTAAAAAGTGAATGTCTAGAATTTCTTACACAATGCTAGCCTAAGGTTTTCCTTCATCTGCTAACTTTGCCCCCCCCTCAATTTTAATTGGTGATTTGTTTTACACCCAAATGCAGAACAATGTCACGGGTAGAACACTCACTGACCTACATGTAAATACTAAACACCGCAGACTTGATTGTCTATCTGTTGTGCTTTGGCTTTTATTTGTTGAAGATATACGATTCTGAAGATTTGCATCGGATCAGAGGTCTATCCAATCTGACAGCTAAAACCAATCCAAATCAGCCAGTTCTGGTTTAGTCCTGTCTGATTTTCATGTCTCAACTTGAATCCAATGCATAACCAGTAAACAATGTTGAATCCGATCTCAACCTACTTACATAAGAACCCAAACATCCATTCACGGTCAACTAGTGCATTATGTTGACTAGCTGTTTCAAATATAGAGGCTGTTTGAGATTGCTTTGATCAGCTTGTACCCCGACGCAATAGTTCACAGTGAAGATGCAATAGTTCACGGTGAAGATGCAATAGTTCACAGTGAAGATGCAATAGTTCACTTCCAACCCAGTTATGGAGAAATGACAACACAATTCAAAATCAGTCAGTGAAGTTAACATCACAGGCTGGTGTTGGCAATGAGAGAGTCTTTTTCTCATGGAAAAGAGGTCACGTTTTGCCAAAACCATGTTTTGATATGAATTGATTCATATTTCAGATACATCAATATTCACTGATCACCAGATCAGTGAATATTGAAGTGAATATTGAAGACTGCCCCCTAGATGTTATATTCATCTTAATAATGAGAGTAAATTAAAACTCTCCACACATACATTCAGGAGAAAAATCACACCTCACGAAGGATTAAAACTGTTTGATACACATACAGTTACGTGAAAGTGGCAAGAAAGACTTGAAAGGAAAATTAAACTTTTGCGTAAAAGCTTCTGGTTTGGAAAAAAGTGTTGGTACAGGTTTTTAAATAGTATTTTGGCAATCTTTACATTTTTTAGACCAGTGCCTTTAAAATTCTTTGTAAAACATTTCCATTGAAAGATACCACTGGTCTGAGTATTATTATGGGTAATTTTTTGGTTTTAATATTGCACCATGCAAATAAATTAAAAGCATTACCTACCTTGGCAAGTACTCCTACGTACTAAGTCTTAGAATCTGGAAGTGCAGGATATAAACGCTAGAAAATCATTGAGAAAGAAGCACCCCAACGCATGTGTGAAATGTGGACTAATTCCATCAAATGAGCACTATAACATTTGATCAAAACTATAATTGTTTGAACATTTAGTGTTTTCTTTCAATTATAACAGTCATACATACTTGTAGTCATATTTCCATTCACTTTCTCCTGCAACAATCATAATTCTGATTGGCACTGTGACCAGTCAAAATTCAATCAACCGACAAAGGCAGGGGACTGCTAGGCACAGGCTGGCTCATCCATCGTCAACAGTCAAAGAACAGTTTGTAAAACTAAAGGACATCCTCAGGTGCTTTGACTACTGCATTCACTTCTCCCATGTCTAAGCTTTTCAAACCGTTGGTTTGACTCCTGAGAGAAATTTGATGGGCTACCCAGCAGCACAGCCACTTGGAGATCAGGAGCACATTCCACCTGAAAATATCCAGCGTGCTCTGTCCACCTCCTCACAACCAACATGTACATGTATAACCCATCTGCAAAAATCCTCAATCTGCCATTTACATGTTCAAAAAGGCCATCCCCCAAAGACAAAGTGCCTCTTCCTCCCCTCACTACGGTACATCCCTGCCCCTAGCTTGATCCCCCATGACCACTTTAGAATGGCCTCATACATGTACAGCCAATAGCTTGAAAGAACTGAGTCTATCCTCACATGTAGCCTGTCTGAATTAAATTGAAGGGCACGCTACATACAAATACAAGAAACGACAGTTGTACAAAGCACAAAGAACTCAACAGAGCCTATATAACTGTATAACTAAGAGTTCACAAAGCAAATAATCAGAATATTTACATCCCGTGATAAAATATAACACTTTTTTGTTTGGGTAAATCAAGTTTTTACAAGACATCAAGGAAACCCTAGGAAGAAATATTTTACCAAACATTTGAGGTAGACAGGAGCTGCATGCACAAGAAAGACAACGCCCCCCCCAAAAAAATAATAATCCGCAAGTTGAACAAGTTTGAGCATTGTCTTCACACCTTACATGTACATCAGCAGTGCAGAACAAGTAGAATCAGGATGCTGACTGAAGCCACTCAGCAACCACACCATTTTGCTTCCTTCTTCTTGAATTTCTCCAGCCGGTTGCCATGGATGACTTTGTCGGTGCTCTGAAGACGATGTAGCTGTATAAGGAAAAGAAGATTCTTATGTCAAACAGTCACATGTACATTTATTTTAAAACACACCAATGTTGATCACTTCGACGTCCAAGTGGTTTAGGCCCAAAACAGATCAATTCAGCACCTGTACTGTGCATCCAACAATTTCATCCTGAGCAAAGGGAACGACTAGCTCAGAAAATCATATAATCAAGCTTACAAAGTTCAGAACAAGATCAGAGCTCATCCTAGGTATCTCCTCCATCAACGGTGGGCAGTTTGCACAAAACAAAAGCCAGCTTGTACGTAGCACAACAGCAAGCATGAGCGCAAACTGCAACGTTGGATCAAATGATTCACGTTGCGGATTCACAAAAGCTGAACATATTCAACTCAAGAATATTTAACGACAAATGTTTTAATGCTGCCAAATTTGCATTTCTTAAATCTGCAATCACATGAAGTATGAGCCAGTCCTGAAACACAATACACAGCACAGTGCTTTCAACATAACTTGACGGGCGACAACCTGGGCTAGAGGAAAACCTAACTTTTTAAAGGCATTTACTCACCCTATGTTGTTGCTTAGTGAGCATTTGCTTGACTAATGCCATGAATGCGGGCTCCACATTGACAGACATTTTGGCGCTGGTCTCATAAAACAGGAGATCAAAGGCACTGGCGAGCTGTTGCAAACATTTATAGAAGAGAAGTGTTAAATTCAGACAGTTGGCTGGAACATGATTACAGGGCTGGGAGTTTATTTCCCTTCCCACTTTGTGACCAGGAGAAAGGGGAAAGGTCATGATAGCATTATCCTTATTATATGGTGGTCAGAAATGTAGAAATGTCCACTCTAAGGTTATTGCGATATTTTTTGGAAACAGAAAACAAAATGGTACAAAACTTAAAAAAGTACCAGAAGGTAAAATTAACCCTGACCCTCCTCAATCCTTCACCTGTTGGAGGACTGAGGAGTGTTAGGGTTAAGGTGTGTATAAAGTTAAAACACAATACAGTCATTTGCAAAAAATTAGGACCATCCATACAAAATGCATTAACCTGAAAAAACCAAACTAAAACCAATCAATCTTGGCAGCTTACGTTTATTTTCAATGTGTAATCTTAGTATCCTGGTTAAACAGCTACATGTATTTGATGACATTTCCATGATTTGAAGTTCTAACAGTCTAATATTTAGCGTGCCCTCCTTTATTTCTGATTACTTACATTGGCTTTTTGTTCCCATGCTGCCTCACAGACAAAATGTCATACAAGACCTGCCTTTGCAAACAATTCCATTCAAATGGTACACTGTATATATAGCACTACACTGATGTTATGCACCACTGTAAAACATGTTAAGTAATTCAGTGAGACAATGTAATGCAGGCCCAGTGACAGAGATACCAATAAAATTCCAGACATGTCTGAAACTTTTGCAAATGACTTACCATATATACATGTACATGTATGTACAACGTGCATCAGATGTGCATGATGGATCATGAAATGTGCTCCCTAAATGTGCTCCCCTGGCTTTTAATTTCCAGGGCCAGGCACATCTCTCATCTCCCCCCACTGACGAGGGCAGGCTATTCATAATTGGGCATGTTATCTTCAAGGAATGCCAACCCTGTGTCTTAACCCATTGTCTCATGTATCTACGTTATGATCACAACATGTGTATGATTTTTAAGTCCAATAATGTCCTACACCTTCTGGCAACTGCCGTGTTCTGAGTTTTATTGTGCAGTGTCAGCGTAACGTTCTTAAGCTCTTACATTGATGGCCCTCATGGTGGACACTTTTCTCCTGGCTTCGTCGTCGCATTTGTTTCCGACTAACACTTTGCAGACATCTGGGGAGGCGTTCTGTGTCAGAAAAATTTTTCACAATTAGTAAGGGCCAGAGGACAACCACAAGTTGACTTTTTCTAAATTGGCCTCACAACTTTGATTTACCGAAAGAGGGGCTCCACACTTAAGATCATCATCCCAGCCGACCTCGATTTGGAACCTGCGCTTCAATCACCTGGAACTTCCCTTATGGGTGACACGGGGAAAGTTCCATCGAGGACCACAAGTTAACTAGTGGTTGGTTCGTGACATACATGTACCTAGTGCATGTGCAGTGAAGTTGAGGTGCGAATGACCCTAGTCAACCGTTGTCAGGTTGCTAGGCTGAAGAGGAGAAAAGGTGGCCGCAGGACAGGCAAAACAGCCAAAATAAAAGTGAAAGTGGTCGTTTTTTAGTGACATATTGTTTTCCCAGCATTTTTCTTAAACCAGGTTTTTTCTTACTGTGCTATTTAAAAATGTTTGTGGCAACCAATGATGCGTCCAACCTGGATGGGCTGGTCGTGAATAGTTAACTAGAATAGTCAAACCATCATTGATTAGCGGGCGTTTGATCAGAATTAGTCAACCTATGGTTAAGTATGGTTCTTGATTGCACTTACCCGGAGTTTCAGCTATCAAATTTGAAGTACTAGCCCGAGTTTGAGCCAAATGAACATTCTGTGCATGTGCGTTCACTTTAGGCAGTGCTAAAGGAATTGTATCTGGCCGCCTGCTTAGCATTACAGCCAAAGTTCGTTAACATTTACCATTTTCCAACAACGGTGTGGTAGGGCCTAACTGGATTCCAGAAATATGGAATGACCCGGAGTAAACAATTGAGTTTTCTCAGGACTTTCTCTGCATAAAATTGACCAATTTTCCTCACCTGGGATATATTTTCCAACCAGCTTGTTATATGATTGAAGCTTGTTTCATTGGTGATGTCAAACAGCACAAGTATTCCCTGAAAAAATTCAGAAACTATTCTTACATTTTGATACAATCACATTACCGTGAAACTTATCCAACTGACCTTTATAGGATAACAGAAACCTTTAAACTTTCAATTTATTTCCAAAATGTATGCAAATTATGAAAAGTAAAAAATTAACAATGTCCTGTAATATAAGAATATCTTATCATGTTTTTATGTACATTTGTACTAATACCATGAATACCTGAAAAAAAGAGTAAACAAGTGATCATATCAAGAACATAACTTTTCAAATATCTCAACAGCCTTGACAATTTGAAAGTCCAACATGCTTACCATAGCACCTCTGTAATATGCAGTGGTAAGTGTGCGATATCGCTCTTGTCCTGCAGTGTCCCTGAATGTAAAAAGAGCATGTGTTAACGATGATCATAGGTTGTTATAACAAGACAAAAAAGACAGCACAAGGTTGAATTCCATCTTCTTTTCCTGTTAGTTTACATGCACTGCACATTTGCTGATGAATTATGCAAGAGAACCTCCTCTTTACCTCCTAATTTGTCCAATCAGCAGCCATTTAGATGTATTAAAGTGGCCTTGTATTGATGACATTGCAGTAAATATGGCCGATGGTCAACATGCAGGCATGCTACCCAGACTGGCTTAGCCTATGAATGTGCAGTTTGACTTGAGTTGGATTGTTACAGCAGTTAACTTTTAGAGTCTTCAGAACTAAAGAAAAGCATATTTCCCACAGATGCAATTTCTCTGAAGGCTGTCTAAACCTCGTCACCTGATATGGTCAGCTGACAAGTATCGTCATCTGACTTTTATCAATTAATCAACAGCAGATTTTTGTTTCACAACTACTCAAAGGATGCATTCGCACGGTTACTCCTGTTAACACGAGTAGGATGCGTGCGCATTACACTCGGGTGCAGGAATATGCTCCCTCTCTGGCAAGAGTGTACTCTCGCTGACCCATGGGTCGTACTCCAGCCGTTTGAGCGCTCAGGAGTATATTTATGTAGCTTGCTCGAATGCACCCAAGTTGACTCATACTCTGTACTGTAGCTGGCATGCCAGACCAGTCACTCACAAAAATCAGGAGTTGTGTCGAAGCCAAGGGCTCCGTTCATGTGCTCCATTTTATTGTAAGCTACTCATTGGACCATCAGCACAGACCGGAAACGTGCATACTAGAATATCATCCAATCTGACTGTACACTAGGCAACAAGATTTCTATTAGTGGCTGTTGGAAAGTGTGAAAGAATTTAAAAAAACACATTTTGTTTTATTCCTCACCACTTAAAGTTTGGAGAAGATAAAATGGGTCATGCTCCTGCTCCTAAAGTTGATGGGGTGTATTATATATTGGCCCCGCCCACCCAGGGATTTACACCTATGAATAAGACATCATCGCCTTGAACCCTATCGGATTACAACTTGTGCAGTTCTTCCATGATCATGACACTAAGGGTCCACGTAAAACTGAATGAATGTGAATTTTAAAACACGATTTTACCATATTTGAAGCTGTATTTTGGTATCATCTAGGGTGACATTGCGCTGTTTGAAGTCCAGACCTGAGGGGAAACAGGTGTCAAGGTGCAAAAGCATTAACACAGAAGATTTCAATCCACTGACGTACATGTACATGTAGGGCCTGTATGTGGTTAAACAGGTGAAGCCTATTCACGAGTTCAAAGATGAAGGTAAACGTGCACACACACACACCCATACGGATTCAGATGGAGACATGCTTGATGATGTGTGTATGTACATGGACCTTCAGGTCTGGAATTGTAATCTAGTTTCTCAGTAACTCCCTCGTGGTTTGTAAAATATAACTAAGGGAATTACGTATATCATCAGTCATCGGTGAGATGCATGTACATATGTGCACACATTCTAAGATCATGCTCTTTGTTCATATGTCTACAAGCTTTCATCCCCACCTTACTCCATGACATCGTGTGCATGTCTGTTTATGAATTACGGCTAGCAATTCCCTTCTAGCATTTATTGGAACACATGACTTCAGATATGATGGTACATGTAGACTAGTCCATGTACATGTCATTTTGACAAATTTGGTATTAGAGCCCTAATCACAGGCATCAAGAGTATATCGTCAGGGCTCCAGTTACACAAACCACAATGTACATTGTAGATGATGAAATGGAAAACGGCTCTTCCATTTATAAGGTTCTGTATTTGAATCAATCCACTATCACTGACTCTCAGTTTAACCATGGGGAAATGACCGAGGGTCTGGTAAAATTGTTGAGCGCGCTGTGCTGAAGTGGAGTGAGAGTTGATCTGCCCAACAGGTTGATCTGTGCAATTGGTCCATCTCTGCATGAATGGTAAACGGTACATCAGGATACCATGCATGTACATGTAAGTACACACCCAGTAAATAGGGTGCTGCACTCCTGTGTAATGATTTTTGACTTCTGGTTTGTCATTACTGGTGCCCCAATTTTTACTTGAACATTACCGTCACCACGAACATGTATATTGTACTGAGCCCCCATTACTGTATTAGTGCTGATAATGACAACAAAGACTTATTGAACATTCAAAAACTCCCATACAGTGTAGGATTTTCCACATGTCCAAGGTGAACAAGTGTGACTTCACTGAGTGATCGTTTCTTAAGAGGTACAGGTAATTTGATATTTATTTCAACTAAATCCATTTGGTTTGCAAACCACACTAATTACTTGTTTTATTCAGCCAAAATGACTGTCCTAATTCCCGTTTCTTATTGCGGTGCACTGACTGGTTAGAGTACGACTCTGAGGTTACCTACATGTAATACAAGTCTAACTTCTTAAAAAAGACTATAGTAATGGATCAATCGCCAATGACTAATGAACGTGGTATAGAAGTTTTTTGTGGGATATAACATGACCGGCAATGGCATTTCAGGAAGCATACTGTGTCAGTTGAGGTGCATGCTTTTTCGAATTTGTGTATTTCTATTGGCAGTTTCATGTACATGTACATGTACACCCAAGTGTGT